AACATTTGGCTACTCTTATATTGGGGTTCCAATTTGGTATACATATAATTGGTCGATTAAGTATAAAACTTTATTCTGTTAACAGGACTCCATCTAGAGGACATTAAATGTAGAAAACATCCCAGAATTCCCCTGAAACAGTTCTGTACCCCGTGTGATGTTTCCTTGTGTGTGGAGTGTACCAGCTCTGAGGATCACAGCAGACAATTAAAACTTGCATCAGATGACAATACACATGTATGTATCAATCACATATAAGTACGAAAGCCCAGAAGGCTCATTCGAGATTCGAAATACGAGATTCAAAACATTTGGATTCAAGATCCAGATTAACCTACTCGAAATTATATTGGGATTAACTAATCAAATACGGGTTCAACATTGATATATTATGTTTTATCTATCAATAAATCGTTTAATATATTTATAATAAATGAGTCATTTGATTAAATTACAATAGGGTGTTATATATAAAACTTTTAATCATTTAATTTTTGATCAGCAAGATATACTTCAATTTATATTATGACTTCTTAAATATTAAATAGAATACATATATGGAGAATATATATACATCAAATGTTATAAATATAAAGATTAACAAAATCCCAGAATTCCGCAACACCTGGACACTGAAAATGTTACTTTAAAACTTTGAAAGGCAATGTAGCCTTGATAAATAAAAACCCGTGTGAATACATTAAAATAAAGTTTTCAATTACTTATGTTCCTTGAACTAATTAACAATTATATATACAATACAGATTGCAAATATGTGTGTGATATCAAAAGTGTAGTCCGTTATGGTCAAATCTAAAATATAGGTTTTTATTTATCTACAAGGATTTTGTTAATCAGACATATAACTTTATTATTTATGGAAAGCCAACGGGTTCAAAATTCCAACTCTGTAAAAAAAACATACTGTAAATTGTAAATCTTAATTTCATAATTGTTAATTGTTTTTTTCACAATTTGTTAGTTGAGCTTAATTTGACAAATGTAAAAATGTAAATGCAAGTTTTGCCGATGCCCTATTGTAGAAATACGATTTGTCAACTTGTGAAATGTAAATTGTACTTTGTGATTTGTCAATTAAAGGTTGCATTATTAAAAAAATGGATCGTTGCTTAAAAAAAACACCCTGTACAGAGTAAATGGCAAGGAAACATGCAAATTTTCAAAATTAAAAATTGCATCAGATGACAATACACATGTATGTATCAATCACATATAAGTGCTATTTTTGTTATGCGGTAATATGTGAAGATTTTCATTAATGAATTTTATAAAGTAACAAACAATCAAGAAATAACCACAATTTGTTTCTCGTTAAAAGGTAGAAGAGTCATATAAATATATTTTAAACAGCTTATCAACAAGAATTGTCCATTACCATCCCCCCCCGCACACACACACGATTTTTTTTTTTTTTTTGGCCTTTGGATTAATTTTTTTAGTGGACAAACATTTTGAAAATATACATGTAAATGGCACATATCAATTCTATGATTTCAGGAAAAAAAATCCTTAGGACTAGTATTTACCTGTTTATCTCATATACATCTTTATAATACTGAAAAAAAAAAAAAAATTCTGCATCTCTCCGTGTGCTGATTTAAAATTAGGACTATCAATTACAGTTAATTTAAACTGAAAATTTTGACTTTGGACCCCCCCCCCCCCACACACACACACACACACACACAAACACACGCAAACCACAACCACAAACAAGAAATCAGTTTTTTTTTTTTTTTTTTTTTTTGCTTGTCGAAGAATTTTTGGTTTGGAATATTTTTTGTTCTTTTTCCTTTTGATAAATTGCCATTTACTTAGCTATATACATATAATTTATTAACATATAAGGCTGTCAATATTTCATGGACATTTAACCTTATATAACACATGTAATAACATTGACATAACTTGCATTTACATTTTTACACTTTTAAATTTATGTTGGATAATTTACAATTAACAAATTATGGAAGACCATTTGACAAATTATGAAATTAAGATTTACAATTTACAAATTCAGGTTTATACATTTTAAGGAACTATCCTTTCCATAATTATTATGTCAACAATCCTTTATATATAGTAGGCAAAAATATATATATCCTGATTATGTATTCTATTTAATATTTAAGAAGTCATAATATAAATTGAAGTATATCTTGCTGATCAAAAATCAAATGATTATTTAACTTTCTTTTAATATATATACATGCTGTAATTTATTTTATTGCTATAAATATATATTTATTGTGATAAAAGAGAGTAATCAATGGATTTGAAATGGAAACAGAAATTAAAAAAAATAATTTTGACCAGCCTTCTGGGCTTTCGTATATAAGTGCTATTTTTGTTATGCGGTAATATGTGAAGTAGGAATCAGCACAGTTTGTTTCCGATGACATTACAGTCAGAGCGAAAACTCAAACGTTACATGTAAATGGCACATATCAATTCTATGATTTCAGAAAAAAAAAAAAATCCTTAAGACTATAGTATTTACCTGCTTATCTCATACACATGTAGGCTGATATAAAATAATTATGAATTAACAAACTTTTAATAAATTGTCATTTATTTAGCTATATACATATAAATAAATATAAGGCTGTCAATATTTCACGGACCGTATGTCGGACTTTTAACCATATATAACACATGTAATAACAGATAAATACCAGTCTGGTAATTACATCGTGACTTGAAAAGAACTTCTAATCAACCATCCCCGACAAGGGAATAATCCGGTAGATTGACTTGGATGCTTATTTTACATGCTGATTTTATTCATAATAAGTGAGAGCGAGGAAAATGGAAACAGAAATAAAAAAAAATAATGACCACTCCTTTGCATGAGAATTTATATTGCTGTAATCTATAATTATGAAAATGACCTTCATAACGCATTGCTGGCAAATAACTGTGTATGTTTAAAGACAACCAACTTGCAACATTGAAAAGCTTACAGACAACCAAACTTGCAACATTGAAAAGCTTACAGTAAAATTTAAGAGCCATTTTGAACATATGAACATGTGAAAAAGTTTTTGTCTGAATCTTTCGCTTGGCCTGAAACTCATTTTCTTTGTTTTCTTAGTTTTTTTTCATCATTAAATGTCTCATATATTTAGTGAAAAAAACGACCTACAGAATAATGGCTTTTACATTTATGATAAAAACCATGATAGAAACAGCATTGATTTTTATTGTCCCCCGCTTTCACGAAAGCAGGGGTACATGTTAAGGTTGAGGTCACAAAAACTTTAACCTTGCCCATAACTTTTGATTAATGCACTTTCATATTTCATGTGTATGTACCATATCACTGTTGAACCAATATTACACAAACATTTCAAAAGTCCCTACCGAGATAACTCATATTTCACTTGTGGTAGCAAAGAGACAAACTTTTTGACCTGACCTTGGTCTTATGGAAAAACCCTGCAAGCTGTACACATGTAATCCCTGTGAGAAGACCTTTCATTGGATACCAATAACTTTTACCCTTTGACCTTGACCTTGGAATTTTAATCATTTTTTAAAAACTTTAACCTTGGTAACACCTTTTGAACGGTAAATACTAGGACAGAAAGTCCTTTTCATTGGATAACTTGACCATTTGACATTGGAGGGAAAAATCTTTAACCTTGACCATAACTGGGGGCTAGACTTCACATATGTTTTCCTTTGAATGGATACCTAAGAAACCCTTTGACCTTGACGCATTTTATTTGTTTTCATAGTTTTTTTTTTCATCATTGTATTGAAATTCTCATGTGTTTAATGAAAAAAGACCTACAGAATAATGACGTTTACATGTATATAATTAAAAAACCTCGATAGAAACAGCATTGATTTTCATTTTTTTTTTGGGGGGGGGGGTGTCAGAAGATTTAAAGGTGTCCTTCTCACGTATCTGAATGATATAAAGCTCATACAAGTCTATCTATCTATTAGGAAAAGTGATTAATGCTAGCTATTAAAATTAAATTAACATTGGTATTGATTAATGAAATAAAGGTAGACATTTTGAAAAAAAACTTCAGCCCCTATGCAAAAACTGAAAACTTTTATTTCTCTTTGATTCTTGTCGCTCAAGTTGAAATTGAACACCGAAATGTGTCCCTGAAAAGAAGTATTTCTGTGACAAAGAGCACAAGAGATTTCGAGTTGGTTTTTATTGCCCAACCTATCCTCGCTGAATGCGGGGGATATTAAATTCGGTCTGTCTGTCCGTTCGTCTATCTGTCCGTCTGTAGTTGTGTCTGTCTGTAACGCTTTTGTTTCCATACGATATCACCAAAAGCCTTTGAGCTTCTGAGCTTGAAATGAAATTTTACTCAATAACTCGCAATGACCTTAGAAAGATCACTTTGGATTTGGGGGTCAAAAGGTCATAGGTTTAAGGTTATAAATTTAAAAACAGTTCTGTCTCTAGTAACACTTTCGTCTTCATGCGATATCACTAGAAGCGTTGTCCGAACTCTTGCATATTATCAACATTTTTGTTTGGTTCAGTATATGATTTGTTAATTTAATTTTATAATAATAATTCTGCACATCCAGATAAGAAGGGGGAGGTTCAGTCCCCGTTCAGAGCATCCTCCTATTTTTATTCCATCCTTGGACACAAATTCTCTGTATTGATTTTTGTGTCTTTCTATAAATCGGACTTTTCTATTTAAGAAATATCTTAACATTGTGATTCCATTTAAATGGGTAGATGGAGAGATATATAGAAGATAATAGATTGCGGTTTAAAACTGCACCTTACAAAGATAAGATCTCTACGCCCCCTTGTGAGATTGACAATTTGTCAATATAGCTAAGGGCTCATTATCTTTTTATCCTATGATTGTCCCGATTTAAATATGTTTTTTAAATTTTATACGCGGTACGCGTGATTTTTCAAACGTGTAGACTTCCATTAGTGTATTGGTCGCCGACAATTAGTAAACATGTTTATTAAAGTTTGAATTATACCTTGATGGATTAGTATATAAAAAAGTGTTCCATAATTTATGCAGCAATTAGATAAACGCGTTGAAAACCGTTTCCTATCGAGATATTGGAATACTGTGTTTAGGGAAAAAATTATTTTCTTTTTTGGAGCGAATTTTACAGGGACTATAATATTGTTTTATTTTTTTTCTGAATTATGGATGAAGAGGTTGGGAAGACTGAAAGTCATAATACAGCGGACATGTTCACAACGCTACAAGAACACGAACTGAAAGTCAAGGTTAGTGTTGTTTTTATTATGCTTTTTTTGTATTGTTTTGTTTTGATTTTTTGCGATTTTTTTTTTCATTTGTTTCTTGCTGTTTTCCTTTTAACCACCAACACAAAACAGAAAACCGAAACAAACAAACAAACAAAAACAAACGAACAAAAAAAACGAAGCAAGCAGTCCATTTTATTCCAAAAAATTAGAAAGATCCTCATATGCCAAATCTGTAGAATAATTTATTTGTAACGGTACATACACTGTATTGCGTTAAATTTGTTAAGGTGAAATCTACGCTGAATGACTTAATAAAATACTTCTTTCAAAGAAATACAAGGTCTCTGTATTTTTATTTCATCCTTGATTCGTCCTTCATTGAGAGGAATATAAATATTCATTTCATAAAACGTACATAAATCGTTTTTGATATATGTTACAAATATTACATACAATTGAATTCCGTGTAATTTGAATTCTCGAATCTGATCTTGCGGTGTGTATTGTTACGTCGTTGCTATGGTCGAACAATGACAAGATTTTAATCAATCGTTTGAATACCTCTGTTCAATATGCAGGAGTCGAATTTCGGCAAAAATATATGTGCACCCGCCTGTCTATAGATAAAAGATATATTTAATTGTACACGCATTGTACCTTCTACTCGGAACATAAACTGCCCCCCCCCCCTCCCCCCCAATTACTTGAAGCAAAACCTGAAACAATTTGGTTTGTTGTTATCAAAATATAATAAACATCTATTGTTTACGTACAATACTTACGTAAAATATGAGAAATATATTGTTTTTTAGCCATGTATTTAAACATTAAAGTACATATGCTTTAAACAAAATTATTCCGTAAATTAAAAAAAAACTTCAATTACCAATAAATATATTACATGTAAATTGTCAGAATTATATACAGTATATATGATTATCTTTGCTTAAAAAAAACTTATTGAATTCTTCAATAGTAAATCAAATCTATCTGTCTTCCCATTGTCTTACTTTTTTAAACTCAGTCAACCAGAAGTAAAATATTAAACACAATGAAATCGAATTATACTTGATAGAAAAATGAAGGGGTACTGAAAAAATATACTATGGCCCTTAATAAGCGTGTCCATGTAAATCTGTTTTGAAACTACAATATGTACACAAGATACGATTTAGATATCTGTAAGAGAGTTAAAGCAATTGTGTATGAATGAAAAAAATCCATTGTGTAAGGCAAAAGCAATATGTGAAGAATCCCTTTAAATGTTCATCTTTTTTAATGAGAGGGGGATTGTAATCTCCTACTGCACTGCTTATCAAATATGCAGTAAATGTTTATTGATTTTCCCCCATGGATTTAAATTTGTCACCAACCGATAGATTAAAGATCTATTTACAGGCACATTAATAATATCTGTTTGTTTTGCACGAGATTTCCAAGGTTATAAAGTTTGCTTTCAATTATATAAGAAGAAAACTTTATATTTTCAAAACGAGAAGAGGAAACTAAGTGAGTTTAATAAAATTAAAAAAATTATTTTTTTAATTTAAAAAAAAAAATCACTGAGACCGTTAGAAAAAAATCAATGAGACTGTTGTGTTGCTGAACAAGCACCCGTTGCTTCGTAGAAAGATCTTATATAAGGCGTCCTCAATGAACTTAAGTTTGAAAAAAAAAATGTGTTGAAATTTCGCATAATTTAGAACAAACTTCCGTCCATGTTCCATGCCTTTGTTTAACACTTTTGTCTTTGTTGATCTTCAAGTGTCTCTACGAGATAATGTATAGAGCTTCACCTAGACACTTACTTCGTTATGTTCTCAAATTGTACTCCATTGCATGTACAAGGGTATTTGTTGTAGCGACAAACACCCCCTGAGTTGGTACGTAACTCTGCAGCTGATATCCTGAAATTAAATAAGCTGATATCCTCTTGAAATTATCGCAGTCTCGAATGTACACATTGAACGCGGAGGAGAGGAAGGGTAAAATAATTCTAGTACCACCACTTTCATTTATTTATTTAATGGAAGAGGAGGCAATTTTTAGGACAGATTTGAAAAGAATATTAGAACTAACCCTTTTTTCAAAACTGATAATCAAACAAAAATAAAAATAAAGAGTAATGTCAAATGATAGAAGACTACTATATTGAAGAGAAAACTGAAAACTTTCTACATGTACCCACTTTTTTTAAATTCAAATTTTGATAAATTTCACATAAGTACACAATTTGGGCGGATAGGATCATTGTTAAGAAATTAGGTCATCACTCGACGATCGATTCTTCTTGATTAAGTGGATTTAAACTCATCATGTTTACATTTAAGCTAAACATAAACAAAATATGAATTGTGTAAATAGATATACATACGTAATACTGAGCTATAATTAGGCAGAGCTTTCCCGAATTTTTAACGTAACACAATATAGTCACTCTTGATGCAGTTCTTGCTCAGACGTAAAGATGATTAAAAGTACTTTGTTTCATTTAGGAACTTAGAAGTGTGTTCGTGGACCCTCCCAAAGAAATGGACCCCCAGTCCCGGACCGCTAAAGAGAAGATTCAGGCCGGAATACAGGGTGTAAGTTCTGTTTATATCTTTTTCGGAATTATTTAAAATAGACTTTTTAATTAATCCCAAACTCTGAAATCAACCAAATGAATCAGTTCTTTTGATTGAATCTCATTTTTTAAAGATTTTTTTTTTTTGAGATACATGATTCACTCATCACACTTTTATTATTTTGGTTTTTATTATTATTTAGTTTTATTTGAGGCAAAATGCTACTTAACACAATAGACATTACAAAACTTCTTCTTAATTTTTCTGAATTTCTGAATGTAATTCTGAATTCAAACTTTGTAAAGCAAAAGTTATTGGTTTCTTTACCTTTTTTTAAATTCATTTTTTTTTTGGCTATAAAAGATGAACTTTTTAGATGGATAGCTTGCCCAATATTTATCTTTCGTCAATTCCTCTGTTATACATTGAATATTGACATATTTTTTTAAGTTCAGCGATAACAATTTTATTTATAGGTTAAAAACAATTCCAAACGCTTTGTGAACTTTGTGAAAAGTAAGATCCGACGGAAAGAGAAAGAAACGATAGTACAAGACGTAAACATCGTACAGGAAGAAGACGACGAGACTTGGGCGAGAAGATCTGTAGGCAGCGCCGCCTCGCGGTCAAGTATTGACTCCAAACTGTCGTCTGGGTCTGACAGAAACGAAAACACAGACATTTTGAGTGATTGTGAAAATGATGTTGTTGAATGATGAAAACACACGTATGAAGCAAATTTAACATTTCATAAATTTGGAATCATTTTGGTGCTGTTATGTGCAATTGAGACTTCATTGAGAGAAGTCCGTGGATTATTTCCAACTTCAGGGTTGAGGAGCAATCCAAGTCATCGAAATGTTTCACAACTTCTAATAAATCTAAAAACAGTGTATGGTTTGAAAGAAAAGGGATTTTAAAACTTCCATATTTGTTCTATATCTTTGTTCCATTTCTTGCAAATATAATGATAGAGCTACGAAGATCATTTTCAACTTTTTTAAATTAATTACGTACTTAATTTTTGTTTTATCTTGATTAGAAAAAGATGACAAATATTACTTTGTATTCAATGTCACTGAAACAATCACAAGTCAAAATAAATTGAATCTGAATACCATGTATTCTGTTAGCTGATGTAAATTATACAATGCATGCATCATATTTATTTATTTATTGTAATTTACAATGAAAACTTGACTTTTGCTTTTCCTTGTGTGTGATATGTTACAATGAAGTGTTTGCAAGTAAACGCTTATCAGCTTTTAAACTATATTGTGTTTGTTTTTTAACGTCACTCTCTAGAATTTTTCACTCAGATGGAGACGCCACCACTTGCTGGTGAAGAGTTGCAATTTTTTTTATCCTATACACAGCACATACATGTATGAGCCATATTGAGCAATGAGGGATTTTTCCCACTGTGACCTGGGACCTTGGTTTAGGTCTCATCCAAATGGACGATCTCCAGGTCCCAAAGTTAGATTCGAACCCGCGAAGTAAGGATCATCATTCCTCACTTGACAATATACTTTAGAACACTGCCACCATGAAAAAGCAATCCAAAAACAAGATGTGTCTTTGTGTGGCAGCTCAGAACCATGGCGAAGTCTTTGAGATGAAGCTCAAATTCTAAGATGAAGGTTAAATTTCAAAAACGATAGAACTTGTGCCATTTTATTTTTTTTAATTTGACACATAATTTGGGCTCCCTTAACCAAACATGGATACTGCCATTCTTTCTAGTATTGAAGGTATAGTACCCATCTCTCATCTGCAACTCCTCCTATATCACTAAATAAAATTTAATGATACTTTCGCAAATTCATTAAGACATAATACCATTGCCCATCTCTTATTTTACCTTTTGATCAGACACTTATTTTGGGTCTCCCAGAGCAAAACATGGACTTTGTCATAATTATCACATAGGAGGCGGGATCAAGTGAGCTCAGTGCTCACAGTACCTCTAATTTCTCTTTATCCTTTGGAAGTACCACTAACTGACTGGTAGGCAATTATTTTAATTTTTCCCAGGCATGCCAAAGGATAATGTTTTAATTTAGGGTCGAACTAAATGGGAACTACTAATGTATTCGGAACTTGTCGCCTTATTCGTAACTGGTATTAGCACCTATGTTAACTTCCTAAAGATTTTTTGGGGGGGGGGGAACTGAACTTTTATGAAACAATATTTAATTACACAAGTCAATGAACTACCTTGACAAAAAACTTAGAGTTTGGAATAATGCCTTGTATATTTATAGTACTGCCGAATCGGTTTCTTATTCGAAACCGCTCAAACAACTGTAGTCATGCATCGACGTGGATGGCCTTAACAAAGAGGAATAACTCTATCTTTGGTATGCTCTCTCTCTCTCTCTCTCTACGTAGAATAAAATATCGTTTACATACCAGAGGCATACACGCATCGCACTAATCAAAAACATTTTACAACAAAGCTGAATAATTAACTAAATTCAAAAATATATGGGTTCGACGCTTAAATACTTTCACTGTATTAAATTTTAAACATGCACATGCTTCTTTATTTTCAATACCGTGCATGGAGTGCTGTGTTACATTAATTCTGCTTTCTTCAATTAATCAGTGATGCAGCTAGAAGCCAATTTAAATACATGGTTTTCAATTTCGGTATGGAGAAAGTTGAAAAGAACTTGAGTGCATGTTATAAATGACCAGAACTGTAAATGTTCTGTAAAAATAACTGTAGATATTGAAACACACGAATCAATCAGAGAACTTTCAAGGCAATATAATGAGCCGGGCTCGATTTACAAATTATACAAATTACGACTAGGACAAAAATAAAGTAGGCCCTTTTCACAACAAAATCTTACGATTAAGACTAAAATATCCCCAATTCTAAACCACACAGAATTTATTCTTCTATTACATTTTTATGAATATTTTGTGGATAAAATTGTAAATAATTATTTAGAAAAAAAATCTTCATATAATAGAAAATTACAGAGTGGTGAAATTTTAGTCTTAGACATAAGATTTTTTGTGAAAAGGACCAACTTCATAACTTTCTAATTTACATTTAATTGAAAATGGTATAAATGTTGTAGAAGGAATCTAGACATTTTTATGCTGGAAACCTTATTAAATAAACTCAGTAATTTTCCCGAAATTTTACAATCAACTGAGGTGTTTGGTCTTAGATGTAAGTCTTTACGAATTTCATATTTAAAAAGAAATATGTTTTGTTCAGCCCATTGCAAGGCATTACGGTTTTTTTAAGAGAGAGGGTGGGGGGAGGGTCATCAAATTGGAAATTTCTTGAAGAGCAAAAGTCGTCATGTTTTGAAATAGGAATTGTTTCCAACTTTCCAGAGGTTTGTTGTATTTTTTTTTTTAAAGAAAGTTTAAACCAGAAAAATGACCTGAAAAAAAAAAGAATTGAAATTGTCCATACTGGAAAATCTACTTTCTGTTTGCGTGACTGTGTTCAGGGGGTATGTGGGTAACTTTTATTCATACACTACCAAATTTACAATGACTTAATAGACCACCCTATCCACAATCGTTTGTTTTGAACATATTTTATTGAACGAATCAAATGGATTGGAAACAAGTTCTTACAACTTACTAGTTCCTCTCCATAAACTTAATATAACAATATGTCATGCAAATAATACATTAAAATATAGTATTTATAATAATGTTCAAGTGATGCAAGTTGATAACATTAATCAATTTTAAATCTACATGTTTCAGTAATAAATCTATGGACAGCAGCAAAAATATTAATATTAGTTGATACAGGCAAATCTATATCACCCCATAATAACAGGTTTGTGTCAATTGTAACTAATTCTTCAAGCATAAATAGGTGGTTAAAAAGATTGTTTCTAGCATTTGCATACTTTATACAAGCAAAAAAATAATGGTAAACATCTTCATACTTTCCACATGAACAAAGAGGACTGTTGATAATATTGCGTTTATATAGATCATAATTAAGTAAACAGTTGTGTCTTAGTTTAGTATGAAGTATGTCTGTGTAGCGTTTACCAAAAGAAAAATACGTTGGTGGATTGATGATTTTTGTACAAGCTCTTAAGTCTTTACGGAATCCACAATCAAATTCAATAGTAAAAAAATTCGAACTCTTTCCCCACCCACCCGTTTTTTGGAAGAGTTAAGCTTCTCTGGCCTCTTGTTATATGTATTATTTTAGTGTATGGTTAAATTATATCTGTTCCGATATTTCACTTTTCTCATAGAAGAAACAAGTTTAAAGATGTAACAATCCTTCGCTATTGATTTGAAAAAAAAAAAAATACTGATTAATAACTTAGATAATTTGTACTTTGAGGCAAATTTTTCAAAAATATTTCTATATACCAATTTTATTATCTTGTGAAAAATTTAATTCACTTCTCATCTTTACAAAGAGGAAGATAGTTATCGCAAATAATTAACCACAACTGTCGCGCCTTAATGACGCGTTTATGAATGAAGGTTTGTCGAAACTGAATTCTTTTAAATTTTGAAAATAAAAAGTAGATAAAAAATCAGTGATAAATAGAAATAACAAAATATTTCCTGAAAAATATCTTTTAAAGGAGTTTTGAAGGGTCGATTTACGGTTCAGTAAACAACGGGGTTAATGTGCCGTTAGTGGTGGGCAGAGATGTTCAAGTCTATAATTGTAGATAGTTTAATTTGGTCATAATACCAAAACAAGATCGTTAAAACCCGTGGACCGAGTGCTACCTTTTGTATCAAAACTCTCACCTCAGACAAAAACTACACATATTTACAATTCAATTAAACCTTGGCGTTAGTTCTGGGTGTACATAACACATAAATGGCAGTTTCAAGAGTTTTTGGGGGGGTTGTTAAATTCTCGGTACACGGGGGCAAACACAGGCCTGGTTTTAAATCTAAAGTTCTGGTTCACTGAACACGCAGTAATCGAAGGCCATTTGCAACAAAAATTTGATAAAAAAAAAACGAGCCGTAGAGAGACACTTTAAGGATCATTGCACAATTGACAACTAAAAGGTAAGAGTTAAATGTATTGCAGTATAATTGTTTTGATTAAGACGAGTCATTAAATATTTATTAAAGATATGGGTCGCACCTTTCTCTGGTCGTGGGATCGGAAAACGCACCTGTAGCTGGCTATGACCATCATAATGTTTACATGTTCCGGTCTATAACTATACTGCAAAATAATAAAGTCTTCGTAGAGAAAATTTACACACATTTGAGGAAGGTATGTAACTCTCTCTCTCTCTCTCTCTCTCTCTCTCTCTCTCTCTCTCTCTCTCTCTCTCTCGTTTAACTTTTGTAAGTAATAAAAAACATCATCTGAGTGTAAAAGAACACATTTATTTAATTCAAGAATTTAAACTTGATGACTGTAAATTTCTCTTGTGGGCAGAAAAGATAGATGGTTTGTAAATCTCTCTCTCTCTCTCTCTCAAATTTTACTTATTCAAGTAATAAAGAAAATACATTATTTATCTGTCTTAAAAAGAATATGCTTCATCAATTCTAGAATTTAAACTTGATCAACGTGCAATACTTATCGCAAGAAAAGATGGATGGTCTTTCATGTTAAAATATTTTATTTTGTTAAAACATACTGAAAAAAAAATTAAATGGGTCTTATCTTTACCTGTAGCTAGTGTAATAAAATAAATTTTACTTTGTATAATAAAAGGCATTACTTACGTAACGTTATTTATGTGATAGGTCCGACATATGATGTAAGAATATCGATAGTCGGCGGCAAATTAATACTTTATATCTGAGTGTATTTAGTTTATTTCTTGGAGGTTAAAGTGAGAAGACGTGAGTATACATAAGATCTATCATAATCCTGCATTTCTTAACAACACGGCATGTCCCTGTCAACATCTGTCATTAAAATTTCAACCTCATTTTTCATCTTATAAAATTTTCTCGCCTACTACAGGTTATGAGGTAATCTAATGTCCTTGTTGCATACATATATGCCTAAAATTATTTTCCTGTATATTACACAAATATTTTTTTCAGTGATATTCTATTTGAAAAAAAATAATCTAAAACATATACCGATAATACACTACAACTGTAAAGGTTTCTTAAAAATCATATCTAAAACATAAAACAGAATAAAGGTTTCTTAAATATCGGATGTGGTTAAGATTTGGGGTCTTTGGAGAGGGGGAGAATTGGTTATATTTTGGTCATTGCGTTTCTATTAATACATCTTTAATTGCAGACTATAAATATTTACATCAATTTACAACACGTAACATAGACAAAAATAATGGAAGAGGAAGAGAACACCGTACAGCTCAGGCAAGTGAAGCCGATTGTCGTAAACGATAAGAACGGTACCGTTTACGGCAACCAGGGTGGACCGGAAATAATCTCAGGACACGATAACCCAGCTTTTGACCCGGAAGTGGGTGCTGAAGTGAAACAAGTAAATGTAAGTGCTAAGCAATTAAGATTTTTAGCATTAAATTCTTGCATTAGAATAGGTTGTACAATTTATAAAAAACACTGTGTATGTTCATATCTTTACTTATATGTGATATTCCCAATTTGTTCCAAAAACAAAAGCCATCATCATGATGAAAAATTTTGCACTTAAGAGGGCTATGGGTTTCTTGTGACCATTTTTAGACTGAATTGATCTCTTTTAGAAGAAATCTCCATGTAAAGACATACAAAAATAATCAGATTTTAAAACTGGAATTTGCAAATTGTTTCTATGTATGCAAAATGATAGTTCACAGCTTAAGATACAAATACGTGTACATGTATCATATCTAAAAAGATTATTAAGATAATTTATATCTGATGGTCAATTTGTTGACCCCCCCCCCCCCAGCTTCCTTAAACCTTCATTTACAGGAAATATGAAATAAATTTAAGGCGTCTCTGGTATTTTAGGGAAACATTAAGAAACAAAATGACGATGATGAGGAATATGATTCAGAAGAAGATGAAATCGAGGCCGATTATGGGAACTCCTGTTCTCGTGGAGTTCTACGACTCCAGACGCTCATCTTTGGCTCGTTCAAAACCCACAAAGAGATGATCATGAGTTGTGTGTATGTCTGTCTGTTGACGCTGTATATGGCGTACTTTATATCGGCCATGGTGTATCGTTTCGGTGATGAGGGCTCCTGGCGGCTGCTCGTTTGTACGATTTTGTTGGCGCTGTACGTTGGATATTTTGCGATGCATTCGGTGTTCGGGGAACAGATAACAATTTACTTCTACTGGAGTAGGCTGCAGAAGGAGACAAGAAATAAAATAGCCAAGTGGTAGGTGGAATCTTGCTTTAATGTTTACCTACACCCCAAGCCTCTTTCTGACCCAATGCTATGTGGTAGGCATAGGCATCAGAAGCAAAATGAAAGTGGGGGGGGCTAAACCAACAAAAAGAGATTATCCCCAATTTTTTTCACTGCTTATAATATGTATATATTTGCTTTAAAAAAAAAGGGGGGGGGCTAAGCTCCCCTAGCTTCCCCGGTTCCGACGCCTTTGGTAGGTGGATTCTTGGTCCAGTTTTTCGTACACCTCAAGCCTTTTTCTGACCCAAAGATTCTAAAATTGAAGAATGTTTTAAAGATGCCAACTAATTTGAATAATTCTTAATTATCTTCCCTTGAAGACAATGTGGTTCTTTATTTGTATAAATTTAAATTTCCTTTACACAAGAATATTATGTAGAAAGTTTGGTTGAAATTGGCTTAATGGTTCTTGTGAAGAGGTCGACAATATAAAACTTAAGTTCACAGACAAACTGCCTATGCTTTAGGCTCAGGTTAGTTAAATAGCGGGATAAAATATACATAATTTTTTTTAAATAAACTTTGTTGCCGTGGTAAAATATAATTATCATTTAATAGTTCAGTCTGACTTTCAGGTTTCACCTCATACTTTGTGTATTGCTGGCTCTGGGGGTCGTGATTTACGTTATAGCAGAGGTGGCACTAAAAACCCCAAAGAACCTGATTTCTCTGACGGGAATGGTCTTCTTCATTGTGACGTTCTACATTTTTTCACACAATCCCGCAAGGGTAAGTAATTCATCCTAGTTAGTATTATACTAGTATTAGTTAAACATCAGCACTTACAATCACACTGACAGTTCATATAATGTGATCAATTTTTGCACAATATGATGCCTTGATTACATGTTCCCAGGAGGGGGAATCCCTACTCCAAGTTCTTGATGCTTATATCTTAATTAAGACCCTCTTTTTTCCCTTGCACAATTCTTAATGTTGCTGGATCCACCCGATCTAAGATTACCTTTCCCTTTGACTTTCTTGAATCAGGTGAAATGAAGACAGTTTTTTATGCCCCGTAAACGAAGCTTCGGGGTATATAATTTTTGTTGTGTCCGTCCGTCTGTCCAGCTGTTTGTTTGTCCCCAAATCATTAACCTTGCCCATAGCTTTTGATTTAGTGAAGCAATGACATTCATATTTCACATGTGTATTCCTTGTGATAAGACCTTTCTTTGGGTACCACCAAATTTGACCTTTTGACCTTGACCTTGGAGTTTGACCCATTTTTATACAAAGATTCCAAGCTTTTACTTTGGCCATATCTTTTGAACAGTAGATTTCAGGACATTTTTACTTCACATATGTATTATTTGTGGAAAGACCTTTCATTGAATACCAACAACCTAGACCTTTTGACTTTGACCTTGAAGATTTCCATTCTTATGAAAAAACGTTAACCTTGGCCATAACTTTTAAATGCTAAGGGATGGGGCTTTCATACTTCACGGATGTAATGGAGAAGACCTTTCATTGGATACCAATAACTTTTACCTTTTGAACTTGACCTTGAAGAGTTTGACCTACTTTTTTAATATTTTAAACGTTGGCCATGATTTCTGAACGGTTTGGGCTAGGGCTTTCATACTTTACATATCTAATTCTTGTGACAAGACCTTTTATTTGATAGCAAGACCTTTTACACTTTGACCTTGAAGTTGGACCTACTTTTTAAAAATTTTTAAACCTTGGCCTTGATTTCTGAACGGTTAAGAATAGGACTTTCATACTTCACAAATGTATTTTTCGTTGCAAGACCTTTCACTGGATACGATTCACCTTAACCTTTTGACCTTGACCTTGGAGATTTCATTACTTATGACAAAACTTTAACCTTGGATATGACTTTTGAACACTAAGGGCTCGTTATCGTATACTTCACGAATATAATCCTTGTGACAAAACCTTTCATTTGATAGCAAGACCTTTGATTTTTGACCTTGAATTTAGAGTTAGACCTACTTTTTAAATTTTTTAACTTTAGCCATAACTTTTGAAAGCTTAGGGCAAGGGCTTCCATACTTCTCATATTTATTTTTTGTAGCAAGAACTTTCATTGGATACCAATTACCTTGATCTTTTGACCTTGACCTTGGAGATTTTAATATTATGAAAAATCTTTAACGTACTTTTATATTTCAGAATTGTATTTCCAGTCAGTTTGCATTTAAGAAAAGTTTAATCTTCGCTGTTGCCATACGGAGGCATCAGTGTTTCCCCCCTTTTTTTTTTAATTTTTTGATCTAGGTGAACTGGAAACCGGTATTTTAGGGTTTGATTATACAGTCCTATTTGAACCTCGTCATTTTACATTTTGACTTTCTTGACTTAGGTGAACTGGAGACTGGTATTTTGGGGTTTGATGATACAGTTGTTCTATTTTGACTTAGGTGAACTGGAGACCCGTGTTCTGGGGTTTGATTATACAGTTTTATTTCGCCCTCGCCATTTTACGCTGGGACCCTGGTTACCGGGCCTTTCGCTGGCTGGGGGACAGAGTGTCGGAATTCCTACTGTACACAGACGAGGGATCCAAGTTTGTGTTCGGAGAAAAATTCGAAATGCATTATTTTGCTTTTAAGGTATAAATATTTTTTTTTTTTATAAAATTATAAATAAAAAAAAAAATTGAAAAAATAAAGTGAAAATAATTTAAAGATACATATGAGAATTTGGTTTGATAAGGAATATCGCAAATCATATTGTAACATATTAAGTTACTTTAAATGAAAGTCAGCTGCAGACAAAAAATGCTATGTAAAACTGGGATAATTTCAAAATTAGATTAGACTTTATTGACGTAGTGTTAGATTGGCCCCGCCCCCTTGGATTGATTGACAGTGGCTATATAATTATCTTTTTCTAGGTACTGACACTTAAATGGGCCCGCCTCCTCTTATTGATTGACAGTGGCTATAATAATTCTCTATTTTTAGGTCCTGACTGTGATAGTCTTCTTCAGCTCCTTCATCTCTATCCTCTATTACCTCGGGGTCATGCAGTTCATCATTCGACACATCGCCCGCTTCATGGCTACTGTTATGGGTACCTCCCCCGCGGAATCCCTCAACGCCGCTGGGAATATCTTCATAGGACAGGTAAATTATCTACACAGAATTCCTTAACGCCACTGGGAATATCTTCATAGGTCAGGTAAAGAACTGGGTACGGTATGTATAACGAGGCGGCCCACAAGTAAATTACGAGGGGTGATCAAAAAGTTCGCGAACTATATATCTACAAAACCACAATTCAGATTAGAAAAAAAATTGGTACACTCATAGTCATACACAAGTTCCATAAATAGCATATTCTGAATAAAGTTTTGCTCCTTGTTTGTGACGTCACCATTTGAAAATGACGCCACTAGTTAGGTCACTTGTGACGAAAAATGGTTGTCTCAGTCGTACTCGTTCAACAAACGACTGTACAATTTATTGTATATCTTAGAAATCCCTTTGCAGAAGTATATGATATTTTGTTCATAGTTTATTAAGACAAATGGCTTTTAAGAAATTCGATCAATGATTGGATTGAACATTTAAGTGAAGGAAGGGAGATGGTTAAAAATGATACTTGTTACGTTGCCCAGTGAAAGCAACTTTGAAAAGAGATGTGTTTTTCAATAAGCAATTTGCTACCAAAGACCTCCAATTTACACATTGAAAAACAGTTGAATAATTGAACAATAATATAATAATTAAATAACTAAGATATCGTTTACTTTAGATTTTAAACATATTAGATATGATTAAACGGAGGCACCCATTCTCTATCCACCTTGAATAAACGTTTCTCCCGAGACAGAAGATTCGGGTTTGAATGGTCGCCATGCTTATTTTTGGAATGGATATTCTTATCCATCCATTCTGTTGCCGAGATTGGACCATTTCTGACAAATGAACTGTTCTTGTTATAAAAATTAAATTGCATGGAAATTAATATAAAACTCAGAAAAGTCCTGCTTTTATGACAGAACGCTACGAGAGGGGTCACTTGACCGCCTATATCACGTGAGCAGAACGGTGGCAGATGTGCATTAAATTTTGAGAGGACTTATCTAAAATATAATCAACACTTAAATTAAGTATTGTTTCTTTTATGGAAATTATTCAATTAGTTCGCGAACTTTTTGATCACCCCTTGATCTACACAAAATCCCATAACTCCGACAGGAAATTATCTTCATTGATCAGGTAAATTATCAATTAAACACAAAACTCCACAACGCCACGGCGGGAATATCTTCCATTTATATCTATGAAGATATCTTCCATTGTCCATTCGAAAACAACCAATACAGAATTTAAACAACTTTAAAAAATGGGTTTAATCGTTGATTCTTTTCTATTTTAAAGAGTGAAGCCCCCTTGTTGATCCGCCCCTTTCTTTCCAAAATGACCAGATCAGAGCTGCACGCCATTTGTACCGGAGGGTTTGCAACCATTGCCGGAAGTGTCATGGCTGCTTACATCTTATACAAGGTACAAAACACTGTCTATAAAAAAATCCTTTAAAGGCTAGAAGAAGGGGTGGGTTAAAAGCACATATTTTCATTTCGTACTGCAGTGCATAACTTTTCTTCGATATTAAGAAGAAAGTAAATCCAGAAAATGTTTAGGATCTGTATATGGCACGTTGAGCAATGAACTTCTTAAGTAAAATTATGTACTGGTAAATGATTATTCTAGGTAATTTTCTCTTCAAAAATAAATATTTAGCAAACTTGTCATTATCAGGTTCCGGCCAACCATCTTTTGTCCGCCTCTGTAATGTCTGCACCTGCAGCTCTGGCTATGTCAAAACTGTTCTACCCCGAGACCCGGCGCTCAAGGGCAGGGAAGGAGGTCTACAATATGGCGTCAGGGTTTGTATTAGTATAAAATATGGCGTCAGGGTTAGTGTCAGTGTACAATATGGCGTCAGGGTTAGTATCAGTATACAATATGGCGTTAGGGATTGTAACAGTGTACAATATGGCGTCAGGGTTAGTATCAGTATACAATATGGCGCCAGGGTTAGTATCAGTGTACATTATGGCGTCAAGGTTAGTGTCAGTATACAATATTATATGACGTCAGGGTTAGCGTCAGTGTACATTATGGCGTCAGGGTTTGTATCAGTGTACAGTATGACGTCATGGTTTGTCAGTATACAATATGACGTCAGGGTTTGTATCAGTGTACTATATGACGTCAGGGTTTGTATCAGTGCACAATATGGCGTCAGTGTTTGTATCAGTGTACAATATGGCGTCAGGGTTTGTATCAGTTTACAATATGACATCAGGGTTTGTATCAGTTACAATATGGCGTCAGGGTTTTTATCAGTGTACACTATGACGTCAGGGTTTGTATCAGTTACAATATGACGTCAGGGTTTTTATCAGTGTACAATATGACGTCAGGGTTTGTATCAGTGTACAATATGGCGTCAGGGTTTGTATCAGTTTACAATATGACGTAAGGGTTTGTATCAGTTTACAATATGACGTCAGGGTTTGTATCAGTGTACAATATTGCGTCATGAGCGTTAGGGTTAGTGTCAGTTTACAATATGGCGTCATGGTTAGTGTCAGTTTACAATATGGCGTCAGGGTTAGTATCAGTATACAATATGGCGTCATGGTTAGTGTCAGTTTACAATATGGCGTCATGGTTAGTGCCAGTTTACAAAATGGCGTCAGGGTTTGTATCAGTTTACAATATGACGTAAAGGTTTGTATCAGTTTACAATATGACGTCAGGGTTTGTATCAGTGTACAATATGGCATCATGGTTAGTGTCAGTATTCAATATAGCGTTAGTGTTAGGGTCAGTATACAATATAGCGTTAGTGTTAGGGTCAGTATACAATATAGCGTTAGCGTTAGTGTCAGTTTACAATATGGCGCCAGGGTTAGTGTCAGTTTAAAATATGGCGTCAGGGTTAGTATCAGTATACAATATGGCGTCATGGTTAGTGTAAGTATTCAATACAGCGTTAGTGTTAGGGTCAGTATACAATATAGCGTCAGGGTTAGTGTCAGTATACAATATGAAGTAAGGGTTTGTATCAGTTTACAATATTACGTCAGGGTTTGTATCAGTGAACAATATGGCGTCAGGGTTTGTATCAGTTTACAATATGACGTCAGGGTTTGTATCAGTGTACAATATGGCGTCATGGTTAGTGTCAGTATACAGTTAAAGTATATCATTGAGGGAGTCAGCAAGATTCCAGTTCCCCAAGAGTAAGTCTATTTCCCGAGGCGCTTGCGCCGAGGGAAATAGGCTTGCTCGAGGGGAACTGGAATCTTGCTGATTCCCTCAATGATATACTTTAACTGTTTTATTATACCGATACAAACAAGACATTTGAAAAAGTTATATTCAATACTGTATTCTTAATTCTGTAATGATGTTTAATACCAACAGAAATAAAAAAGAAATAACAACAAAACAGAATACAGACATGAATAGAATTCCATTTTATCAATAAATCAGTTCATTGTCCTAGTTTTTACCTTGTAAAATCGAAAGTAACATTAGGCAAATCTTGAGATCGCCATTTTTGTTACCAGTAAACTGGTTCTTTTTTATTGATATAGGACCAGTTGACTCGCGATGCATTTCAATTCATTAATGAATATATATGAGTTTATTTGGAACATTTCTAAGTTTGTCTTAAATAGAAAGAAAATACTAAGTGTTCCGAATAGGTGTGTATCAGTTCATCAAAAAAACGTACTCTTTTTGCAGGGAATCAGTCTGTTTTGCAGGGAATCGGTTTATTCACGGTGATTTTCAGGAAATCAGCAAAATATGTCGATTTACTTTAATATAGTGAAAAATCAGTAGAGGTATAATAATATACAATATAGCGTTAGTGTTAGGGTCAGTATACAATATAGCGTCAGGGTTAGTGTCAGTGTACAATATGGCGTCAGGGTTTGTATCAGTTTACAATATGGCGCAAGAGTTTGTATCAGTATACAATATGGCGTCATGGTTAGTGTAAGTATTCAATATAGCGTTAGTGTTAGGGTCAGTTAACAATATGGCGTAGTGGTTAGTGTCAGTTTACAATATGGCGTCATGGTTAGTGTCAGTTTACAATATGGCGTCATGGTTAGTGTAAGTATTCAATTAAGAAATAAATAACAAGTTTATAAACTTCAATGGGAATTGAAGTGGGTCGGTCACGTGATCAAATCCTGTGAAGGCCGAAGGCCTTCTCAGAAGATTAGATCAGTACCGACCCACTTCAATTCCCATTGAAGTTTATAAACTTGTTATTTATTACTTATATATACATTTGAGACAGACAATTGAATATTTTCGAATTTAAATTATTGCACTAACCGTCCGTCGTAGATTTTGAAAAATGACGCAAGGTGTAAATCGGCTTGCATGGCGGTTACGCTTCGAATTCATTAGGCTAAGGAATCTATTTCGAAGGGAATATTTTGTGAAAGGCTACTTGTGATCAGTAATAGTAAACAGATTGTTTTCTGGGAATATTTTATTCGTGAAAAATGATAATCGATGCTGAAAAGACACAAGAAACACGTCCGAAGTTTGATGATAAAAAGTTGGAGGAATTTCGGTCGCTGGAAAGGGATGGATGGATCCGATGGACTGAGACACTTGTCCGAGCCAGTTAATTTGCAGTTTGATCAAAAACATTCCACGGTTTCAGTAACTAAAGGCATACTTATCGTAAAACACTGATAAACACGGAGACACTGGCGACAGCTTTACATTGAACTACGAAAACGCCGAGGTGTTTGGCAGCTGTTCATGGCATGATTGCAAAGATATTTTCCAACAGATTTACACATTTATCGTGAGTAAAATTTAAAGATAAAATAAAAGTTTATCATGAAAATTTAACCAGGTCTTTCCAAAAAATAAGGATGAACGTTAGAGACTATGCAGCTGACAAAAGTGAAGAAAAATGTAAACAAACGCTAGGCTCCTAGTTTTCTCTATGTACACAGGTTGAATCGACAGCCCCAAAACTGTATGAAATACTTGTTTACATTTAAAATAAAAAAATTATCATTTTACTTGTGCTTATTTTATTCATTTTTATACATGAAAAGCAAGTAGAGCAGGTCATTTTATAATTTATGTACCGGTAGATATTATTGCGCCGTGTGATTAGGTCATGTATTGACCTCTGACCTCTGACAAACTTCATACAGAATTGAAGATATTTTCTCTCTGTATGTTTATATAATGGAGAGATACCACAAATGTATATATTATAGCGTTAGTGTTAGTGTCAGTTTACAATATGACGTAAAGGTTTGTATCAGTTTACAATATGACGTCAGGGTTAGTATCAGTATACAATATGGCATCATGGTTAGTGTAAGTATTCAATATAGCGTTAGTGTTAGGGTCAGTATACAATATAGCGTCAGGGTTAGTGTCAGTTTACAATATAGCGTCAGGGTTAGTATCAGTTTACAATATGACGTCAGGGTTAGTATCAGTATACAATATGACGTCAAGGTTAGTGTCAGTATACAATATAGCGTCAGGGTTAGTATCAGTTTACAATATGACGTCAGGGTTAGTGTCAGTGTGCAATATGGCGTCAGGGTTTGTATCAGTTTACAATATGGCGCCAGGGTTAGTGTCAGTTTACAATATGGCGTCAGGGTTAGTGTCAGTATACAATATAGCGTCAGGGTTAGTATCAGTTTACAATATGACGTCAGGGTTAGTGTCAGTGTACAATATGGCGTCAGGGTTTGTATCAGTTTACAATATGGCGCCAGGGTTAGTGTCAGTTTACAATATGGCGTCAAGGTTAGTGTCAGTTTACAATATGGCGTCATGGTTAGTGTCAGTGTACAATATGGCGTCAGGGTTTGTATCAGTTTACAATATGGCGCCAGGGTTTGTATCAGTATACAATATGGCGTCATGGTTAGTGTCAGTATTCAATATAGCGTTAGTGTTAGGGTCAGTTTACAATATGGCGTCATGGTTAGTGTCAGTTTACAATATGGCGTCATGGTTAGTGTCAGTTTTACAATATGGCGCCAGAGTCTGGATCAGTTTACAATATTGCGTCATGGTTAGTGTCAGTTTACAATATAGCGTCAGGGTTATAGTGTCAGCATACAATATGGTGTCAAGGTTAGTATCGGCATACAATATGGTGCCAGAGTCTATGTCAGTTTACAATATGGTGTAATTGTCTACAATACCGGTATGGTCAAAATATCTCTCTCTATATAACACTAGGGTCAGTGGTAGACATAGCACTATGGGCTGAATTTGTCTACGAAGTCAATCGTTCTGCCTTAAAATACATGGGAGAGATTTAATATCTTTTCAGACAGGAGAGGAATATCATTGAGGCGGCGTCTTTAGGGGCTTCACAGTCCATATCTCTCATCGCCAACATAGCTGTCAATCTCATCGCTTTCATTGCCCTCATCGAATTCGTAAATCAGACCTTGATTTGGTTTGGTAACCGTATAGGCATGGAAAAACCCGGTGAGGAACTCACATTCCAGGTAATTCTGCATGTTTGCTAGTTTGCATGTATAAGGGATTGTGCAAATTGTATGTGTAGCTGAAGTCAATTTTCTATGTTTACTTTTAATTTTTGGTTTTTGCGATCTCCCATTTGCACCTTTGATGCATTTGTTTTAGATTGAGTGAATTTATTTAATTTAAATTGTTTGGAAATTTACCTTCAAATGAAATAAAAAGCGTAGATTTTTAAGGGCTACCCTATATATGACGTTCTGCATCCTGCTTACTATGTTTCACTAAGTAGGGAAAGCGCCTAAAGATTCCGCTTATCTGCGAGCTAGTGCTTACTGTTTATCAATTTTAATTCGCAATTTATTTTAGCGTATAATGTGAGACGGTGTGGCCACCCGCAAAAATTTTATTCTCAGGTTTATTTTTATTCCTTAAGATTATATAAAGCAATAGCCACATTTCGTGAAAAATTTATCTCGCTTCATTAGAGATAATGAATATCTATCGAAATAAAGGTGCCGCGAAAATTTAGTGAACAACAGTGCAGTTATGTTATCCCAATATAAGGTTTTTGGCACGACTGACTGCATGTTGCCATTGTTGTTTTTTTTTCTAGTTTCTCTGTTCCTACGTTTTCTACCCGGTGGCGTTCTTGATGGGGGTGGAGGCGACAGACTGCTTTGATGTCGCTAAGTTGATTGGATACAAGACATTTATCAATGAGTTCTACGCCTACACAAAGCTCTCTGTGTTCATCAGTAATCAAGAGAATCTCACGTGGTATGGTCACATGACACTTTTTATCATAAAGTTTTTTGAACTTAAAGAGGCTGGGGGTGGCAGCCATTTTCAGACTATTTCGATCTCCTTTAAATGAAAAGCTCCACATAAAGATAAACAAAAATGATCAAATTTTAAAACTAAAATGTATTATTTTTTGCTTTGCCAAATGATAGTTGACAGCATAAGATACCGTATCTAAAAAAAATAAGTTAAATATGGTGGTTAATTTGTGATTAATTTCTTGACCCCCCAGCCTCCTTTAAATAAGTTTTATTCAGGCAATGATAACTTTTCTAGCAGAATATGTTCACAGAAAATTTTTTTTTAAATATCTGATTAGAATAATAAATGTATTTTATATAAATAACGAATGAGCAAAGTTACTTTCATAATTAAAGGTACAATAAATAATTTAAGGTATGAAACTCTACCGAGCACTGATTCCAATTTTACGGGGAGGTGGCATTTTGAAGGAAGTGACATCGTTTATGAGGACTTTAACCATACATTAACCGGAGGGATACTTCAGGTGCTGGTCACTTTATCATTTTCAATAGAGTGCTTTGATTTCATTACAAATTAACTTTATATAAACGGACGAGAAAGGTTCATTATAAACAAACGCATAGAAATTAATTTTATGCTTCAAATTAATTTTATGCTTCAAATTCAAAACAAACGCTGTGCATTTTCAAAATGTAAATAATGCAATATATAACTAATGCAATATGTAAATTACTAAATAATGAATATTAATATTATATTATTACATGCTATGTTAATTTTAATTATCAATTACGTCTTATTTTCACAGGACCGGTCAGTGGTAATTTCCACGTACGCTCTCTGTGGATTTTCCAACCTCGCTTCCATCGGCGTGATGCTTGGCGCCTTAGGCGCAATGGCGCCAAATCGAAAGTCGGCTCTCGCCCAGGTTGTCATCAGAGCCATGATTGCGGGAAATGTTGCGTGCTTCATGACTGCGTGTATAGCTGGTTTATTGTATGAAGAAAAATAGATGTAATTATTTAGTTTTAGTGTACATAAAAGCATAATATACGTGTGTGTTTTTCTGTGAGAAAGGATAAGGTTCAGACGTTCGTAGATTTTTTGTTTTACTATTAGAGAGGCCAATTTGAATGCAGTCATAATTTTATCTCTGAATTCTAAATGAATATTTCAGTTTCGAATTCAGTGCCCATGTAGTTTTTAGGATGTTTTTGATTTTAGCATCAATATCAACTTATGGCCAGTTGTAAAACATAATTTTACGTTACACACGTTTTGATACAGGAAAAAGAGGGAAAAAAATGATTTTTTTAACCCTAACTAGTTAAGATTTTTACCCAAAGAATCATCTTTTTTAAAACTCTGTACTCATCATGACTATAAAGCATAGGCTATTACAGTAAAATTTGTCTAATCCAGGAGATGTATACTTCGAATTCTTGCATAATACGATATAAACCTAAGTCTCTTTCAATAATTTCAATTGCTTAAAAATTGAAATGAAATAAGCAAAAAATAAATGATACAAACAAGTACTACATGTAGCTTAAACAAACACATTTTTGGGATATTAATTTACAAGTTCAAGACATTAATATGAGTAGTATTCCAGAAATTACCTAATGCCTAATTATTTATTTTCGTTTTCGTATAATTGTCTATAGTCTAGTTTGTTTTATCTTTCACAAGGTACAATGTACTATGTATCTACATACAATATGTTTTATTTACCTTTTGTGCAATCTGAGAATTTTTAAGTAGGTGCTACTATTCATCTTATTGTTATTTTTTCTGACTTTTCTGCTTTTTTCATTATTCTTCCTTTTTTTATGCACACTTTTCATATGCCAGTTCTGCATTTTTGTTTTATTTGCGCGCTACATGTATCTTAAGTTTTCTGTAATATCAGCAAACATTATACAAAATTTGTGATGTACTTTAGTTTTATATTTCACTATATTTTAGCATTTTGTAACATTTAATATACATGTATTCAATTAAATGGTTTTATTTAGTTTTTCTATACTTACGATTTCAATTCACTAGTATATAAAGATTGATGTCGAATTAAATTAAAAAATTAAAAAGAAATGTAATTATGATACCAAATGTCGGTTATGATGTGGGTTTACCCGGCAAATATTTGGTAAATTTTTAATATCTTCAATTCAATTTTTAAATTGAGTTTTCCTTTGAGCATTTACAGATATACATAGTTTGATGTCCAACTTAATTGAAAATAGTTCCAACTTTTATACCATGCTTCGAATTGATCATTAAGCTTTTGTCATTTTGGGGGTGGGGGTGGAAAAACAATTTAAGTAAAATTATAAGATACCTATTATGTAACACAACTTTAGAATTCAAACCACTATCAATATAAAATCAATTGCCAAAAAAAAAAACAACACTTTTTTGTTTGACAATACGTTCTAGCGGCAAATAATTATTATTTGGTCCAGCATAGATTTTTTTTTTACCCTATTTCAGTTATGCTGAATCCGAAAAAAAAACAATTGCTGGCCTTCAAGAAAATGGCATCAACGAGGCCGAGTCATTGTTTCTGCCCTAGGGAATTTGATTATTTTTTGATAATTAAATTGCACTGTATATTTATTGTTTTAAGATTTAAAAATCGAATGTTTACCATCCCGTTTTCTTGAAGGACCATCTCAAAAGTTGTCAGATTTTACTATTGGACCCTTTGGAAATTTGTTGGAAAACGCCAAATTATCACATGCATTTCTTTCCATATTTTTTCTATATTTGCCCTAGAAATGTCTTTTTTATTAAGTAGATCAAAATGGTGGACAACCAATTTTTCTAATTTTTTGTTAATGTTGTTCAAACGGGAGAAAGAACATGTGAATATCTCTCTGAGTGTAATGCAACTAGAAAAATAATAAAAAAAGAATACTAACATTATTACGTTAATTAAAGAAAATTTAGGGGTTTCTATACTTAATTCGAATTTTCTCTAATTTATTTGTCTATTGTTTTTAGGTCACCTGAGTTACTCAGGTGACCTATTGCTATCCGTTTTCGTCTGTCGTCGTGTGTCGTGCGTTGTGCGTCGTGTGTTAACATTTGAACATTTTCAGCTTCTTCTCTGAAATCACTTAACCAATTTCAACCAAATTTGGTATACAGCATTTATGGGTAAAGAAGAACAAAAATTGTGAATTTTATGGTCCCCGCCCCCCTGGGGCCTGAGGGGTGGGGCCAAAACCACTAGAATTATTGCAATCTTTAAAAATCTTCTTCTTTACTCCTGGACATCAAGCAGGCAAACTGTTAGCATGAATGTAATGAACATTGAGTCCTCTACCAAAATTGTGAAATCCATGGCCCCAGGGTCAGGGTTCTAGTGCTAGGGCGGGGCTATATAGATTATATAGTGAAAATGAATGATTTCTTTGAAAATCTTCTTCTCTGCTCCTGGGTATTAAATAAACTAACCAAGCACAAAGTTATGATGAGCAAGAGTGCCTCTTCCAAAATTGTGAATTTTATTGCCCCAGGGTCAGGGGTTCTGGTGTTAGGTGGGGCTCTATTGGTTATATAGTGAAAATGCATTTATTCTTTGAAAATCTTCTTCTCTACTTCTGGGTATTAAATAAACTAACTAAGTACAGAGTTATGATGAGCAAGAGTGCCTCTTCCAAAATTGTGAAATCCATGGCCCCAGGGTCAGGGTTCTAGTGCTAGGGCGGGGCTATATAGATTATATAGTGAAAATGAATGATTTCTTTGAAAATCTTCTTCTCTGCTCCAGGGTATTAAATAAACTAACCAAGCACAAAGTTATGATGAGCAAGAGTGCCTCTTCCAAAATTGTGAATTTTATTGCCCCAGGGTCAGGGGTTCTGGTGTTAGGTGGGGCTCTATTGGTTATATAGTGAAAATGCATTTATTCTTTGAAAATTTTCTTCCCTGCTCCTGGGTATTAAATAAACAACCAAGCACATAGTTATGATGAGCAGGGTCAGGGGTTCCGGTGTTAGGGCGGGGCTCATATAGATGTTGAATTTGCTTTTTCATGCAAAGTAATGAAGTTTTTATTGGTCAATAACTTCTAAACATATAGTATATATGTAGATAAATAGCATTATCTTTTTAAGAAAGAAAGGGACAAATTAAGATCATTCTGTACAGACCCCGCTTCCGTACTAAATATTTATACTTATTTAGAAAATCTCACCTAGGATCTTCAGAAAATCTCTATTTGAAATCTGAAAAGAGTGTTCAAAATTACAAATTATTTATGCTTCAGTATAGTAGTAATATTCAGCCCATTTGATGCCAGGTGAGCTATTCTGATCGAGTGTGTTTGTTTGTTACATGTAATCATTTTTTATTTAGTCTCTCCGTCAATATATATATACATAGGTAACAAGAGGCCCTGTGGGCCTTATAGGTCACCTGAGTATTGTGTAACACCTTTCAAACTAATAACTTTGGATCGTGCTTTAAACCAGAGGCCATGAAATTCACAATTCACAATTTTGAAAGAGGCACTATTGTTTATCATAATTATAAACTTAGCATGCTTACTCTATTTACTTAAAACCCAGAGATTGATCGGAGTATAAACAAAGAGAAAATGCACTTCCACTTTATAACCAGTTTTGTACCTCACCCCAAAAGAACCACTGACCCTGTCGCAACTTATTTCAAAATTTTGCAAATTTTATCATAAAATGGTTGATTAATACCAAAGAGCAGATTTCAAGGCATAAACTTAATTTCAGACTATGTAACCCCCCACCCCCACCCCCCGACCCAGAAAGGGGGGGCATAAAAAATAATCAATTTGCTAAATGCACCTTTCTTCATCAGAAATATATATACTTAGATCATTGGCATAAAACACAGGAGCAAAGGAAAAGATATTTAAATAATTAATGTATTTTCACTATGTAATAAATGAGGCCCCACCCTAACACCATAATACTGACCCTGGGGCCATAAAATTCAAAATTTGGGAAGAGACACTCTTGCTCATCATAACTATGTGCTTAGTTATTTTATTTAATATCCAGAAGCAGAGAAGAAGATTTTCAAAGAATACGTGCATTTTCACTATAGAATCAATAGGTCCCCACCCTAACACCAGAACCCCTGACCCTGGGGCCATAAAATTCACAATTTTGGTAGAGGCACTCTTGCTCATCATAACTATGTACTTAGTTGGTTTATTCAATACCCAGGAGCAGAGAAGAAGATTTTCAAAGAAATAATGCATTTTCACTATATAATCAATAGAGGGCCCCACCCTAACACCAGAACCCCTGACCCTGGGGCCATAAAATTCATAGTTTTGGTAGACGTACTCTTGCTCATTATAACTATATACATAGTTGGTTTATTTAATACTCAGGAGCAGAGAAGAAGATTTTCAAAGAAATAATGCATTTTCACTATATAATCAATAGAGGGCCCCACCCTAACACCAGAACCCCTGACCCTGGGGCCATAAAATTCACAATTTTGGTAGAGGCACTCTTGTTCATCATAACTATGTACTTAGTTGGTTTATCTAATACCCAGGAGCAGAGAAGATTTTCAAAGAAATAATGCAATTTCACTATATATAATCAATATAGGACCCCGCCCTAACACCAGAACCCCTGACCCTGGACCCATAAAATTCACAATTTTGGTAGAGGCACTCTTGCTCATCATAACTATGTACTTAGCTGGTTTATTTAATACTCAGGAGCAGAGAAGAAGATTTTCAAAAAAATAATGCATTTTCACTTTATACTTATTTAGCCCCGCCCTAGCACTAGAACCCCTGACCCTGGGGCCATGAATTTCAAAATTTTGGTAGAGGACTCAATGCTGATTACAATCATTTAAACAGTTTCACTGCTTGATGTCCAGGAGTAAAGAAGATGATTTTTAAAGATTTCATTAATTTTAGTGGTTTTTGCCCCACCCCTCAGGCCCCAGGGGGGCAGGGACATGAAATTCACAATTTTTGTTCCCCTTCATCCATAGATGCTTTGTGCCAAATTTGGTTGAAATTGAATGAGTGGTTGCAGAGAAGAAGCTGAAAATGTTCAAATGTTAACGCACGACGGAGACAACGGATAGCAATAGGTCACCTGAGTTTACTCAGGTGACCTAAAAAAGGGAAAAAGAAATATTGATGTACAAACAAGTCTAACATGTTTCAAATTGTTAAACTGAAACATACATGTACATTTGTTACATATGATAAATATATAACTATATAAAGTTTGAGTATTAGGCCCTAATAATTAATTAAATCTACCTGAATCTCTTATAAATTTTTGAACTGAGTGAAAAATATATTTATTGATTTCTACATGTTGTGACTCATCTCCCCACAGAAGTAAGTGGCAATATTTGGTTTTCGTAAGACACAGCAAATCTCTGAATAGCTTTTCTCTAGCATGTTGGTACTTATTGCAAACAAAGAAAAAAGGGTCTTCTGAACAATTAGGACTTTCGATAATGTTTCTTTTATAAAGATCATAATTTAAATGCAAATGTGTCGTAATTTAGTATGTATGATGTTTTGCCGTCTATTAAAAGATATGCTGTTTCTAGTGGTTATACTCAGATTATTGCATTGGTGTATTGTATCAAGAACAAAAGATTTCTTAAATATTTCAAGTCTACATCTAGGAAAAGTGTAGTCCTCTCTATTGCGTTTGTCGTATTTTGATTCATTATGTCTTGTTGCAGGAAAAATACTTTTTGAATAATCGGGTACTAAGTTGTGATGTACTTTATACATAGTATTTAGTTTTGCTACTTTCGCCTATCTGCAAGAGGTTCTCATCCTCTTTCTAAATATAATGCATCTTGGTAACCCTGTAATTATTCTTGCAGCATAAAGCTGCACCTTTTCTAATCGTTCAACATCTTGTAAAGAACACCCATCCCAAACTATAGAACAATTTTCGACCAGCGGTCTAATAAAAGTTATGTACATTTTAGATTAAGTTTTTCTACCGGTATTGTATTTCAGCTTTTTCAAATGACCTAATCTTTGGTAAGCCTCTTAACTATATTGTCTATATGATCAGACCAATTAAGATTTTTGCTCAAAAGTAATGCTAAATGCTTATGAGAGGTTATGTATTCTAGCTTACATCGTTGAAATTGTAATTTTGGGAGATAATAATTGGATTTTAATGAAAAGAATAATGCTTTTGTTTTGGATGGGTTAAATTTCATAAGATATTTGGAAGACGACCTGTTTGCGTTTCCCTATTACATTGTACTTACGAAGCCAAAGCTTCTTTTTTTTTGTTCCTGACAGAATTCTTCTCAAATTCTATCTTTTAAAATTATTTTTTATAATTCGACAATTTCAATATACCTGCTGTGAGTTTGTTAATTATATATATAGTACCAAAATCTGTCGTTGTAATCATGCAGGCGACAAAAGGGGGAGTATGTGTAATTCAAATTACACGTCGTTGTACGCAAAACGAAAGAAGATAATGCTATAAATGTAAAAGGGGTACAGTATTAAAAACTTAATGAATTAATAAGCACTTCCAATTAGCTTAACAGGTATAATCAATGAAGCTATAAACTAAACAGAACCAAATGTGATATTTACAAATACTTGGATGTAAGATTTGAATTTTGAGGCCTTATAAGCTACCAAAAAATGAATGATGATCAGTATATCAGTCTCTATTTATATTTGGCCTTAGTTTCTCTTTGTGTCTAAAGTAAATCATACTGATCTTGTGTCATGTTTACCAAGTCCATTTTACCAGAGTGAAAAGGGAAAAAGTAGAAACAATTGTATTTTAATTTAACTGGAAGTCTCACTGTACATGTATTATTGTCACTTATTTTGAATCTTTCTTTAAAACCTGATGATTTCTTTTAATATTTTCCTTTGGTTCTCTTCAATTGATTTTGCAACTGTCTCGTCAAGAAGATTTATATTTAAAGCATTATTTAGTTAATGTCTATCAATTTACCATTTAATAACATAAAAAAAATTAGGATATAGGAATTTAATTTTATGGCTCTAAAATTATTAATAAAAAAAACCTCTCAGTAATTTATTTGTTTGAGATTCAAAAATAAGAAGAGACTAATATAGAAAATGTAATTGAAATGTAATTGAAAAGTAATTGGCCATTACTAACATTTTTTTACAATAATGCATATGCATTACATTACAATTGCTTGTAATTGAAAGATGGATGCATTACACATTACACTCCATTACTTTGATAAAATGTAATGATTTCAATGCATTACCATTACACATAACCATTACCCCAGGTCTGAAGACTACTATAATAAAACTAAGAATAATTACGCTATTTCTACAGACTATGTAGAGAAGCCAAACCCTCCTCCCCTCGGAGCAAGTGCAGCACTTAATATTCATTAATAATTTCCCCAGGTTTTATTTTTTCCCCAAAGAAAGTGTTGATATAGCGTTGAATTTAAACTCTGATTTCTATGTACGTTTAAAGTACGTGTACTATAACGTGCAAACAACAAAATCTGTATTTCGTGCGTACCGGTTATTTCTCTCTTTTTCTTCCCTTTAACATCCTATTTCGCCATAAAAGCAATTCATATTTACTTTTTACTGAAATACAAAATAGTATAAAGCCTTATGGTCATTATTATAGACAAGAGGCCCACGGGCCTTATAGGTCACCTGAGTGTTTTAAACTAGAGGCCATGAAATTCGCAGTTCAAAGAGGCACTATTGCTTATCGTAATTAAAGACTTAGCATGCTTACTCTATTTTCTTAGTACCCAAAGGTAGATCAGAGTAACAAAGAGAAAATGCACTTCCACTTTATAACCAGTTGTGCACCTCATCCCAAAGGAACCACTCACCCTGGGGCCAAATATTTCAAAATTTTACAATTAAATTTTATCATAAAATAGTTGATTAATACCAAAGAGCAGATTTCAAAGCATTAATTTATTTTCAGACTATGTACCCCCCCCCCGACCCAGGGAAGGGGGGGGACAAAAAAATAACCATTTTGCTAGATGCACCTTTCTTCATCATAAATATATATTTTTGGATCATTGGCATAAAACCCAGAAGCAAAGGAAAGATTCTCAAAGAATTAATGTATTTTTATCATATAATCAATAGAGCCCCGCCCTATCACCAGAACCCCTGACCCTGGGGCCATAAAATTCACAAGTTTGGAAGAGGCACTCTTGCTCATCATAACTATGTACCTACTTAGTTTATTAAATACCCAGGAGCAGAGAAGAAGATTTTCAAAGAATAAATGCATTTTCATTATATTACCAATAGAGCCCCGCCCTAACACCAGAATCCGTGACCCTGGGGCCATAAAATTCAAAATTTTGGAAGAGGCACTCTTGCTCATCATAACTATGTGCTTGGTTAGTTTATTTGATACCCAGGAGTAGAGAAGAATATTTTCAAAGAATTAATGCATTTTCACTATATAATCAATAGAGCCCCGCCCTAACACCAGAATCCCTAACCCTGGGGCCATAAAATTCACAATTTTGGAAGAGGCATTCTTACTCATCATAAATATGTACTTAGTTAGTTTACTTAATACCCAGGAGCAGAGAAGAAGATTTTTAATGAAATTATGCATTTTCACTATATACTTATTTAGCCCCGCCCTAGCACTAGAACCCCTGACCCTGGGGCCATGAATTTCACAATTTTGGTAGAGGACTCAATGCTGATTACAATCATGCAAACAGTTTCACTGCTTGATGTCCAGGAGTAAAGAAGAAGATTTTTAAAGATTGCACTAATTTTAGTGGTTTTGGCCCCATCCCTCAGGCCCCAGGGGGGCAGGGACCATAATATTCACAATTTTTGTTCCCCTTCACCCATAGATGCTGTATACCAAATTTGGTTGAAATTGGTTAAGTGGTTTCAGCGAAGAAGCTGAAAATGTTAAAATGTTAACACACGATGTACGACGGACGACGGACGAAAACGGATAGCAATAGGTCACCTGAGTTTACTCAGGTGACCTAAAAAGAAAATAGGTTTAAATAGCGAATCTCTTTTTAAGGACAGATGATGCAAACAAATTTTATTTAATCTCAAAGGCTTAGAAAAGTGGATAATCCTTTTTTTTCCTTAGACAGTTGGAAAATGAAATTGATTTAAAAATTGAAATCCAGAGGAAGGTAAGAAACTTCATCAAACCAGAAACATGTGGGCAGATTCTTAAAAACAGAATTATTATAACAATCAGAAGTACTGTGAGCACTTAGTTCAGTAAATGATACCCCTCCGCCGCCTATATGAATATAAGGGCAAAGTCTATGTTTTGTCATGGAAAACCCAAAGTATTTGTCCAGCCGGAACAGAAAATAGCCCTTGCGCGGTGCAACTTTGTAAGATTCCGTTTAAGAGTTATAACATTTTATTCAGTATTCTACCACGATTATTGTCGACTTCAAACAAAAGTCGCGGCCATTATTCTCCTATGGTCTTTCATAATTTTTGCTTTAGGAAATTCCTAATATCTGTCTGATCAGAAAAAAAAATCTAGGAGATTTATTCAGTGGTCTGGAAAGATTTGCAGACGTGAAATGAAAAAAAAAGAAGGCCCTACAACCGTATCCTTATAGTTGATTTCTATAACAAAAACAGTTCATTTGTCAGAGATGACCAACTCTCGGAAAACTACGTACCTAAGACAGAAGAATGGGGTTGTGATGGTCACCATGTTCTTTCTGGGAAAGGATATCCTTATCCAACCATCCGTTTTCCGAGAATTGGTCATTTCTGAGAAATGAACTGTTCTTGTTATAGAAATCAACTTGTATGGTAAGAAATACAATACTAAAAAAAAAAAATTTAGCGTCTATGTACAGAATGCTTCAGAGCATGTCACGTGACCACCTGGACCAAGTGATTCGCGCATGGGCAGTGCGGTGGCAGATATGCATTACAATTGGAGAGGGCTACTAAAAAAGTTATGAACCTTATTTTATTTGTTTTATGGAAGTTATTTAATTTGTTTGCGAACTTTTTGAATTTCGATCATCCATCGTATTCCTATTCATGACGTTGTTATAAATATAACATCGGCTGGACTGTGCATCTTCTGTTTACGAAGTTAAATTTTAATATTGATAACGCTCGTAAATTATTGCGTATTGTTTTAATTACAATCTTTACATAAATATACTAGCACACACAAGGCAATGTGGCATAAAAAAGAAAAATAGTGTGCATCCATGGGATATGTGATGAAAATTCAGAATTCATATTTCTGACGTTATCATGAAATAAGAGTTACATTAGACTGCCCCGTGCGGCATGCATATTCAAAGTATTTACACCTATAATGTTCCGTAAATAGTGTGAATTGTTTTAATCTTTTGTATATTTATTCAATCATCGTCTATATTAAGACATTGTCGTACATGTTTGTCATCATTGCGGACTTTATAAAGAAAATTGAAGCATTTGTCCTCGAACTTTTTTGGGCAACACTCTTACATGTTCGGAGAGACGAACAATACCATCATTTACATACCCCGTACTTTTCAAGTTGAGGCATGGTAAATTCTGAATTTTAATTTGCGAAGAAATTTCTTTTTAAAAAACAACAAACAAACAAAGAAACAGGTGTAAAAATATGCCATTCTTTATTGGTTGTAATTATTTCAGTGTTTGTATGTTGTCTTTAATTGCAGTTGTTGTCCTTTTTGTTGTCTTTGTCTTTTTGCGTTGTTTGTCTTTCTTGTGGTGTTTATTCTTTTTGCGGTGCTTCTGGTCACGTGGTCCCTCCTCGGGTCCAGGCTCATTATGATAATCTTCAGAAAAAGGGAAAATTTCATCATCTGTTGGTAAAGGGAAAACATCATCTGTTGTTAAAGCGAAAATTCATCATCTGTTGGTAAAGTGAAAACTTCATCATCTGTTGGTAAAGTGAAAACTTCGTCCGTTGGAATTTCAGATGGAAAAGTAAAATCGTTGGAATTTCAGATGGAAAAGTAAAATCAGTCCACGGCATTTCTGATGATGAAGGGAGTGGCATCTCAGATGATGAAGGGCCTGGCATCTCAGATGATGAAGGGCCTGGCATCTCGGATGATGAAGGGCCTGGCATCTCAGATGAAGAGGGGCATGGCATCTCAGATGAAGAGGGGCCTGGCATCTCGGATGATGAAGGGCCTGGCATCTCAGATGATGAAGGGCCTGGCATCTCAGATGAAGAGGGTCCTGACATCTCGGATGATGAAGGGCCTGGCATCTCGGATGATGAAGAGCGTGGCATCTCGGATGATGAAGGGCCTGGTATCTCAGATGAAGAGGGGCCTGGCATCTCAGTTGATGAAGTGAGGGGAATTTCTGATGAAGAAGGGCGGGGCCTTTCAGTTGAAGAGTTTTCAGTTGAAGGAGTGTCTGTCGCTGAATTATCCGATTCGTCCGTCACTGGATTGTAGGTATTGTCTGTGACCTCTCTTCGCCCGATCTCATTTTCTGTTTTAAAAAAAATCTTTATTGACTGCATGAAAATGTGAAGTCGCAGTATGTAAATAAAAATTACCAATCCAAGTTTCATCTGGTGCAAAACATTTTATAATATGGAAACAAATGAAATCATTTTATTATAACTGTTTGATAACTGAGTGGTAATTTATAATTTAAAGTTTGAAAATCTTGTGACAAAGATATTTCCCACATTGGTTCTACCTTAAAAATATTAAATTCCCACAAAAAAATAAATCAATCTGAGTCACTCTAGCCTCATCATTTTAAGGACCTCCTATCCTTACCATTCAGGTTGTGAAAATCAAGCATTGACTAAAAACGCTCACAAAAATGTCTCTGATTTCTTAAAGTAACGTGCTCTACCCATGATAATTTTTCAAACTTAATTTTTAGAGTCAATCATGTTATATATGGGAAATAAGTAAATTAAATATCTAAGAAATGCGATTAAAAACACCTGCAATGTATTTTCCAATTCAAATTTGATCAAAAGACATATTTTAGAAATAAAAAATCATAGGTATGTCCAGGCTTTTGAAGAAATTACAAATAAGGTGCTTTATTTTTTTTTCTATTTACTACGATCATTTTACAATGCATAGTGTATAAAAAAAAATTTCAATCATTGCAAATTAAAACACAATTGATCACTTAATTTCATATCATGTTAATAAACATGTTTAGATGAAAATAATCCTCAATTCCTTTAAATAGGTAATTTTAAAATACCTTTATATGGTAAAAAATTTCGACTTTATAAAATACCTTTCTGAGAACTCCAAAACACTTTGAAGCACAATGAAAATTATTGCATAAAAGAATTAAATTTTGAATCATCGGTTTGAGAGTTTTTGAATTAAATCGTAAATTAAAAGTTATCCAACAAACTGCCTGATAATCGGAGTACCTTAAGAATTAAAGTAAAAAAATAAAATCATTCCAGATAGACTCAGTATATGTACTAAGTATTTATAGTATTTACATATTACTTATTTATAAATAACTCACCTAGGATCTTCAAAAATTCTCTCTTTGAAATCTGAAAAAAAAAGTTCATGGTACTAAACAATGCTCTCATTATCGAATTATTTCACTCATTTGATTCAAGCTAAATTTTTTGGAAAAATTAGATTTAAATTATAACTACATGTACTAAATTCATGCTCTTTTTTAATAAAGATTTAATGAAACGTGTTCACGAGAAAACTCAAATTATTTATTCCTAAATTAATTGTAATTACAACAGATAAATAAATGAATTTTATTCAAAAATATATATCGAAAAAATGAATTCAAAAACTTTTATTTTTTTCTTAATTTAAAGAGAGATATATAATTTACAAACATACTAATGTAAAAAAAAAAAAAAAATGAAAATAACAACTATAGGGCCATGTTTTAACGAATAAAATATATAAGTCTCACGGCGAGATTTTTACTTTTTTATTCAAAGTTGCACCAAAAAAAAAAATTAAGTGAAAAATATTTGTGCAGAATAATAGAGGTGGTTTTAGAAGGCTAACATTTTAAACGGCACAGAGGGTTTACAATGTTTTATATCTAGAAATTTATTTTTTGCATCATCTGCAATGAAAAAAGGTCAAAAAATAAATACGAGTCCAGGCATCTATTTTGTTTATATCATCTCTTCTTGATTATTGAACAAAGTTTTTGATAAATTTAGAAGTTTATTAATTACCTTGAATGCTTCGCCCAATGAGAGATGAATTAACAGCACAATAACGATATAGGTCCGCATATTGAGTCCGAGTCTCCTAAATATGGCTCAACCTGAGACTACTCAAGACTGCTTAAGACTAGTCAAACTAAGACTATAGCCACAATATATTATATATACAGACTGTAGAGAATTCTAACCCTTCCCTCTGAGCAATTGCGTTCTTATTCATTAACAATTTGTCTGGGATTTATCTATTTATTTTTTTTTTAGGAAAACGCTGAATGTGGAAAATAAACTCTGATTTATATGTAAATGTATTAGAGATCACATGTACTACAACATGTAAGTAAACAATGTTATCAGCGTAAATCGTGTCCCGGCAAGTTAACGTTGTATCTTTTTCTTCGTTTTTTTTAATCCAGTTTTGGAACAACATATCAATATTTATACTAAGTAGTATAAGACCTTGAGATTAGAATTCTAAAAAAAATTGGAAAATAGCCTTAAAATCCTTATCTTTAATAAAAACATTTTGTGTGTATATATATATTTTAATTCCAAAGTACACGCATGTATACAAGTTTAGTTTTCTTTGTTGAAATAATGATGGATAGGCATTTTTTGCTCCTGGGGATTTTTCTATTCGTTTGAGAAATAATTCCCAAAGATGATGATTTTTTAAAATCAAGATTATGTATATTTAAATAACGAAATCAATGTATATGAGGACAGTACTAATTAATTAGAATTTAAAAAAAAACAGGTGGAGATGGATTGGCCACGAAATTTAAGCCAGCAAACGATATCATACAAGAGTAGCACTAAGAGCACTGGGCTGAGTTACTCAAAACACTGGTTAACCTCTGGTTAAATCTCTTATTTAGCGGTTAACTTTTAACCATTGATTAAATTCTTTTGCTCCATCAAGTAGATTTAAAGCTAACATTTTTTTATTAATTGATGAATCTTCAAAAAGTGAGAGATTTAAACTGAATAAAAGAAAGCATGCGGTTTTAAGACCCCCTCCCCTGTTTTACATGTAGAAAGGTTTGCATACGCTTGAATTTTGTTTTCAGCATTTTTTCTTCTTTAAAACAGAACAAAATACAGTGAACTTTTGACCAATGATTATAAATTCTGTTGCTCAAAATTTATCCACTGGTTAACTTTGCTACCCAGTGGCTAAACCTTGGCTAAAGTTAGCCATTCAACAGAGGTGAGTTAAGTCTCTTATCCAGGGGATAATAATGGATTCCTGTTTGTTATAACATATTTTATGCCAATTTTTGCAGACGACAGCAAAAAAATTAGGGTATACTGACATTTTACACATGATTTCGAATCTCAGGAATACAGGGAAAGATACACATTTTCAAAGAAATCTGTTAAATACATCACGAACTAATTAGAACCGAAATTATGCCGCCCTACTCTAAGATCCCACTGGCACTCCCTGGCAAGTAAGCCAAGTTGACATGGCCCTAAGATTTTTTGCAACAGGGGATAATATGAGAACTATTGGTGTTACGTTAGTATTTCATACGTCCAGTGTCTATAGACGTGTACATGTAAGGAATGTGTCGGAAGCTTAGGCGAATATATAAGCGAGAAGCCATTATTATCCACTGGATAAGAGACTTAACCCACCTCTGTGGAATATAAAAAGATGAAAGTTATAACTGTTGAAACAGAACTTACATGTACTTCGGTAGCTGTGGAAAGGATAGCCAGAAATAGAGAAGAATGAAAATACCTATAGTCCTTGAGACACGGAACACGTTTACAATATAGTTTAGCATAAATGAAGGCATTTAATGGAGATCCTAATGTGATCCAAGTATATAATTACATGCAATGATGTTTCAAAGGAGAAGATGATGTTATTATATAGAGAAAAAAATCCTTTCAGCTTTAATGCAAAATGAATATACGACTCGTATCATTTTTTTTCTCTAAATCATAGAGATCATGCACATTGTGTAAATACAGCTACTTTAATCTGAATAAAAGAAAGCATGCGGTTTTAAGACCCCCCCCTCCCCTGTTTTAGAAAGGTTTGCATACGCTTGATTTTGGTTTTCAACGTTTTTTTTTTCTTCTTTAAAACAGAACAAAATAGAGTGAACTTGTAGATCTACTTACAATTAAATTGTTGTAAATTTAAGCGTTATACAACTTTGTTTTTTATTCGTCCTCATATATTTAATACGATTTTTTTTTTGTACTTTTTCAAAGAAAACGTGTTTAATGTATCCAAAAATAAAAATAAAGATTTAAAAACAAATGTGATCATGTTGGTAATGTATATATACGTAAAGAATAAAAAAGGGGGGTCAAAGCCCGGATAATTTTCGATTATAAGCAAAACACAAATATGAAAACATAGAAATAGACGGGCCAATATCCATGGATAAAACAGTAACATAATGAAAAAAATATTATAATTAGATTTAGCATATTTTTCTGATCATCGTGAATCTGCGGAACGAGATGGAAACTCCTTATCGAACGACTTACCTAATATTCTACAAATTAACTCCCCCTACCGGAACTCTTTTAATAAAGAAAGTAGGAAAAGAAATGACCAATCAGAAACGAAGATGGAGGTACCGCGGCCTGACGATTTCGCGCGAAATGCTGACTGAGAAAGAAAACGGTAAAATACACTGTAATTGATATTTATCATTTTCCTTAATATATAGTTTGATAAGAGCAGATTTCATGACAAGAATTTTGATAGTCTGTCAATAAGAAGGTATGGTGTAGTCGGGGAAAGGGGGCAAATGTCCCCACAGACTCGCGATCGAGACCCTGTACTGCAAAATTAGGAAATCCTTATTTTACAAAGGTCTAGGAGCTTTGGATCTGTGACTAAATGGGCATTAATAACTCATTTTACCTTCGTGACATATCTCATGTGTTATTGTTTACTGTTCTTTGCAGTTAAACTTGTATTTTAGTCCGTATCACGTGAACTCGGAAAGCATGGGGGACATCAATGTTGATGTTCTTCTACAGACCCTGGAGTCCAAGTCAGCGTCACAGGAAGAGAAGAATGATGTATATCAACAATTAGCTAAGTAAGACCTTGTTGTAGCTTGCTTAAAAAGAAAACCTTAATCTAATCTTCACAAAGTTTTATTGTAGTGAGATTTTTCTATGCGTTTTGCAGTGAGCAGTTGATACATAGAAAAAAAAAAACTATCGAAGTAGCTCTTGAGTCTTGACGCATGAAAAATCTGCATTCTAACTACAATGTCTACTTTTCATTATTATTATGACTGTCAAAGCACAAACTAACCTTTCAGTTATCTCAGTAAGACAAAGGGATTGTATATGTAAAGTAAGGTCAGTGTAAAACGTTTATTCTCCATGAATCTCGGAGAGAAATGGGGAGAAGAAATTGTACAGTTTTGATTTTTCAATGTTGATGAAAAACTTCTAAAAATCAGCCTGTCCAAGTCCTGTATAGAGATAATTTTCCACAAAATCTGTATACAACTTCAAAGATTATTTATAAGGAATCCCTATTCTTTTATAGTCAGTTAAAAGAGGACAGTCTAAGCTTAGTGAGCCTGGATGTTACTAAGAATTCCCGAAAATTCTGTGAGATCCTGAAAACAGACCTACAGCACAACCTTGTCACAGCCAACGGACTCCAGATCCTGGGATTCTGTCTACATGATAATGAGGCTGTCGGGTGAGATGTGTACAATTGTCACATTATATACTGTCTGTAGAAACACAAATTTTCGTGGGCATAAAATTTCGTTGACTTGTCATCTAAAAAGGTTTCAGAGACATACAATTTCATTGTTTTCGAAATAAAATCAATGCAAAATATAGTCATTTAAAAATTTCTTGTGGGATTTATTTTTGTTGATGATTGTTAACATCAAAATAAACGAAATTGAACCCCGACAAATATTTCTGCTTCACCCATGTCTACAGTATTTTATCTTTATGGCTCATTGGACTGTGCAGTGTTTTCCCTAAGAACTGACTACAGGAAAAACTCTGCAAGGTTCTATGAGCCAAGCAGACATTCATGTATTTTATTTGAAACTTTGTGTCAAAAGAGTTTTTCTTTTAAAATGATTGTTTAACTTTGTTTCAGAAATCTGTCTTCAGACTTGTGTAGAAGTATATTATCCTTACTGTGTGACTCGGTAGAGAAAACGGAGGATAAGAATCTGTGTGCCAAATCCCTCTGGTGTCTTCATCAGCAAAACATTCCTAAAGATGTTGTCTGTCAAGAGGTGAGTGATTTATACTGGTAACTACCCCCCTCTCTCAGTCAACAGATGAATGGTCTACACTGATCAATTCCCATCTTTACTTGTATCCATTAACAGGTGGGGGTTGTTAATGCTGCAACCTCCCCCTCCCTTTATCATGTTTCAACAGGTGAGTGGTTTGTACAGTGGATGGAAAAAAATATGAAATATGTGGGTTACACTGGTCACTTCCCCCTCTCCAAGTGTTGGTCAACAAGTGGGTGGGTCAATAGGAGTTTTCTATAGTTTAATTCTCTCGTCCCGGACGTCCCCCTCCCTCATGCCTTCTATACTTCCATCTCCCCTCACATGAGTCAGCAGGTGAGTTTGGTTTATACTTCTGGTCCCCCCCCCCCATTTTTAAAACCATAATGATTAGAGAAAAACATACAATTTTGAATTTTACTTGACAAAAAGCCAAGTATTTGGGTCAGTTGATAAAATAAACAACTGTAATCAAGCATACAGTTAAACTTGTAGCTACATTACAGATAGTTTGTAATCTGTTGATGTTTTGTTGATTGTAGGTGGAGTCGGTACTATCAGCCGTGGAACAAGCTCTACTGAGGTGGAAAATGCAGTCCTCTGTGGTGGAACATGAAGCCTCGCAAATCATTTACAGGTAAAATATTACAAATCATTTACAGGTAAAATATTACAAATCATTTACAGGTAAAATATTACAAATCATTTACAGGTAAAATATTACAAATCATTTACAGGTAAAATACTACAAATCATTTACAGGTAATATATTGCAAATCATTTACAGGTAAAATACAAATCATTTACAGGTAAAATACTACAAATCATTTACAGGTAAAGTACTAGTCTACAAATCATTTACAGGTTAAAATACTAGTCTACAAATCATTTACAGGTAAAATACTACAAATCATTTACAGGTAAAATACTAGTCTACAAATCATTTACAGATTAAAATACTAGTCTACAAATCATTTACAGGTAAAATACTACAAATCATTTACAGGTAAAATACTAGTCTACAAATCATTTACAGGTAAAATACTACAAATCATTTACAGGTAAAATACTAGTCTACAAATCATTTACAGGTAAAATACAAATCATTTACAGGTAAAATACTACAAATCATTTACAGGTAAAATATTACAAATCATAGAATACTTCAAAAAAAGAATGCCATTCCTCTGAGTCTCGGTTCCAATCCAGAAACATAACGTGTCAATTAAGCATGTATTTTAGAGTAATATGATTAACCTTCTAATATTGACATTGTTATGCAGGTTATTGAAGGATCACCGGCGTGAGATGGAGGGTCACATTGTGAGATGGGGGAAGCTGCTGCTCCCACTAATGGCCCACAAGGCCCCCAAAATACACCAGTCAGCGCTCGAGGTCGTCAAGACAGAGTTACCTGCCCTTCTCTCTCATCAGAGGGAGTTAGTACAAGCTCTAATTCCCGAGTTTAAACTGGTACGTGAGTTATTTTTGTAATATTTTTATACACCTTTGACCTTGATAGCAAAGACTATTTCTTATTTATTTTAGTTAAATAAATTCTTCATTAACCCAAGGCTTAATCAGTGGTATTTCAGACAATCGATAAGATATATAACTTACTGCAATGCATTTTGATATTATGTTAATTGCTATTGCTTGGAAACTGCATTGTGTCACATTAAGCTGTCTCATGCTAGGAGTACGGAAATTTACACTTCCATTGTCTAACCAATCAAATCTTGTAATGCAAGCTACATAGGAAATAAATACACAAAAATATACATTTAGTGTACACACACAACCCAAAAAAGCAAAATGATCAAATCCTTATATTTCCTACCAAAAGAACACTCCATTTTATGGAGATTTGAAGCAACAAATCTAAAGTTGTGTTGTTTTTATCTCTTTATATTCATGTTCTTCATGATTCTTTTCAGAGAATTGGTTCCGAGTTGAAGGCATTTTTTACTAGTCAACAAGAAATGCATGCTTTGGAATGCTGGGAAATTTTTGTGCAGATTTGTGGAAAGGTAAATAGCATTTATGTGAAGTCTTAACTGTTTAGGAGTATTTGTTAATGATAGGATTGAAATCTCAGGTCAAAAACATTACTTTATGAAGAGGATACTGCTAATTTGGTCAGGTGTTTTTTTTAAAATTTATGTATTTTTCTTTAAGAAAAGAATGTTTGTTTCGTTTAAAAAAAAATTAGAATCCTAGATAAATTTGTCCTTTTCAGAATCTCTTCAGTGTGGACCATGTAAGAGTAAATGTCTTCATTATTTTTTTTGTTTATTGATGTGAGGCACCATTTTCCTTTATTCAGGGACTCGCATTTTCATTAGTTACAAATAATAGCTTGCCTCTGTAAAACAAAAACAATTTTGTCTTTTTTTGAAAAGTTAGGCATATATTGTGTTGTTTTGTTTTTTGATGCAGGTATTTTATTGTGAACATAAAAGCATTGCTTGATGGTATTTTTATTACAATTTACACAGTGTTCATTAAATGCAGTATTGACCTCCACAAGAAAACTTCTGTGAATCATAATACCAAAAAATGTAAATTAGGTTACAGTATGATAAATCTATTTTCTTACTGACATAAAAACGATTCTCATGTAGAAGGTAAATGATGTGTTGGGGGGGGGGGGGAATTCAACCCATACACTTTGTGTAAGTAAATTTGTTCCCCTCTCAGTAATTTTATCTTCTTTGTTTTCAGTAGATAAAAGTTCAACCCATGCAAAAGAGGGTTGGATTTAGCAATAGGTGGAATCTATAGGGGCTAGAAAGTTTGGGAAAGATAAAAAGGTCTTTCTCAAATAATATAGAAGTAAACTGTTTTTTAAAAAAGTGATAACATGTTAATTTTGTTTTAGGAACTGCATCATGGGAGTTTTATCAACATGCTTCTGCCAATCATGGAGCTGGCCTTTAAAGGTTCTAATGAGGTCAAGGTTCGTGCTTTCCAGGCCTGGCAGGTTCTTATTGACAACTTTGCCACAAGCCATGGTAAGAAATTGTAATGTTCTGTCTGTGTTAAAGTTCTCCAATAGCATTCTGTACTGTAATATCACAAGCCACAGTGAAACTGCTTAATGTTCTGTCTGTGTTCAAAGTTCTGTGATATCATTTCAATTTCCTTGTAAAATCTGAAATTGTCTTGAAAAAGGATTATTAACTACAGTTGTGTGCTAGATTTTGGTGTACATGTTATGATAATGCTCTGTTTTATGAAAAACTACTTAGGTATTTGAATATGAAAAAATTCCAGACACAATCCTCAAAGTTACTGATTGATTTCAATTTAAGTTCTAAATGAAAAATTCAGTATTTAAAATTTCAGAGATCCTGACTTGCCCCAAGAGAATTAAACTGATAATGCAGGTGTTAAAGATAAACAACGCCAAGACGGAGGCTGTAGCCATGGCTAAACTACAGGTGTGGTGGCACTTTGTCTGGCTCCTTGGACCAAAAGCCCCGGGGAACTTTGAACAGGTAAGTGATGTAGGGACAGGTAGATGGTTGACAAAATCAGGGCAAACACTTTCATTTTGAATTGCCACTAATGATGAAGTCATGAAAATATGCCGTATTTTTACATCAATGAACTTATGATGCTGCATGGTAGTAAAATAGAGATCATGCATTAGGACTGAAATTTTCTTTCTTTCAATACCAGGTAAATATTAAACTTTACAAAACAAATTGTGTAGATTGAGAAAAAAAAGCAGTTTTTACCTACTGGTCACACCTAAAATGATGTAATGGCGCGTCCGTCCGTCAAAAAATAAATTTTTTAAGGATGGCTGTCTGTAAACAATTTTTCAAAATGCTACTCCTCCTACAGTTTTGGTCTGATTTCAATATAACTTGGCACACAAGTAGACTACACTAAGATACATAATTCTGTGCATCGGTTTTTGATTTCAATGAACGGTGTTGCCGTGGTTACTAAAAATAGAAATTTCTTTGAAATTCTTTCAAAATGCTACTCCTCCTACAGTTTTGATCTGATTTTAATATAACTTGGCACAAAAGTAGACTACACTAAGATACATAATTCTGTGCATCAGTTTTTGATTTCGATGAACGGTGTTGCTGTGGTTACTAAAAATAGAAATTTCTGTGAAATTCTTTCAAAATGCTACTCCTCCTACGGATTTGGTCCAATTTCAGTATAACTTGGCACACAAGTAGACTACACTAAGATACATTATTCTGTGCATCGGTTTTTGATTTCGATAAACGGTGTTGCCGTGGTTACTAAAAATAGAAATTTCTGTGAAATTCTTTCAAAATGCTACTCCTCCTACAGTTTTGGTCCAATTTCATTATAACTTGGCACACAAGTAGACTACACTAAGATACATAATTCTATGCATCGGTTTTTGAATCGATGAACGGTGTTGCCGTGGTTACTAAAAATAGAAATTTCTTTGAAATTCTTTCAAAATGCTACTCCTCCTACAGTTTTGGTCTGATTTCAATATAACTTGGCACAAAAGTAGACTACACTAAGATACATAATTCTGTGCATCGGTTTTTGATTTCGATGAACGTTGTTGCCGTGGTTTAAAAATAGAAATTTCTTTGAAATATCAAAATGCTACTCTTCCTACAGATTTGGTCCAATTTTAGTATAACTTGGCACACAAAACTACACTAAGATACATAATTCTGTGCATCGGTTTTTGATTTTGATAAACGGTGTTGCCGTGGTTACTAAAAATAGAAATTTCTGTGAAATTCTTTCAAAATGCTACTCCTCCTACAGTTTTGGTCTGATTTTGATATAACTTGGCATACAAGTAGACTACACTAAGATACATAATTCTGTGCATCGGTTTTTGATTTCAATGAACAATGTTGCCGTGGTTACTAAAAATAGAAATTTCTTTGAAATTCTTTCAAAATGCTACTCCTCCTGCAGTTTTGGTCTGATTTCAGTATAACTTGGCACACAAGTAGACTATACGAAGATACATAATTCTGTGCATTGGTTTTTATTTTGATGAGTGGCAAGGATCATTTTTCTATTTATTGCTGATTTAAAGTCTCAAGTCCCAACTGCTACTTTTCTCTTCCTTTGTTTTAAGTATAAACCAGTAGAGCTACAGTCTCGACAGAGGCTTCTGGTTTAAAACAAATTGTGGTTGTTTTATTTTTATAGGTGTGTTTGCCTCTGTTGCATTTCTGTGTGGGAGGATCTAAGAGTATTGCAGGTGGACTTGGGACACCAAGTAAGTGTTTTCTACTCTCAAAATTTTGAAGTTGCTTGTGCAAATTAAATTGCTCAATGAAAGAAATTAATGGGGTTTTTTTTATCCAATATCTGAAAAAGAAACTATAGATAAGAGATCTATTCTTAGAAACAAAGACTTGGGTAAAAATATTGCAGGGCCCTAAAAGTGTAATCACTGCTCTTCTACAAACTACAGCAAAACTTGGGTTATAACGAAGTGGCTGGGACCTATGAAGTTACTTAGCTATATCTGTGATTCGTTGTAACCGTATAAGAAATTCATTAAATTTATATAGCTGGGGAATGGGGACCCAATATGACTTCGCAATATCCGTGTTCATACTAAACGAGTTTTACTGTAGTACTTATTTTAATGATTTGCCTTTAGTATCTTGTTTCAACATGCCAATATACAAATTACAGTACTTTGGATAAATGCATATATATAGAGTGACAGGGATTTTCCACTGCCCCGTGTAGGGCCATATATAGAACCCATAAAGTTAACTTGATTAAGTTTCTGGTAAAATAATGTCCAGTTTTTTTTTTTAAACTGAATAAAATAAACAAATTTTTTATGAAATTTGGCTAAAAATTTATTAATACCGATCTATCATCTGCTTTATAATTTTGAATAATTAAGGAAAACATCAAATTTATTAATTATAAGTGTTTATTTCTTGAAAAACATCATGCTATAAAATTTCCCAATTATTGATAAAATGCCGTTAAATTCCCAATTCCAAGGGCCTGGGCCCCATTCCCAAAACGGTGTGGAAAATCCCTGAGTGAAAAAGGATTGGCAATAAATGTATAACTTTATATGAATGGAAGGGTAGAGAGAGAGACAGTAACGTCTGAATATTTCCTTACTAACTCGCAGCTAATTGTAGATGTTTCCTTTCTCCTTGCCTATTTGTATACCGATACACTTGAAACCGAATCTCAGAGTTTTACATTAGCTAAAAAAAAACACGCAAGTAATATTTTTTGGGAAATTATTTTAAGGAACTCTTCCAAATGGTACCAGCCCCAAGACACCGAGACTGAACTTGAGTGGAGGAAGTACGATGGGGTCGACGTATCCCAAGATTCCCTGTCTCCAGCTAAGAGGGTGCGAGGTGCTGGCACATCTCCTGGGGCGCGTGCCTGAAGATCTGGACATCCCCAAGTTCTCCTTCTCTCTAGGTAATGAGACGCTGGGGATTTGGTCTCTGTGGACTTATTGTTCTCATAGTACCTGAAGTTTGAATTTTTTCAAAGCATCATAAAGCATGTCCATACAATGCTAAATTCCGTAGGGTATTAGATGTCAAATTTGCTATAATTCAGCGTCATTTAATGAATTAAACATTTGCATACAATTATTAGTTGCACATGTTGTTAATTTTTTTATGATCATGAAAATATTAGCATCCCAAAGACCCAAGAATCAAACATCTTTGCATAGATAAATGTACATGTTACTAATTTCAGATTATTTGGGAAATTTCTGTAAGAGATAAAGTCTTCACAAGGATCATAAAGTTCATGTGAAATAGAGTGAATCTTAAATTTCATTCCCTCTTCTCTAAATTTCAGATCCTTTGACACATGACTTGATTACAGGTCCGGGGTTTTTTGTCAAGCAGTCCAATGTGTTTGTTAACTCTGCTACAGAGCTTATTTGTGATCTAGGGTCACAGATTCCAGGTTTGTATTTTAATCCAATGTAAATGCTTGTATGACTTTCTTTCAATCTTAAAAAGTTTTTTTTTAAAATATATTTTTGTAAGAAACATGTAATATGTCTGTTAAAAATTGCTGCTAACATATAAAAATTGTGTACAGAAAATTTTCTGAAATCTAACTTTTAAGGTACATGTACATTTACCTAAAAGCATTCCAACATGATGGAAGAATTGAATTTTCTTTAGGTTTTGTAGCTCACCAGAGCCGAATGTGGTGTGGCCCATGGGCTTCTTGTCTGTAACCTTTTCATTGAAAAATCTTTAATTACAGAGGGTCTACTTCTACATATCTGGTTTTCTTTGATTGCACACATGAGGAACGGTCTGGAAAGTGGGTCAAGGTCGGAGATGAAGGATGCCTTCACTGTATTCCTGACCCAGTTTCAGGTCATTGTTTTGAGTGGAGCTCTAGAGCCTAAGATAATCCTGGTAAGTATTGAAAGAGTAAAATAAAAGGGAACAGCATCTGAATTATATTGATAAACTAAATCAAAAATTAAAAAAATTGAATTTATGGGCCTTTTCTCTTGGTTGTTGGAGGTAAGGCTCAGAATTGGTTGACTGAAGCTCTCATTATTTGTTTCAGAAACTGTTCAATGCAGTGTGTTGTTTACCAAGCAAAGCTCTGAATTCGACAGCATACAATGTGAACTGTGGAGAAAAGCTACATGTAAGTTCCATAAATAAGAAGAGTATGTCAGAAACAATGCTTGTACATTTTCCTCGAGTTGTTTTATACACACTAACAGTGAAGAGTCGCTGAGAAATAGTGCTCAAAGAAATTAAATAATTTTCTACATATAGAAAAAAATTATTGTGCAAAAATGTACAAGTAAAGTAGTAGATATTTTCAATGCTTGCTCTGTTTAATTTGTGTGTTATGGAAAAAAATGGAATAACTTTGATTTGTTCCTACTGCACTGTGTTAGCCGTGCATTGTAAATGTGGATTTTTGTTTGTGATAATTCATGTGAGTAATTGTAGTAAAAACTTTGAACTGTTGTCTGTCCTTCAGGGTTCACCTGCACTCTTCCTGATGCAGTTACTGCTGACTCCTAGACTGTTGACAGATTGTTCCTCATTGGAAAGGTAGAAAGCAGAGGCGCTTCAAACTGATTAAAAGAATGTTTTTATTGTACATGTATTTTGAATAAGTTAGATGAGAAATGTTTTGATTTTCATACATGGACAGGAATATTATTGTGATTGTAAAAAGTTTTAAGTATCCCACGCATTTACTACCATGCTTCTTTCTAAACAAAAGTAGGGGGATTTACATCAATTTAATTGCAATTCCTGTGCATTTAATTGGTTAGGAGTGATGATTTTTGCCTATGTGTTCAATACATATATACACTCTACATGTATGTTTGCATTTGTTAACATTGGAATCATTATTTATGTTATTTCTATGTCATATGTAGTGTGTTTGTTTTTCAGCTATAATACCCTGTACAGTAAGCTTGTTAACATTGTTGTCGGTGGACCAGGCTCGCTCGAGTTCACTCAATCCGTGCTACATCTACTGGACGTTAACTCTGAGTTTATAGAGGGAGCTGAGTCACTGTGGAGATTTTGGAGTACGGTGGTCAACTCACTGCAGCAGTTCATTGTTAAGGTAATTTACATACATGTAAAAAAAAATAACAAACACACACACATATTGTAAATCAAGTATTCTTCACAGGAACTTTTACATGTATTTGTGATTTGTCAGATTGAATTCTACCTGGTATCTATCTGAGACAATATAATTTTTGCGAGTGAATTATTTCACAATGTACATATGATAAGCTAAAGAAATCAATAATTGTGAATTTTTTTTTTTTTTTGCACGATTGTTTTATTCAAAACTGTTTAAAAATGGCCTAAAAGTGCTGGAAAAGTGCTAAGAAAAATAATGTTGCTGGTATGTACAAACCTTGACAATACAGCTTGAATAATGCAAGTGTTTTGTAAATGGTAAAGAGCTGTTTTTGACTAAAAATGACATAAACATAGGACATGACACAATTTTGTTATTTTCAGACAGGGGAGGTAAACCAGGGTGATGCTTTGGAACACAATTTTAGTTGTCTGTATGCTGTCCTGCTTTTCCCCATTAAACATCAGCTCCCAGAGAAGATGCCACAGGTGAGTTGTCAGAGTTGGGGGGGGGGGAACATGATCATGTCATGTTTATTTCGTAAGCACGTTCACTGTATAAATGATTAATCCACAAAATTATATCCTCAGAAGTAAAATTTTGTTTTCCCATGAACATTGATCCCAACAAATTTAAATGAGCATTAATGATGCAGGCATAAAAAATTCCTTCCTAAAAAATTTGTTATTTCATGCCTTTTGAATGTTGCCATCATTTTTAAAGTTTTTTTGCTTTCAGTTTTTCACTCGTGTTACTTCTAAACTGGACTTTCATTGTCTGGATGAGCTTTTTACAACAGAAAGTAATAAAGAGTCTTGTATTATTTTCTCTTTGTAGGTGTCAGTGAAAACTCTACAGAAAACTTGGACTGAGGTCTATCAAACGTTTGCCCGATTATCTGCCCTTGTTACGAATGCTGAGGCTAACATAAATTGTGAGGATCTATGTCACCAAATCAACAAGAGTCTGAAGGATGAAGATTCCCTCGTAAGTTAAAAAAAAACTACAATAGGGGTAAATTATTCCCTTCCCATCTCTTTATAGCCTCAATAGAAATTAGAAATGGTGATTAGAAATAGCTACTTTTACTACAATTGTTGTTTAAATCTTTTCATTTTAAAATAGGGATGTCAATTTTACTTGGGCAGCTTAGTCGAATAGTCGGATGCTTTAGTCGAACGATAGTCGAATATTCGTTTTAATTATTTTTTCATATCATCTTCACTGTTTGTCTTTACAGACTAGTTTACAATATTTAACCTATGCTATCACCGTTATACAACGAATTTCTGAATTGTAAACATGTAAGTAGTACAATAAAAACTATACATCAATATGTATCCAATGTATTTAATTTCAAAATTAAAATACTAGCTGCACATTTTATCTAAATGCAGGATATCAAAATCTTGATTTGTCCTTTCTTTACATAACGATAGTACGTGTATCCCATAATTGAAGCCAATTTCTACGTGTCCGTCAATGACCTTTGACAGGTAAACAATTAAAGTGTGTCTCATAAAAACAAAGAGAGAGAGAGATAGCTTGGGACAAATTTTAATTATGAAATTTCGTGCAAACAATCAATGATTGCATGAAATTAATATCAGAAAAAGAAAACACGGTTTAATTACTCGCATAACTGACCCCAATTTACATGTATTTTGAAGATATGTTTGCCGAAAATAAATCGACTTACAAATAATTTCCTTTGAACAGTTATACCGTACCCTTAATTTTTAGCTCTACTGGTCAGAGACCAGAAGAGCTTATGCGATAGTAATGCGTCCGTCGTCCGTCCGTCTGTCTGTCTGTCTGTCTGTCTGTCCGTCTGTAAACAATTTTTCAAAATGCTACACCTCGTATAGTTTTGGTCTGATTTCAATATAACTTGGCACACAAGTAGACTACACTAAGATACATAATTCTGTGTATCGGTTTTTGATTTCGATGAACGGTGTTGCCATGGTTACTAAAAATAGAATTTTCTGTGAAATTCTTTCAAAATGCTACTCCTCCTACAGTTTTGGTCTGATTTCAATATAACTTGGCACACAAGTAGACTACACTAAGATACATAATTCTGTGTATCGGTTTTCGAATTCGATGAACGGTGTTGCCGTGGTTACTAAAAATAGAAATTTCTGTGAAATTCTTTCAAAATGCTACTCCTCCTACAGTTTTGGTCTGATTTCAATATAACATGGCACACAAGTAGACTACACTAAGATACATAATTCTGTATATTGGTTTTTTATTAGGTCACCTGAGTAAACTCAGGTGACCTATTGCTATCTGTTTTCGTCCGTCGTCGTTCGTTCGTCGTACGTCGTTCGTAAACTTTTGAACATTTTCAGCTTCTTCTCTGCAACCACTGAACCAATTTCAACCAAATTTGGCACAAAGCATCTATGGGTGAAGAGGAACAAAAATTGTGAATTTCATGATCCCTGCCCCCCTGGGGCCTGAGGGGTGGGGCCAAAACCACTAAAATTAATGCAATCTTTAAAAATCTTCTTCTTTATTCCTGGAAATCAAGCAGTCAAACTGTTTGCATGATTGTAATCAGCATTGAGTCCTCTACCAAAATTGTGAAATTCATGGCCCTGGGGTCAGGGGTTATAGTGCTAGGGCAGGGCTAAATAAGTAGGTAGTGAAAATGCATTATTTCTCTGAAAATCTTCTTCTCTGCTCCTGGGTATTAAATAAACCAACTAAGTAGTTAGTTATGATGAGCAAGAGTGCTTCTACCAAAATTGTGAATTTTATGGCCCCAGGGTCAGGGTTTCTGTTGTTTGGGCGGGGCTCTATTGATTATATACAGTGAAAATACATGATTTCTTTGAAAATCTTCTTCTCTGCCCCTGGATATTAAATAAACTAACTAAGTGCATAGTTATGATGAGCAAGAGTGCCTCTATCAAAATTGTGAATTTTTTGGCCCCAGGGTCAGGGGTTCTGGTGGGGGGGGGGGGGGCGTTATAGATTATATAGTAAAAATACATGAATTCTTTGAAAATCTTCTTCTCTGCTCCTAGATATTAAATAAATTAACTAAGTGCATAGTTATGATGAGCATGAGTGACTCTACCAAAATTGTGAATTTTATGGCCCCAGGGTCAAGAGTTCTGGTGTTAGGGGGGGGGGGGGGCTCTATTGATAATATTGTGAAAATACACGAATTCTTTGAAAATCTTCTTCTTTGCTCGTAAGTATTAAATAAACTAACTAAGTGCATAGTTATGATGAGCAAGAGTGCCTCTACCAAAATTGTGAATTTTATGGTCCATGGGTCAAGGCTTCTCTTGTAGGGGAGGGGGGGGGGGCTCTATAGATTATATAGTAAAAATACATGAATTCTTTGAAAATCTTCTCTGCTCCTAGTTATTAAATAAACTAACGAAGTGCATAGTTAAGATGAGCAAGAGTGCTTTTACCAAAATTGTGAATTTTATGGTCCCAGGGTCAGGTGTTCTGGTGTTAGGGTGGGGCTTTATTGATTATATAGTAAAAATACATGAATTCTTTGAAAATCTTCTTCTCTGCTCCTAGGTATTAAATAAACTAACTAAGTACATAGTTATGATGAGCAAGAGTGCTTTTACCAAAATTGTGAATTTTATGGTCCCAGGATCAGGGGTTCTGGTGTGTGTGTGTGTGGGGGGGGGGGGGCTCTGTTGATTATATAGTGAATATACATTAAATCTTTGAAAATTTTCTTCTCTGTCTCTGGGTATGAAGCAGATGAACTACCTAAATAGTTATGATGAGCAAGGGCCCTAATCTTGCAGAATTTTGAATTTCAAGGCCCCAGGGTCAGGGGTGGGGGTGGAGCTCTACTTATATACTAATGAATTAATTGTTTGAAATCTGCTCCTTTGTATTTATAAAACATTTATTTATTTTTTGATAGGCAATTTTAACGGTGCCTTTTTAAAATTTGTGCAATGTGTGGACCTAGGGTCAGGGGTTTATTTCACAGTGTTAGGGGCACTACTGATTATTGCTGAATATTACTGATTAGTTGGAATGCATTTTGTTCCCTTACCTTGCGTATGGGTATTCAGTACCCCTGCGAGGTGATCATGAATAATTCATGGATTTCCTTGAATTTTTAGGTCACCTGAGTAAACTCAGGTGACCTATTGCTATCTGTTTTCGTCCGTCGTCGTTCGTCGTACGTCGTCCGTCGTACGTCGTTCGTAAACTTTTGAACATTTTTAGCTTCTTCTCTGGAACCACGGAACCAATTTCAACCAAATTTGGTATACAGCATCTATGGGTGAAAGGGAACATAAATTGTGAATTTCATTGTCCCTGCCCCCCTGGGGCCTGAGGGGTGGGGCCAAAACCACGAAAATTAGTGCAATCTTTAAAAATTTTCTTCTTTACACCTGGACATCAAGTAGTCAAACTGTTGACATTATTGTAATCATCATTGAGTCCTCTACCAAAATTGTGAAATTCATGGCCCCAGGGTCAGGGGTTCTGGTGTTAGGGGGGGCTATATAGATTGTATAGTAAAAGTTCATTATTTCTTTGAAAATCTTCTCCTCTGCTCCTGGGTATAAAACAAACTAACCAAGGACATAGTTATGATGACCTAGAGTGCCTCTTCGAAAATTGTGAATTTCATGGCCCCAGGGTCAGGGGTTCTGGATTTAGGGTGGGGCTCTATTGATTATATAGTGAAAATGCATTTATTCTTAAAAAATCTTCTTCTTTGCTTTTGGGTATTAAATAAACCAACAAAGTAAATAGTTATGATGAGCAAGAGTGTGTCTTCCAAAATTGTGAATGTTATGGCCCCAGGGTCAGAGGTTCTGGTGTTAGGGCAGGGCTCTATTGATTATATTGTGAAAATGCATTATTTCTTTGAATATCTTCTTCTCTGCTCCTGGATATTAAATAAACTAACTAAGTACATAGTTATGATGACCAAGAGTGTCTCTACTAAAATTGTGAATTTTATGGCCCCAGGGTCAGGGGTTCTAGTGTTAGGGCGGGGTTCTGTTGATTATATAGTGAAAATGCATTAATTCTTTGAAAATCTTCTCCTCTGCTCCTGTGTATTAAAAAAAATAATTAAGTACATAGTTATGATGACCAAGAGTACCTCTTTCAAAATTGTGAATTTCATGGCCCCTGGTTCAGGGGTTCTGGTGTTAGGGTGGGGCTCTATTGATTATATTGTGAAAATCTTCTCCTCTGCTCCTGGGTGTTAAACAAAATGATTAAGTACATAGTTCTGATGACCAAGAGTGCCTCATCTAAAATTGTGAATTTTGTGGCCTTTGGATGGTGGGTTCTGGTGTTAGGGCGGGGCTCTATTGATTATATAGTAAAAATACATTGATTCTTTGAAAATCTTCTTCACTGCTCCTGGGTATTAAACCAATGAACTATGAACATAGTTATGATTAGGAAGGATGCCTCTTCCAAAATTGTCAATTTCATGGCCCCTGGGTCAGGTGTTCTGGAGTTAGGGTGGGGTTCTATTGATTATAAAGTGAAAATGCATGGATTCTTTGAAAATATTTTTCTTTGCTCCTGGGTACTATGCCAATGATCTAAGTACCGGGGTATATATATTTATGATGGCGAAAGCTGCATCTAGCAAAATGGTTAATTTCATACCCCCTGGGTCAGGGGTATTGGGGGGGGGGTTACATAGTTTGAAAATAAATTAATGCTTTCAAATCTGCTCTTTGGTATTAATGATTCATTTATGATGAAATAAAAATTCCACAATTTTGATATTTGTGCTTCCTGTTGGGTCTTGGACAACTGGTTACAAAGTGGAAATGCATTTTTTTCTTTGTTACTCTGATCTACCTCTGGGTATTAACTATTAAGTAACTAGAATAAGCATACGTAGTGTATAATTATGATAAGCAACAGTGCCTCTTTCAAAATTGTGAATTTCATGGCCTGTGGTTTAAAACACAAACCAAATTCCATTGTTTGAAAGTTGTTATATGATACTCAGGTGACCTATAAGGCCCGTGGGCCTCTTGTTTCGATGAATGGTGTTGACATGGTTACTAAAAATAGAATTTTCTGTGAAATTCTTTCAAAATGCTACTCCTCCTACAGTTTTGGTCTGATTTCAATATAACTTGGCACACAAGTAGACTACACTAAGATACATAATTCTGTATATCGGGTTTTGATTTCGATGAACGGTGTTGCCGTGGTTACTAAAAATAGAAATTTCTGTGAAATTCTTTCAAAATGCTACTCCTCCTACAGTTTTGGTCTGATTTCAATATAACATGGCACACAAGTAGACTACACTAAGATACATAATTCTATGTATCAGTTTTTCACTTCAATGAACGGTGTTGCCGTGGTTACTAAAAATAGAAATTTCTGTTAAATACTCTCAAAATGCTACTCCAAATACAGTTTTAGTGTGATTATAATATAATGTGGCATGCAAGTAGACTACACTAAGAACATAAAGAGACTTAATCAAGGATCATTATTCTATTTATTGCTGTAGAAAAGTTTCAATTCCCAACTGCTTAAGTACTTTTCTCTTCCTTTGCTATAAGTACAAACCAGTAGAGCTTCAGTCTCGACAGAGACTTCTGGTTACATCTGAAAATATTGATCTGTAAATAAATGAAATGGGCAAATGTAAGTTTATTGCCATGAATTCAATATTACTTTGATGAAACACATTTTTAACGAATAACCGACTAAAGAAATTTTAGTCGATAGTCGGTATGATCGAACGATAGTCAAGTACTCGAATATTCGTTGACATCCCTATTTTAAAATGTTGTCTTTTATGTAAGAGAAGCCATATTTCAATTAGAAATAAAAAAAAAATAAATGTACTTGTGCTGAATCTCATTGTTGCATATTGCAGTCTCACTTATTGATTGATTGATTAATTTGTTGTGTGTATTTTTGTAGAGCCTTCCATTGATAGATTTTCTGTCACATGCGTCTCAAACGATAATCAATACTTTTGATTTTTCCTCACTGGGAACAAGTAGTGCTTTTAATATTGGTAAGTGTCTGCTAAAGTTTAGATCAGGTCCCTCTGTCATACAATGTGTAGAAGAAGTTGGCTCTCTGGAGAGACATGCCAGATTTATTCACCTGAGTTGAAGTCATAGAATTTTGTTTCCTAGGTGCTCTGCAGGTGAGTCCAGCCAAATGGACCAAGAAGAAACATAAACCAATGGAGAATCTCCACTCCCTGGCTGTCCTTGTAAGACATCTCCTGGAGAGACTTTATACACACATCAGAAGCGGGGAGAAAAAGGTAATGGCAGGACATTAGTCTTGAGGACTACTGCATATAGGGAATATTCCCCCCTCCCTGTTTTATTTTCACTCCTTTTATTTCATTTTCTACACGGAGATGTGAAAATTTAAAACTTGTTGAACTTAACAAAATGTGTTTTTTTCAGGAAGCCTCAAATTCTTTGTCACCTCAGGGGCCAGCCAATGCATTAACGGATTGTCTGTGTACAATGTTTTCTCATCTCTCATCATCCAGTGTGTTAGTGGCTGTGATTGGTCACTTGTCTCAACCAATCGCAGACTTGATTCAGGAATCCATCAAGAAGACGTGTGCCAAATTGTTCAATAATAACTTCATGCAAAAGGTGCAGTATATAGAACTGATATCAACACTGTTCACTTACTTCTGTCTCTTGATAGACTATTCAGTTCCTACATGAAAATGCCAGAGCACCATAGAAATAACATTGTCAATCTGTCTGTCTGTCGAAACATTTTTTTGTAACACAATAACTGAGCAGTAATAAGAAATGAAAGTAAAAAATAATTTTATTGCAAGATTTATTTAATGATGTTATTAAAGAAAATACAAAATAAAATCTATAAAAGAATTTATTGTAAACCTGGTAGAGCTTTGTGATGGCATCTTCCTAACGAATGGATTTTATTTTGTAACCCAGTTGGAGAAGCTCTGGAGTGATATCTGTACGTCACTTCAGACTCGTTATCTGGGGACGTACGACTCGGACTTCTTGTCTAAGTTGTCGCCCTTGTTGGAGGCCACGTTTCTCCACCCACGTCGTGCCGTGAAGAACCAGACGGCCATGTTTTGGAGCGCCACCTTTGGGCGAGCACCTCACCTGCTGTACCCAGAAAGCCTCAGGTACGTGTAGTGTATCAGCGTGTTTTAGAAGTTCAATTGTTAGCAGAAGATTAAACAATTTGCAAGTCTTGTCACTGCTTATAAGTCTATCTCAAAAGAAAGCCCCAGAGAGAGTGTGTGAGAGAGAAAGGGAGAACCCCCAAAAAACCTTGTTGAAAGATTTGCAAGTCAGACACTGCTTTTGAATTAGCTGCAAAGAAAACCCTTTTAATTGTCCCAAGAGAGACAAAGAAAAAAAAAGTATCTTTTGATTTGACAAACTTTATTCTGTACTGAAAACACAGCTTATTATGAGATGGTGTTGTACTATATATTTGACTGTAGAAAATAGGACTTCGTGCGTACACATGTACACAGTATGCATGATCAGAAGTGCTTTTATTTAACAGGCCAGTCCTAGCAAAGATCAAGGAAAAATCTTCAATCCTCCTACCAGGCTGGGTGTCGATACCTGTCACTGTAGTGGAGGAAACTCCTGTCAGTCAGATGAGTCAGGTAAGAATTCTTTGATCCTCCTATGGGGCTGGGTGTCTATACTGTCTCTATTGCAAAAACTCTTTGATCCTCCTACGAGGTTAATTTTTATACCTGTCACAGGGGGAAAGGAATCACCATTGTGTCTAGTACCTGTTTGTGAGGTTTTCACGGTTGTGATAGAACACTCTTCTAATACTTCAGGAATCACATTCTAGTTAGTATAGTATGCCAGGGCATCAACGATAGTGGGAAACATGAAATAATTTGCATAATGGGCGAAGTCTGTTTCGTGAAATAAAAGTTCATTATACATTAAACAGAAATATTTTTGTCAGATCTGTACCATGTTTTGATGTAAATAGAAAGAAAGGGAAAAGGAAAAACATTTATATTTTACAACATGCTTTTATTCCTTCACATTGTAGCCGGATTCTCAGGCCCCTGAGCCTTTTATACCCGGGATGCCATCACCCAGGAAAATCCATGGCAGCTTTCTTAACAAGGCAGTGTCCCCCAACATCAAAAACTCTCCAGCACGCCACACAGAGAAAGTAACAAGATCACCCGGCGCCATCCGAAAAAATCTCTCTGTAAATGATCTACAGAAGGAGGTAGGATGTACACAATAATTACAGTACTACAGTAAAACTTGGATATAATGAATTCTGATACAACAGAAAACTTGGATATCTCATCCACAGAAAAACTTGGATATAATACACTCCTATACTACAGAAAACTTTGATGTCTCTTTACAGTAAAACTAACATACAATGAACTCTGATATCGTGAACTCTTACAAAAAAAACATGGTTATCTCATCCGCAGTAAAAAGAATTGTATGACTAAGAAATGTATCATTGAGAACCTGAGAATTAAATCAAAGAAGTTTAATTATTGAGTTGTATTTCTTGATTTTAGGATTTTGTTGTGATTAAATCACCACCCAAGAAGAAGAGAATTTTAACAGAACACCAAAAGGAGGTTTTGAAAGAGAAAAAGTAAGTCTTACGGTTTTCTTACGTACACACTTTAAGTGTTTGACTGAAACCCTTGATTTTTACATAGTGCTCATCTAAGACCTCACCTCACCTGTCCTTTTCCTCTATGTTCACTCATCTAAGACCCACTCTTTATATATACATAGGAAGGAAGTACATGCTAAAACATAGTTTGAAATTAAGTGAGGGAAAAAAGTAAAAGATTGAGACAATTTTGAATTTCCTATATCTTTAGACTGAGAACATGTCTGTGAATTTCAGGGTAATCTATATTTAGACTGAGAACTTGTCTGTGAATTTCAGGGTAATCCCAACCATGTACAATACACTGGATCATTCTCAGGATGTGTCCCTGATGTTTGGGGCGGAGTCTCAGTTTGGATCGGACACTCAGTCTCAGTAAGTGATATGAGCATTCAGTGTGAGTCTCGGTTTGGATTGGACACTCAGTCTCAGTAAGTGATGTGAGCATACTGAGTCTCAGTTTGGATCGGACACTCTGTCTCAGTAAGTGACATGAGCATTCAGTGTAAGTCTCAGTTTAAATCAGACACTCAGTCTCAGTAAGTGATGTGAGCATTCAGTGTGAGTCTCAGTTTGAATCAGACACTCAGTAAGTGATGTGAGCACTCATTGTGAGTCTCAGTTTGGATCGGACACTCGGTCTCAGTAAGTGACATGAGCATTCAGTGTGAGTCTCAGTTTGGATCTGACACTTGGAGTCTCAGTTTGGATCGGACACTCAGTCTCAGTAAGTGACGTGAGCATTCAGTGTGAGTCTCAGTTTGGATCGGACACTCAGTCTCAGTAAGTGACGTGAGCATTCAGTGTGAGTCTCAGTTTGGATCTGACACTCAGTAAGTGATGTGAGCACTCAGTGTGAGTCACAGTTTGGATCGGACACTCAGTCTCAGTAAGTGACGTGAGCATTCAGTGTGAGTCTCAGTTTGGATCTGACACTCAGTAAGTGATGTGAGCACTCAGTTTGGATCGGACACTCAGTCTCAGTAAGTGACGTGAGCATTCAGTGTGAGTCTCAGTTTGGATGTGACACTCAGTAAGTGACGTGAGCATTCAGTGTGAGTCTCAGTTTGGATTGGACACTCAGTCTCAGTAAGTGATGTGAGCATTCAGTGTGAGTCTCAGTTTGGATCGGACACTCAATCTCAGTAAGTGATGTAAGCATTCAGTGTGAGTCTCAGTTTGGATCGGACACTCAGTCTCAGTAAGTGATCTGAGCATTCAGTGTGAGTCTCGGTTTGGATCAGACACTCAATCTCAGTAAGTGATGTGAGCATTCAGAGTGAGTTTGTGAAATTAGCATGCTGTCTTGTGTCAGTGCATTGGAAAACCAGTGCGAGTGTATTGACTTTGCTGTCTGAGTATGTGCAATGACACCCAATGTGAGTACATGTACTGAGCATTACTTACCTAGGAGTTGCAGTGAGCACTGAGTGTATGTGTATTGAGCACGCTATCTGAGCAAGTTCAGTGAGTTTCCAATTTGAATATGTAATTCTGTGAGTTTTCTGTACCCAATTAGCTATAAGCCTGTTTTACTGTAATGAGCTGTTACTCTTCTACATGTATTTACACATATATGTATGTTTAAATACTTGTTTCTGTATTATAGGCCACCTACACCAGATTCACTGAATGTGATTGACTCGAGTCTATCCCAGTACACCTCACAGGTACAGTTATAAACTTTGTATATCGGAAACTGTCTAATCCGAAGTGTGTAATCCAATATACCCTGACTCAAAATTTCCCAGTACTTGTCAGATAAGACAGGTTTCACTGTATTCAGTTGTCAGGATTGGTTCCTATCTTGTTACTGTCTTTTATAGAGGAAGGATAGACCCACCAAAGGTAGAAACACCAGAAAATCTTCATCAGAAGCTAGCGACAGGGAGGACTCCCAGAATTCCAAGCTGGGAGTCGGAAAACGTCGTCGTTCCGTCCGGTTCAAGGAGACTGTGGAGGATGTCACTCAGGGTGGAGAGGTGGAGAAGAAGTCTGGTCAAGTGGAGGGGGACTGCGGAGAGACGAGAGTGGAGAAACCTCAGGAGTCAGGGGTCAGTCGTACCACGACAGAAAAGTCTCAAAGTCAGGAGGAGTTTGAAGCACAGTGGGATCAAACTCTGTCCAAAATGATGGACGAAGGTAGATGATTGGTTAACTGAATGGGCAGAGATTGTGTTGAAATGAAGAGAAGACATTTGTTGTAACGTTACATGTATGAAGGAAATTTATACAAATTAAGAAATGAAAATGATTTTAAAAAAAGGTGAAATGTGTAAAAAGAACAAAGTACGGTATTGGCCAAAAAATGCCGGATGTCAGACCTGCTCCATTCAAAACATTTTAAAGAGCTTAGACTTTTTAGAATGAAATGATATATAATTTATATACCTGACTTAAAAGTATGCATTTGAAAAATAAAGCTCAATACTGTACCTTTTATAGCAGAACGTCGAGATTTTACGAAGAATTTTGACGCAACGTCGTACGTTTAACGTGTAGTAAGCGTTATCTGAAAATCCTAACTTACTCGCTAGGACACATTTTATTTTAATTTAAAATTTAAGAAATTAAGTTGTTGATTTATTAATACATCATTGTTGTTTTGTTTTTGCTTTTTCATTTATTTATTAGCATTATTATATACTTACAATGTTATAATCCACGAAGGTGTCTCCGCTTTAGTTGATGAGAATTATTAAAAGTCTAACAGAGGAATGTGGAGAAAAAGAAATTCACTGTATTTTCTTTTTGATATTTGCTTTCATTTTATTGCAGTGATTATACGCTCTAAATAATTTTTTTAGCTATTTCTCAAAAATAAATGGAGAAAAAAATTCTATATCAGATCTAGTGAAAAAAATGTACTGATGAAAAAAAAATCGATGTTTCCCCGGCACCAAAAAAGTTCAGTTCTCAAGAATATAGAATATGTAAGGTGCAAGAACAGAAAACTCAAATGTCAAGGTAATATTATTTATATTATATATAATTATTGGAACAGTACTAGTAGTATAGAAGACTATATGGTTATATTTAATGTAAAGTAGACCCCCCTTCTTATGGTCAATTTTGCTAATAAACTTATAAAGATATTAAATTATATAAATATATATGCGAGGGATTTCGATCCTGATTTAAAAAATATATATATAAGCACAATTACCTTATTAAAATCAGATAATGGGTACATGAAAACCAATTGTTTTCTGTGATATATTCATTTATATCCTGCCTGATGACAGAGGAATACTTAAAAAATTTAAATGAAACACCCCCCCCCCCCCCCAACCCCAATCGAGTTTAATGAGTTCTTATCGTTTATATATGCCTTTCACAAATATTTTTTTTTATAACACATGTAAAATAATATTTGATAAGACTGAAAATGAATTATCAGTAAATGTTTTGATTGAAAATTTGTGTTGGGGGGGGGGGGGGGGGGGATTATAAATCGGACTTTTAGTTCAGACTGAATAACATACCAGGCATTCTTTCAATTCGCTTAAAAAGTTTTAAAAACCTGTTAGGAAATTATTATTGGTTAGTATTCAGCTGATTACTCTTCTCGTTTCACAATTGAAAGGCTTTCAACAGTTTTATTTAAGTCGGTTTAAATACTTACAGAGTCATTTGTTTATATGTTTACATATTCAATACATGTTGACAATTACGTCGGATAAGTATAATCGCTCATGGATTATTTCGCAGAATCCTCACCTTCTAGCAGCCAATGACAAATATTTATTCCTAATTCCAAGTGTTTTTATTTCAAGTTTTTTCCCATTAATATTAGGATCAAAATACGTTTGAGTTGCTAGTATCACTTTCCGTTTTTTTTTTTCATTTCTCGCAAAATTTCTTTGCTTAGTAGAGAATGTAGCTATTTAAAGATAAAAAAAATCAAAACTTCGTTGTGTCTTTACTTTTCTGACAATTGAACGTGATATACGAGGTAGGTATGATTCTTGCAATAAACAAAAAGAATCTAATGGGCTTATTTACAATGCAGTACAGACTAGTATTTCTTACATGTATATGTAAAGAATATACTAAACATGTAAAATGTATTGGTCCATAAAAAGTAATTTTAGTCATTTTCCACAGGAATTAATTTTAATAAAGTAAGCAAAAACAAAAACAAAAAACAAACATACAAAAAACACAAACAATCTGCAATCCCCTATACCCGGGAAACACGAGTCTTTCATTAGTTCGCCCATGACAACCCCTCCCCCATAAATAGATATTTCCATTTTTGAGAGCGTTGCATTGACGTAGAAGCATTTTTTAGCGGGGGGGGGAGGCTGCCAAAGAGAAAAAAAAAATAACTTATACCGGAAAAGAGTTGACAAGCAAAAAAAATGATAATAATAATAAGCCAACTTCTTTCACTACCATTTTTTTTCATACATTATATACTACATGTACTTTACCCTTATTTCACCGTACTGTAACAAAATGTGGGGGGGGGGGAGCAACCGGCCTTTAAATGAACATTTCTAATAGTAAAGTATTTGGAAAAAAAGTGCCCCCCCCCCTGTTGCTACGTGCTTATGTTGAATTTTTTTTTTTTTTTAAAAAGAGTCGCTAGCGTTCTCTTTTATTGTCCATATGAAATTTCTTGTAGTTCCCAGTATACATCATACGGTTTCTGTTTTCTATAGTACAAAATGCATAAGGCCACACCAATAAAATTTCTTGTTCGACGGACCCGCGCGCTCTGATTTATACAGAACTTTACAAATATTAATTTAAATTTCACGCACCATTAGAATTTTGTGCCATTTTCTGTTCAATTTCCGCTCTATCTTTCGTATTTTTAATCTGCAAATTAGAAAAATATAATTGTCCGTTAAAATTTTTCACGCTCCGCCTAAAAAGAACTGTCTATAAAAAAGCAATAGTAATATTTAACTGCTGGCCCGCTCGTACTTTTTCTCCTCAAATGTCCGACGAACAAGAAATTAAATTGGTGCGGCCTAATGTTACTAGCATGAAGTGGTGGGATTTTATCTACATAAACATGTATTAATATAGTCGCAATATAAAGATAGTGCAAAATATAAAAAAAAATACATATATATAGATGCTAGTTTTTCTACATGAACTCCATGTGATGATCACAAATTAAAGATTGCATTGTCTATGCACTCGGATTTACATGTACGTACGAAATACATTTACATGTATCTGTGTATATAAAAGACGTACTGTTTACAGCACACGCAGATTTTTTTCACAGGGAAGAACTAAACAGCAAAGGTGTCCAAACACTCATTTCATTGCTGACAACTTTCAAAGACGATATGCTTTCCTTCGTAACAAAGAATCACGTGGGTTCTGTTTCATCTGTTTGACTTCTACTGTTAATCTTTTTTTTTTTTAAAATCTGAAAATCCAAGGATGAAAGAGGGAGCCCTTAGCTTGATCACAAATCAAAATCTGCCGAATGTCGCTGCATGACCACTGTCAGATAAATTTCAGAATTCCACGAACTTGCACATGACGTATACATTGTATAAGTCCTTCTTTTTTTTAACCAAATAAGCACCAACCTCTCCCGATATACCACTGGCATCTAAATACCCGTATATATTTGTGAATACAAACATGTAATCTGCATGAAATATTTGCACAAAAGAAAAAAACAAAACAATAAATAAACATCTGAGTTTGTATGCGCTTTTTCGGACTATTAATGTACATAGGTACTCGGGAACTTGGATTTTTTTAAACTGATATCAACTACACAAGATTTACATCATGTATATTTTTCACAATTAAAAGCACAGGCCTTTAGATCGCTTAGAAAAAAAATTGAGTTGTTGAAAAAAAAAAATATTTTTTTTTTACACACACAATTTTTTTTAAGCGATCCAAAGGCCTGTGATTAAAAGGTAAAAACAATGATTGATCTTGCAAATGAAAAGGTAATCGTAAAGTTTATTCAATGTATTTACATTTTATTGTATTTTTATGGTTGTCATATGATAGTTCGGAGGTCACACTGTGACTATATAGTTAGACTATATACATTGAGGAAGACTCGTAAAATATAATATAATTATACTGCATGAGGTATCACACATTTTTTAATTACTCCTGTAATAATTAAATTTAAAAAATATTATTGTGCTTTTTGTGGCTTGAATTGAGGCCTATAGGATATTTTAGTAGTGTTGTTCAATAATACATGTAAAGCCGACGGACACTAGTACATGTATACGAACTTACAAGTGCATACGATGTACAAACAGCATAAGCCCAAGCGGCATCTTTAACTACAATTTATTCTTTGTTTTCAAAATATTTTTATTTATATTTATAGGTATTTATATAGTTTACTAAGTCCAGTGATGGGACTTGAAATAAAAAATATAATTCTGTGTAAATTAAGCGTCATTAGCATCGAATCAGGAACATTGCGTCGGTAGAATATCTTTAATCGTATGCTAACTTTTGTAAAATTCATAATGATCACAGGTGACAACCAACACTATTTTAATAGTGTAACTAATATATGTAATGATGAACTTGTATGCAGAATATAAAAGTGGTTGTTGCATGTGAAAGGGTCTAATTTTAGCAAAGATAACTCGTTTTTCAGCATAATTTAACGATTTTGCACGACCATTCGATGTTTAGCGCGTATCAGTGACGTCATAGTTAAAAATTACGTCATTTTTGTACCTGTAGAATTTTCTTCGCATCTTCCTTACTTCAATGCATAACATCAAACAATGATACAAAGATGATTAAAATATCGTATTATTTGCGGCGAATTAATGCTCATACCGTATTTTATTCTTTAAAAGGGGATAGGGGTAAAATTTATGTTTGATTCTAAAGTTTTGCCAGTATTCTTAAGCTAGTTTATTCCATAAGAACATTGTTATAAAACTGAATTTCATCCTTGTTAAATTATTTTTTTCGGTTATTTCAGTTGATAAAATGGAGAAGAACAGTATAGAACACTTCAGTGTCATCAGGGATACAATAAGCAGCTCACAGGAGAAGAAAGATGAAGAAAGTAATTCTACAGATTCTCAGAATCTCTCCTCAGGGAATAGCTCCCAGTCAAAACAAGCAGGTATGGAAGCAATCAAGGAAGTGGATGATCCATCTCAGACTAAAGCTAGCAGCAGTGGTAATGGTGATTCGACTCCTACAAAAGCTAGTAGCTGTGGTAGTAATGAGAAGGAGACAGGATCCTCTAAATCTTCGTTTGGATCCACGGGTTACATGGCACCAGAGAATGTGATGGAAGCAGTAGAAATGGAGTGCCTTACCTACAAGTCTACTTCATCTAGTGGAGCTGACAAGTCCTCGGAAAGTGGAAGGAAAAAAGACGGAGAGATGGAGACTTCGCAATCCCTGTTAACGTGGACCAATCAGCTGAAAGAATTGAATCAATCTTCACCAGCGAAAGTCAATTCCCCGCTGAAAAATTCCAGTCAGGAGAGTAGTGGAGGGTCATCCTCAAGGTCATCCAAGCAGTTCGCTTCACCAGCTAAGAGGGGAAGGACAAAAGCCTTGGAAAAATCTAGCAAAGGATCTCATAAAATTGATGAATGGTTGATCAAGTCTCCGGAGAAAAGTTCACAGGAGAGTGGAATATCCTCTCAGGGGTCTGATAAATCCTCAGTGACCTCGTCTAATGGGAGTCAGCCGTTGGAGGTGACTGTAGTGGAGGAGACGCAGTCACCAAAGAGCATGAAGACGAGAATGTCGCCCAACTCTGTACCCATTCAAGAAACTCCACCACCCCCTGCCAACAAAGAGCCAGTGAAGTTCGGTAGTACTAGAGGAAGCACCAGAAAGCTGTTTACAAAAGGAATGGAGGAGAATGCGGATTTGTGTGAGGATTCAAATATCATTCCTGGATCTCCAGAGTCTAAATCCAGTTCTCTCCCGCTCCGAATAGGAACTCCAGTGTTGAAACTGAAAAGGCTGACAGAGGATGAAATAAAACATTTCAGTCCGCGTAAAGGGGAGGTGGGTTTTGGTACTCCAAGAGAGGATAGAAATTCACAGGGTAGTGCTGTTGGCGTGCATTCCCAGGACTCGAACCACGAGCATGACGACTTCTCAGATGTTTTACCGTTGGAACAGGTTCCCTTGTCGTCTTCTCAAGGATTTGAAATCCAGGCTGACAGAAAGACCAGTGTAGACCAAGCAGACAACACACCAATGACAAATACCGAGAATCTGTTTTCTCAGACGGAGAATGTTTCTCAGGAGAATAAAGGTTATGACCCCAAGCTACAGTCGACCTTTCAGCCTAATGGTGAGGGGAAGGATGTACTGGGAATAGAGAATCTGAAGTCAAGTCAAGAATCGGAGAACTCGGATGTCGGCAGCGAGAAGGGGTCACAGTCGGAGAGCTCTCAGGCAATGGAATCGGCACCTACTTACGATCCGAAGATGGAGTCAACATTGGCTCAAGACACACCAAGAAGAGGAAGGAAACGGAAACAGGAAACTCCGAAAAAGCTTTCACCAGAGAGCAGTCGACCCAAGAGGACACGAAAAGGGAAGGGGGAAGACAAGACACCTCGAGGAAAAGCAGGGGAGGGTAAGAAAGGGAAACAGAAAGTAGACTCACAGGGAGCAAGTGGAGACAAGAAAGAGAAAGTAGACTTCAGTAGTGAAAAGGAATTAGCCAGTATTGAAAGTTCATCATCTGAACAGGTTAATGACAAGAACTTGAGTCTAGAAAAATCTTCAGAGAAGGTCACTCAGAATACAGAAAAAGACACGGAAGAAGAGAATTACTCTACCTGTGAGGAGAGACAGCTGGACTCTGAAGGATTATTTCTGGAAAAGTCACAGGAAAAGGTTTCCAAGAATCCTCCTAGTCAAAAGTTAGACAAGGAGGAAAAGCTTGAAAGCTTTGAGGTTATAACTGCAAAAGAGAAGGGAGAGAAGACCCCAACTAGTAGAAGTACAGCAGAGGTTCCACAGAGGAAGAGCACAACTAAAAAGAAGATTGAAGCTGCCAAAAAGAGATCGCAAAAAAAGGTGAAGGGGGGTGAAAACGTAATGTCAGTTAGTTCTGAGGATGATGTACCGCTAGCACAGACTTTGAAAGAGTCGGCCAAGTCTAAAAGTAAACTGGAGAACAAGATAGATAAGACAACGGAGCAAGAGGAGCTGGGACAGACAAAGGAAGGAGATAACGTGGAGGGAAGGAAGAGTTCTGACAGTTCTGATGATAACGTACCTTTATATAGTCTCTGTGCTAATGCAGAGGTTGTAGGTGTGAGTCAGAAGGAGAGAGAAGAAGCAGGCAGTGTGCCAACAGATGCTCAAAAAGAGAACCTTGGAGCTGACAAAGAAATTAATAAAATGGAAACTAATGAAGAGGATAGAAAAGTGACAGAGGACAAGGGTTCTGTCAGTGATGGAAAAGGGAAAAAGATGACCAGGCAGAAATTCATGCCAGCCAAAACTTCTCCTTTGTCCAACAGACTGAGATCATCACAGGGGACGTTAAGGAGCGGTAAACCAACTCGACGATCACTGTCTCCTGGCAAGAGTCCGAAGCAGCTTTCACTGAAGAAATCAACCAAGCGGAAAAGTCTGGACCCAAACCTACTGTCTGTTGTCATCGAAGATTCCGAAGAACCCATCCCTGTATCTGAGAAGCCTGAAGATGAGGTGGAAAAGAATGAAAATAAAACTGAAACTGAACCATTAAAGGAAAAAGAGGAGACTACAGAGAAAGAGGGAGATACAGAGAAGGACATACTGGATCTGTTGAATGAACCCAAGGTGGATGAGACGCCTGTAAAGCCTGCTGAGGATAGGGCTGATGGAGGAGAGTTCGCGATGTTCGAGAGGAATACTGACAGCAAGCTGGTGGTGGTACCCAGAAAGTTTGAGAAGAGGACCATCGCTAGAAGAAGCATTCTGAAGGCCACCAGTCCGTCTGCCAATTTAACCAAGTGTTCCCCTCTCAGGAAGCCAGCTCCTTTTCATCCAATCAAACTGGGTCAGATATTTGCCCCCTCGGCTTCGCCTAGTGCCAGCATACTGAAACGGAGAAGGCTGAGTGGAGAAATTCCTAGAAATTCACCCTCACCGCCAAGTAAAGTAAGCAAAAGTATTGTGGATTTAATGTTTACTTTAAAAGCACAAGTATCTGTTGGGGATTAAATTTCGTTTATTTCATTGTAAACATTTTTCAATGAAATTAAATCCCTTATGAAATTTTCAAATGTATATAAATATTGCATAGTTTAAAAAAAACATTGAAATTGAATGACCAAAAAACAATTTTAGATGAAAAATCAATCAAATTTATCCCTACAAAGATTTTATGCTTCTCAAGTTGATCATTTAGTTGCAGGGCAGAACTTGAATTCAGACATTTTATAGGCAAATTATATCTGTTTTACTTGCAGAAGAAACAGAGAAGGGTGTCATTTGCTGACCCTGTGACCTTTAGTGATGACCCTGTGACCTTGACATCAGCAGCCTCGAGTCTTGTCATAAACACAGTGAGTAGTTCTGTGTCTTAACGGATATCATTGCTGAATGTTAATTAACATAAATTTAATGACCGTTTTCATTGATGAAAAAGATCATGAAGGCTAGTTAAGTGAAACTGTAAGTATATTTAGGGGTATGATGCCCTGTCATTATTACTGGGATGGAGTCTGTTTCTGTGAGAAATATCTAAAACATTAATGTAAACAGAAAATAGCACATATTTATAAAGATGTCAGAAAATTACTTTCATTGTTGAATAGCTACCAGTAATTTAGTGTAATTGTAGAGTTCTATATTCCAGGCACCGCTCCAGTCATCAGCAGCTGTGACGTCAGGCAGTGAATCCAGTCAGGTGTGATTTTAACACAGATAGACAAACCAGTTCACAAATAATAAGGCTACCAAAATCATTCAGCATTTAAGATACCGTAATTTTTGGGTTATAGGTCGATGGGGTATATAGGTCGAAAGGCTCATTTTCAGCCTTAATTTTTGAAAAATCCTAAGATAGGACGAACTTACTATATAGGACGAGGCTTTGTTTCCCGTTTTCTAAAGATTCTTACGCAGATACAACGTATCAGAACAGGTAAACCCCTAGAATTACCGGGGTTATTCCGTGACATAAATGTATAAAGAAATTAAACAGGTATTTTAATGAGTACAGAATTTAAATAAAGTTTTTTTTTTTTAAAGTAGTTAAAACTTCTTTGAATTATGTTACTACTTATTTTTTTCCAACTTGCCTGTTCAATGCCTCCGTAGTTTCACATCGTTGTTAAATCAAAGGCATAAATAACACGTAAATACATTATTCTTTTACAGCTATAATATTCGGGAAATACCCAAGACCAAAGAATAGTAATTCCGATTTCAGAACAACTTGGACACATTCCTGTAAACTTTATTCAGACATTATTTACCGGTGGACGACAGTTACTTCGATGTCCGCCATTTTTATTTTCCTTCTCCAGGGATTCGCTAAAACACGCAAATGACCATTGAATGTATATATCAAGCAACAGTAAAGAATTGAAATCATATTAACACTCTAATAAGTTTAATTTATAAATTTAATTGAGAGTACATTCACAATTTGACTGTCAACATGAATTTCACGGCTTTGTTTGTTCAATGATGTGTAACACTAATACCCTATAACGGCACGTGGGTTTGTTATAATCATGCCCCGCAGGCATTTAAACCAACTGAACACAGGTGTTACACCTTTGTGTACACAGTGTAAATCCCTTTATCTTTCAGACAATTAAAATTCTGTTAGAAGCCAATCTTTGTATGCTGGTAATTCGATGTAAATTATATTTCTGTCACCCGTATTTATTGCTAATTCTTTGCTTAAGACTATAAAAAATATTTAATATACTATTTCAATTTATCGCTACTAATAAATGGTAAAAACACTACAGTTGTGATCTTGAAAATTTTTCCGTATTTTAAATTTTGATACGATTGCGGTTTTACTTTTAGTAAACAGTAGCGACTTCCTAACTTCACAAGATGGATACCGCATGATGTTAATCAGGTCGAGGAAACTATTTTCTGTGACGTCGGAATAAATTTACATGTTAAGTGAGGAACCAACGTGACTGTCAAATCGACCAATCAGCTCAATGAGTTGCATTATGGGTTACTACAAAAAATACTACATGTGTGTTTCGAAAAGGTCAATTTTTTAAATCGCTCTCGGAAATACGTGATGCATTTTTCCAAGCATTTTACACAATTAATACAATATGTACATTATTATCTACTAATCCCATGCTCACATTTGCATACAAGTGATTAACAATGATAAAAATTACTCTTTTCCACACTCCATTGTACAAGTCTGTTTGTTGACAGCTTTCCCCGTGCTGTATTGTCAGTGAAAAGTCAATTTCACGTGACTATTCCTCTGTGCAAGAACAATCAACTCTGAGGTGTGTTCACGTATTGTTACTGTTTACAACGTATACAACTTCGAAACATATATGCTTTACTCAGTACAAGTTCTGTGATCAATGCACATGAGAATTAATACTAGTATATAGGTAAACGAAAAAAAACGTGCAACTAAAATACTTTATATGAATGCATTAACTTTGAAAATCTACAAATAACTGAGCAATTACTAATATAACCAGTCACATGGCAAATTTACGAATATCGAGTTGAAAAACTGGAGTCTTATTTATTTGTAAAGACTTTGTGAGTGGTATTCAAAAGTACTATTTAACAAGGAAAACTGACTTTGTTTGTTAATGTGAGCATGGGACATCTTAATTAGTACCTATTCTTCGTATTTTTCACAAACACGTTTCAAAAAATTGTTATTAGACTTTCCTGCAGTCTTTTGAAATTGCATCTTAAATTTCTCTAACCCACGTGTTTGTAGTAAAAATAAACATGTAGTAGACCATCATGCTTTTCGGCTCATTCACTGGATTCGACCGTTGTTTGTTGTGAGCACCTTAGTGCGCAATGACAACAATATCCATATAAGGTAGTTTCCTCGACCTGTTAATGGATAATACGTTGAGGAATTATTTAATAGATGAAGCAATGTTGTTTTCCTTTGTCATCAACGGATAATTAATGGAATTTATTTTGTAAGAAAGCTATAGAATAAATATTTTATTGTTTACCTGGGCATTAATTTTTCTGCGTAAAATAATGAAAAAAGGTATGAAAGTGGCACAGATTTGCTTTGAAATTGATGTAAATTTTATTGATTTTGGGGCATTTTTCGTAAACTTGAGCCTTAGAAAGGTCGAATTCGTATATTGGGCGACCCCAGTGGTTCTGAGAAAAAAAGTATCGACCTATTATCAGAAAATTACTGTATTTAAATTTGTAATGAATTTAAAATTTGAAGTTTTTAAATACTAGATTACTGAAAATTAAGCCCTGCTAATGATTCTTCAGATCTTGTATTTTCTCTTCTGTGTAAATCATGGTAAACTATTTATCTATGCTTTGAAAAAAGAATGGGCAGCTCACATTTTGTTTCATCCTTTCAGACCCAGGACTCCATGGGGCCTTCAACCCAGGGTAGTTATGTCAGTGTGACGGAATCCCAGATCACGACAGAAGCTGTGTACCCCGAGCTTGTGGACTGTTCACAAACCGTGGACCGAGTCCTGCCTCAGCTGACCACCTCTATGTGGTAATGTTTACGTTTATTTATAGTTTGTCTATAAGTCAAAAATAACATTGTCTGGTCCTTCTTTAGACCAAAAGGGTTAGAGGTTAACCACTGGAAAACTATGTTAGCATATATATGCATGAAAGAGGCTCATTATGTATTTGATATTAACTTCAGGTTTGTCAAAAGACGGCAAAACAAAATTACATGTAAACTTTATGAATTAAAGTAAATTTATTTAAAGTACTACAATTTTGGTGTTGCTCTAAATAATTATACATTCTTTTGTAGGTCCCGTGGGCTTGGACAGTTGGTTAAAGCCCGAAACATCCACACGATTGGTGACTTGTCCCGCTTGTCTGAAAAAGAAATTGACAATCTGCCAATCAGGTCCCCAAAAGTTTCCACCGTCAGAAAAGTACTCAGTGTGTTCGAGAGTCAGCACAGCAGCAAAAAGTCCAAAGCTAGCATAGAGGAGGCAAAAGATAATAGTGATGGTAAGTTTGGTTTCAATTGTTGAGTTTTATTTACTTACTCACCTGAGTCATACATGTGAGAGCTGTTTCAGCTTTTGATTTAAACGATGAATTGGAAATTAATGTCGCAGCTGTTGAATGAATGTTGAACTAATGAACAACACTTCGGTTTTCTGAAGAATTGAGAAGAAAAATGTTCAGTGGATGTTGATATTTTCTCTGTAGGTACCACTCTACCTGTGTCACACAGCAGTAAAGATGACGAGGTGGAAGTGCTGCCCTCTATGGAAGCAGAGCTCAGTGAATTCTCTCCCATTAAGAGTATGTGTTTTGTCCAGTCACAGTATCAAACAGTAAATGTTGTAATGATTTAATGTACAGTGTCTGATGGATATTGATTTTTTAAAAAAGAAGTTTGTGTAGATTTCTCAACTTTGTAATTTTTGTGTATATGTGCAAAAGCATTGTCAAGTTGCTTTCTGTCAAAGGTGCTGAAGAGAATACACAGTCAAATGAAATACTGTGAAATCACTAATTTTTGTGGAGGATTAATGTTTATGGCTTTTAAGGTGTAAAGAGGCCCCACTAATTTATGCCCACCAGGAATTGCAATTTTTCACATGTATTTCTACTGAAAAATTTCTTAAATTTCTTAATTCTTTAACCAGGAAATTGAATTCACATGGTTCAATATATTTTCCTCAAACCCGAAAATATGTGAATTTACAGTAGGCAGTAGTGTATACAAGAAAAAAAGAGGTTTTCTGACTAAGTGCGTTGATGTTGCGTTGCAGATGAGCACTTGATAGATTTGATATAATTATGTCAAATACGTAAATTTCAGAAAACGTCAACGAAGACTTGAACAGGAGCATTGCTGATGAGCTGAACGCCTCGGAAGATCTTTTGGACAAAGTGAGCGAGTTAGTCTATACTGAGGGTGATGACTCGGTTGGCTTTGTCCCGAGTTTGAGAACCCCCGAGCCTCCAGAGGACAAATCTCATCCCGAGTCCAACCCCGAGTATATCGATCATAAATCTCAGTCCTCCGAAACCATCCCGGAGTATCTCGATCAGTTGACGACACTGCTAACGATTGATTCACTGAAGTCATTAAGAACCGGGGAACTGTTCGACGCGCATCAGAAACTTCTCAGTCTGGCCAACAATGTCGCCACGGCGATGAAGACCCGGTGCTCTTCTCCAGACAAAAGTTGATGTTATAGTCTGGGGATTATAAAAATTAAACTTAAATGTAACGGTGGCTGAATCATGTAAATAGGAAGGATGCTTGGAATTTTCTCTAAAAAACTTTTGAGATTGTGAACTGTGAAAGAGATCTCATAGAATGTATTTGTATAATGTATTTTGTATAGAGAAAATGGTAAAACTGTAGAATTTGTGCAATTAAGAGCTTTTATATTATGAAATGGTTCTATTCCAAGACCCTGTGTACTGATAATAGAGAAAGTACATGGAATTGAAAAACTAGTTTTTTATCTGTATCTCTTTTTTTCTACTTATGCAAGATTTTTTTTTAATGGCATGAACTTGTATGAAATAATATGTACAATACATTCTAAATGTAACTTTATGGCAATGAATGGTTATTGGTATATATTCATTTGAGTACATGAAAATGTATCACTATTTTTTCATAACCAGTGTTTATATGAAGTATATAGGTATTGAATTCAGGCACAAAATCATGACATGATGATTCAGCAGCTATGTATGAAAGGGAATGTGTTCATTGGATGAAATGATGTGAAGGAAAGAGATGAAAGGGGAGTTTGTGATCAAGATAAATATTGTCCTCTATTTAATTACACTTTTTATACAGTTTTCTGATGGTGCATTAAACTAATAAATCAACTCTCATCAATATTCTGTGTTTTTCATGTACAAGACCAGGTATAAGGAATTTGAGAAGACTAATGTGTATCAGTAATGCATGTGTAGTAGGAAAGGAGAAATCCATCAAGAATACATATAGCTGGACTGGGAATCGAACCCGGGACCCCTGCATTACTAGTCAGGTGCTCTAACCACTGAGCTATCCAGGCCGATATCCACGGTCTGTAAAGCCTGAACTTCTACATTCTTCCCTCCTTAAAGCTGAACACTACTCGTAAATAGGCATAGTCCTCCATATTTCCCGTTCTTCAATGCTCTCCCTACAACTCGTATATAAGGAGCAGATCGCTAGTCAGGTCAATGTATTTCACTATAGAGATCCGACGAGTGTAGACGTACATCTTACAAAGCGTGCTACTCAATATCGATGAAATTATCGAATTTTACGCATTTTTTCCAAAACAGGACAAAAGTATCAAGGAAAATGCAGGTCAATACATTATTTACAAACAGAAAATGCACCTAAAAACAAGAAATAAACGCAAAAAATCTAAGACCACGATAGGAGTACTACATGTCGGCCACGAGTTGCGAGTGTGCAATCGGGTGTAACGAAAGCGAACGGTTTATATACCCGTCTGACAGTGCCTATTTATGAGAAATGTTCAGCTTTAAACAGTGTTCGACCTCAAAGACACAAGTTCCGCATTTTAAATGATATTGTGACCTATGCATTTTTGCGATAATTGAAAAATTCAAACTATTATATTAAATGAAAATAAATGCAGTTTTTGTATTTTGAACCATTAAAATTGTGAGGGTGGAAACACCTTAAGGACAGATGATAAAAAATAAAAATGGATGCCTGGATTGGTATATATTTTTTTTTACCTACTTTCATTGCAAATGATGCAAATAATAAATTTCTAGAATATAAAGAAATTTTAAACCTTCTGCAGTGCTCTGTGATGTTCAAAATTTTACCCTTGTGAAACCATATCCTTATTATTCTATACAAATATTTTTCACTTCAAATTCCATTTTTGAACAACTTTGAATAAAAATCTAAAATTCTGCAGTGAAACTTGTTCATTTTATTCATTAAAACATGAACCAAGTTGTTATTTTCAAAATTTTTGACAAAAGTTTGTATCATGTGTCCTTAAACTTACAACTGAAATTCCTGATTTTGAATCTTGGACATAGATTATCCGATCACAAAACTTGTGAAAGAAAATAAAGATTTAGATCTAGCCATTAGCATTTAGCACGGAATGATCATGATAGTTTTTTCTCAAATAAACTAAAACATTGGCGTCTGACATACAATAACAGAATAACAATGGTACGAATTATCTAAAACCTGAAGATCCGGTATGGCAGACGACAGCAGAATTGGTTTCGATTTGCAAAACAGAGTTTTAGATTCTGAACACCCATCACTTGTTGATCGCTATTACCAGTCCAAATACATTATAGGTAAACAATATCTTTTGAAAAATTTATTTGCCTTTTCAAGATTGTTCAGCAGGAAAAAGCTGAGAGCACTGTGTTTTGTTTACCTCGAGTAAATTCGAAATGAACACGTTTTTATTGAGATTGAAATTTTATATTTTTTTGAATTCTAAATACGGGGATTTATTTATCCTGATCAGAAGCACAGGTACTTGGGTCTTGGTTTATAAATATGTATAATGTACCTTATTGATATGTAAAAAAAGGTACTTTTTTTACATATCAATAAGGTACATTATACCAGGGTTGGAAATTTACTGAAAATTGCAGCCAGCCACAGGGCTGGCTACTTTTAAAAGTTACCAGTCCTGCTCGAAATCTACCAGTCCTGATAAAAATGCTCATCATTATGAATTTACTATAAATAAAGCTTATATTTACATTTGTAACACAGGACTTACAGCCCCTTGGAATTTTTCACATTTTACACAACATTTGAAACCATATCTGATCATAAACCAGGGGATGCATATTTTAATAAATTTTTTGCACAACTAACATAATTTTGTTTTCTTCAAAATTCGTTTTCAATTTTAAATTCTTTTTCTAAAAAAAAAATGATGCACTTAAATATGTCTCTGACTTAACTGCATGCTGATTGAACTACTTATGATTATTAGATGTATAATTTCTTAGACGATTAAAAACTCGACAATTAAATAGTTAAAATATGTTTGTATTCACAGTACAGCATGAATAAATTATTTAACAATAAAAAGATCTAAAATCATTTCACACAATCATCTTTGGCAAGACATCGATAGCTGCCCAGCCGTTTTGCATAAGTAACCATGGACTTTTTCATACACCCGAGTGTAAAATCTAGAGGATTTCCCACAGAGTATTCGATGCAGTGGCAAAACAGGTGCCCTGCAGTTTCACTTAATTCAGCAGTAATAAAACCAGACAGGTTTATAAATTAGTGAGATACACCACATAGTCTGTAGATTTTTGTTTTTAAAGTAAATATAGAAATTCTCGGTATAAATTTAAGATCTGGCTATTAAAATTAGCCCGACCACCAGGCTGTCAACTGCAGTTTTGTACCCGTCCGCCTGAGAAACAGACCGTCTCGGGCGGTCGGGCGGGCTGTATTTTCCAACCCTGTTTATATATACATATGTAACGGGAGAGGAGAAAATGCAGCGGACCAGACCGGGATTCGAACCCGGGCCCCCTGAAACTCCGGTCAGGTGCTCTACCAACTGATTTATCTGGCCACCGGCGATCGAATCCTGCTGACCACCACATTCCTCCCTCCTTAAAGGTCTTTGGCCCCCAAAACCCCAACCCAGGCTAATCCCTGCCAGGTCTTTCACCTGTCAGTTCCAGGGCATTGCACGGCACCAAATGTAATGGGAGAGGAGAAATGCAGCGGACCAGGCCGGGATTCGAACCCGGGCCCCCTGAAATTCCGGTCAGGTGCTCTACCAACTGAGCTATCTGGCCACCGGCGATCGAACCCGGCTGACCGCCACACATATTTATAAACCAAGACCCAAGTACCTGTGATCAGAAGGTGAAAAGTACATTTAGATAGAAATAGTTCCCTGGTACATGTATTTTCTATCTTCATGAAATATGTGGAGAAAACGAACAGTATTGGACATAATTTTTAATAATAATATTTTTATAGCATTTTTGCTCAACTTCCAAGTTTAATTTGTGTTCATGTAAATCAATGACTTTTTTATTTCTTAGATTCATAATGTGGTTATGAACAAAAACTTATTTGTCAATCTCCTTTCCAACTTTTTTTTATATTAATTCTGATTGGCATGTGCTCTTGAAATGTGAGATTTGGCTGTTTGAGTTTTTCCAAAATATTTCAAAAAAACCTAGCTGTATATCTGTAGCGTTATAGTTTTATGTATTTGTCTTTGACCATAACGCTACAGATCCTGTAATGTAAAACTGGTGCAATTTACGGCACAATATTTTTGCACACTTTTGGGGAGAATTTCTCCACTTTCCAGCATTGGTCAATTAACAACCTTTCACCCCTAATTCTAAGCACATTATTTAACTAATCTGTATATTTTATCCATCTCTTAACCCTTTACAGTCGTCTCTATGAGTGATATACTCGCTTGATTAAAATTATTTGTTACATTTTTGAAAATTCACTTCAAGAAAGTTTATTGTCTGTTGAGACTATTATAAATTATTGGGAGGTGGATGAAATATACATATTATATATATAATATACATACAAAATGTGTCTAGAACTAGGAGACTTATTGTTCACAGAACAATAAGAGGTTTTTCCACCTTCTTTGAATTTTAAATCTGTTTTATATCTGACTCCTTAAAATTAAATTCCATAAAAAAGAAACCAAAATTGTCATAAAGGATAGAAAAAATGAAAATTTAAAAAAAAATTGAAATGACCTTAACCTTTGACCTTGAGGAAATGTTCAAGGTCAAAGGTCAAGGGTCACAATGCAATTGACCCCATGCTTCTATGACTTATACTTTTCAAGTTATAAGGTTTAATAATAAGTGTAAAGAAGTTAAAGGGCAATAACTCATATAAGGGGTCATCAGACCCTTTCGCACTTTGACAGTGAAGTTAGGCCTAAAGACCATTAAGACATTAGTGAAGGTTTGGTGTCTCTACGGTCTTTGGTTTCGGAGGAGTAGCGATAACAAGGTTTTTCACATAAGGGGCAATAACTTTTAATTGGGTTAATCTTAGGGGACAAGAATGATATATTTGAAATAGTTTTAAGAGTACATATTAATGGTGCAAAGACATTAAGTATATGTTTAAAAACAAAAGAGATATAAAAAGAGCTTAATTTCTCAGTTTCGGAATGACCTTGAACTTTGACCTTTACATAGATTTTAAGGTCAAAGGTCAATGAATCTTATGCAGTTGGTCCCATGTCTCTACGACTTCTGGTTATGAAAATTTTAAATTTTTCCTAAAATTCATAAGTCTCAGGGGCAATAACTTATTGAAGGGGTCAAAGAATGCTTTCGCAATGGATAGATTGAAGAGTCTCCTAAATAAGTCAAAGACATTCTTGAAGGTTTCATACCTCTATGGCTTACGGTTTCTAAGGAGTAGCTATAACAAGCATTTCTTGCGAAAGGGGTTGTAACTCCAAAAGGGATCAAGGTTAATTTACGCAGGGTCAACCACAATAATCTTTTACAAAGTACATTCTTATGGACTATAAATCTTTTTGATATATCTTGAAACTCAAAATCACACGGCGGAAAAATAAGAAGAATAAGAAACAGAAGAATACCAATAGGTCTTTCCACAGAAAGGTGGAAAGACCTAATTAGGGAGTGAAAGGTCGTTAATTGACCAATGCTGGAAAGTGGAGAAATTCTCCCCAAAAGTGTGCAAAAAATATTGCGCCGTAAATTGCACCTTTTTTGCATTACAGGATCTGTTGCGTTATGGTTAAAGACAAATATATATAAAACCATAAAGCTACAGATCTGCAACTACAAAAAACCCAGCTCCAAGCATTCCCTTGAATAATTTTGGAATAAAATTCTGAAAATATTCTGTCAGATGTTAATTTGGCACTTACATTTTTTCTCTCTTTTAGATTCACAGTCATTTTCTCCCTCTTTCAGATTCACAGTCGAGGAAGGATGAAGATTTATGTATATTAACCCACTCCAACAGGTATCTGTCATAGCTAGATTTCTTAATTTCAATAATACATTTATGATTTATGAAAAAATTGATTTCTTTTGCTGATTTTCTTCCTTGCTTTATAAAATATAATTTGTAGGGATGTCAATGAATATACAAGTACTCGACTATTGATGTTTGCACAAAATTTCATAATTAAAATTCATTCCAAGCTCTCGCTCTCTCTTTGTTTTTATAAGAGACACCCTTTAGTTGTTTACCTGTCAAAGATCATGCATTGACGGACACATATAGAAATTGGCTTCAATTCTGGGGTACTTGTACTACCGTTAAGTAAAAAAGGACAATTACGAGTGTTTGATATCCTGCATTTAGATAAAATGTGCACCTAAGATATTTATTTTGAAATTAAATATACATATTGATGTACAGTTTTTATTGTACTACGTACATGTTTACAATTCAGAAATTCGTTTTATAATGGTGATAGCATAGGTTAAGTATTGTAAACTAGTCTGTAAAAGTCAAACATTGAAAATGTATGAAAAAATAATTAAAATTAAATGAATATTCGACTATCGTTCGTCAGAAACATCCGACTATTCGACTAAGCTGTGTGAGTAAAATTGACATCCCTAATATTTTGAGTTATGTGACAGAATTTGTATAGTGACGGTATGAATAATTTTGATTTCTGTGACAGAATCTGTATAGTGACAGTATCAGAGTGGCACCCAATCATCAGGGAGGGGAAGACGGTATCAAAAATTAATTTTGAGGTGGATGGAATGAACCGACTGGACAATAAGATATCAGGAAAGGGGAAAAGAGTATGTCATTTCACTGTGTGCATGCATAATTCTTTACTTATTTTTTTTTTTTTTTTACATTTTTTATTCGAGGAAACTATCACTTTGCTACATACTGCTTGCAAAATATTAATTTCTCTTACATTATAAGTATTGCATGCATGATTCTTTACTTTTTTTTTTTTTTTTTTTACATTTTTTATTCGAGGAAACTATCACTTTGCTACATACTGCTTGCGAAATATTAATTTCTCTTACATTATAAGTATTGCATGCATAATTCTTTACTTTTTTTTTTTTTTTTTTTTTTTTTTTACATTTTTTATTCAAGGAAACTATCATTTTGCTACACACTGCTTGTAAAATATTAATTTAATTCTCTTACATTAGTATTCCTAGAGGTTGCATATTGTATAGAGCAGTGACCACAATTCATGAAAATTTTGTCTCAACAGTACAGATGGAGTTGTCTATCATGAAAATTTAGTTATCGACAGTAGTTGATATCAAATGTTGGAAGACAGTTTTGCTTTGTAACAATGTACATTGTAATTCATTATACCATTCAGTTTATAATATATTTTCAGGGGCGTAGCTTCCATTGTAGCAATGAGGCAACTGCCTCACTAGATTTTTAGCAACATTCCCCTTCCTATTATTAATTAATAATACATTGCAGAAAATATCTAATATGGTGTATATTTCTTAAATCTTAAATAAATCTATAAGTTATTGTACTGGTTCTGGGTCAAAATTCATGAACTCTATCAGGCTCTATAGTTCTTAAACCTATAAGTATTTTTTTGGTAAAATATATATTGACCACAAGAACAAGGGTCAGACAAAGTTGACAAACGAGGAAAATGGAAAAATGAAAGTCTAGAATCGGCGTCAAGTATTTCACAAACCCTGTATAGTATTGAATAATTTTATTATCTTTCCAATGAAGGATATGGAGATTACGAACAGTATTCAATATCAAAATCCATAAAACAATACAAAATAGAAGCAAAGCAAACACAGATCTCCAAAATTATGCCAAATTCAATTATATTTAAAAATTTCAAAAATAAATAAATGTGTAATTTTTTTCTTAAAAAATGTGTTAGAAGTTTGAATAAACATTTTTATTTACTCTATTAAATACTTTGAAATACAGTATGTACATGTAGTATCATATGAATGCCACCAGGGCTTTGCCCTGGTCCTGCTGGGGCCTCCGGACGCCCCCCCCCCCCCAATAGTTTTGCTTCACTAGAAGTTTAGGTCAAGCTACGTATGCCCTGATTTTTTAAATCATGGGAATTGAAAATCATTTTCCTGTAAGCATTAATAATTTATGTGTTTTTTCTATATAAGTGTGTTTCACTGTATTAGCCAGGGTACAAATAATCTAAACTAACTCCTAAAGAAAATTGATATAAATTTAGTCACCTACATATATTACTAAAAAGAAAAGGAATTAAATTTATTTACCAAATGAACACTTGAGAATATTACCAGGATTAAATGTGTGATCTGCTCATGTAAATTGCTCATCAGAACAGGATTATGTTATTAGATTGGAGTAGACTGAAATCATTATAATTTTGAGGGGTTGCATCGTTGGAAACCCACGGCCAATCTTTCATATGCTTATTGAAAATGAAAAAGCTAAGTGAGATTGGCCGTGGGTTTCCAATGATGGGGGGTGGTGGTGTTGATGTTAGTGTATATTCAGATGTATTGGTGAAAAAAAGATCTGTATTGACAAATTAATTGACCATATGAATGTAAGAGTGACCCCTAAAATCAATGAACATTGTTCTTTTAATTCCACAGTAATATTGTTTGAAATGTAATTTCAGGGAGCGCAACTCTTGACGCCTTCCTCGGCTCTCTGTGAAGTGTCTTGCACTGATGAATCTAGGTATACAATTACCTGTGGTGTAAGGGCACAGCTTATTGAAGCCAATGAAAATCTAGTCAAGGCACCTCAGTTATTGACACAAAAGGTACACATTTTATACCCATTTAATATGGTAACAGTTTTACTTTTTAACATATATTTTTTTAATTGACCAAACTTAGTACAAAGCATCCTTGGGTAAAGGGGAATTTAAATTGTTAAAAGGGGACATATCCCCTCGACAAGAGATAATCAAGAAAAGAAGTTGGGTCATTAAAAAATATTTTCTTATGTTAGTGTAGATTCAATCATGAATTGGGGAATCAAAGTTTTATATAGAAATATATAAAAATTTTATTTCAAGAACCAGTTATTGAAGCATCCTGGTATAGTGTAGATTCTAAATTTTACATAGAAATATATAGGGAACCACTTAGGCCAGAAAAGCTGAAACTTATGTGGAAGCATCCTGGTATAGTTATTGACACATCACAATGGGAATCAAAGTTTTACATAGAAATATATAGGAAAAATCTTTGAAAATCTTCTTCTCAAGAACCACTGGGCCAAAAGCTGAAACTTTGGAAAGATTTGGTATAATATAGATTTAAATTGTTCAAATCATGAGGAAAAATGGGAATCAAAGTTTTATATAGAAATATATAGGTTGTGAACCACTTGAAACTTATGAAGCAAATAAAGTTAATAACTGGGGCCACAATGGGGAATCAAAGTTTTATATAGAAATATTTTGGAAAAATCTTTGAAAATCTTTTCAAGAACGACTGGGCCAGAAAAAGTGAAGCTTATGTGGAAGCATTCTGGGGTAGTGTAAATTCTAAATTGTAGGAATCATGACCCCCGGGGGAAGGGCGGGGCCACAATGGGGAATCAAAGTTTTACATAGAAATATATAGGAAAAATCTTTGAAAATCTTCTTCTCGGGAACCACTGGGCCAAAAAAGCTGAAACATATGTGCCCATGGAAGGATCATGGGGTAGTGTAGATTTCAAAATATCTAAATTATAATCAGTGGGGTAGGGTGGGGATGCATTATGTATAACATGGGGGAAATCTGGTAAAGAACAGAATGGTCAAAGCTTCTCAGATGAGCGATGTGGCCCATGGGCCTCTTGTTTTAATTGATGAGGGCTTAAAGGTGCATAGACACAGATTTGAAGTTAATAATTTCTGTATGTTATCAAGAATTGTATTAAAAATCTTATTTCATCTAAAAGTTATTGAAACGTGAAATTTTTGGATGAGATTGATTGACACATCCTTGCACTTTCACAAATTTTAATTGTATTCTTAATACTTAGGAAAAATGGCAATCTTGTTGTGCATTAATGAAAAATAGTTAAACTGTAATTCAGAAAATTCAGAGTAAAAATGTTCGAATGGAAAATATGCACTGTTCCCAACATAGTATTACTTGTTCTGATTCCACCACAGTGAAGAATATCCTCTTGTTATGTTTCCATCACAATATCCTCTTGTCCTATTTCCACAACAGTATCCTCTTGTCTTTTTTCTACCGCAGTATTCTCTCTTCCTGTTTCCACCACAATCTTCTCTTATGTTTCCACTACAACATCCACTCGTCCTATTTCCAACACAGTATTACTTGTCCTGTTTCCACCACAGTATCCTTTTGTCCTGTTTTCACCACAATATCCTTTTGTCCCATTTCCACCACAGTAGTATTCTATTGTTCTGTTTCCACCACAATATCCTCATGCCCTGTTTCCACCACAATATCCTCTTGTCCTATTTCCTCCACAGTATCTTCTTTTTCAGTTTCTACCACAATATCCTCTTGTTCTGTTTACACCACAGTATCCTCTTGTTCTGTTTCCACCACAATATCCTCTTGTCCTATTTCCTCCACAGTATCTTCTTGTCCTGTTTCCACCACAATATCCTCTTGCCCTGTTTCCACCATAGTATCCCCTTTTCCTGTTTCCTCCACAGTATCTTCTTGTCCTGTTTCCACCACAATATCCCCTTGTTCTGTTTTCACTGCAATATCCTCTTGTTATGTTTCCAACACAATATCCTCTTGTCCTGTTTCTACCGCAGTACTATTCTATTGTCTTGTTTCCACCAAAATATTCTCTTGTCATGTTTCCACCACAGTAGTATTCTATTGTCCTGTTTCCACCACAGTAATGAGTTTCCTCTTGTACAGGTTCCATCACAAAATCCTTTTGTCCTGTTTCCACCACAGTATCCTTTTGTTCTGCTTCCTCCACAGTATCCAGTTGTTCTGTTTCCACCACAATATATCCTTCCACCACAATATATCCTTTTGTCCTGTTTCCACCACAATATCATCTTCTGATGTTTTCACCAAAATATCTTCTTGTTCTGCATCCACCACAATATCTTTCTGTCCCCTTTTTACATCCTTTTGTCCTGTTTCACCACAATATCCTCTTGTTATGATTCCACGTCAGTATCGTCTTGTTATGTTTACAACACAGTCTTCATGTACTGTTTTCACTACATCCTCTTGTCACTACAATATTTCCTTGTCTAGTTTCCACCACGAGATCATTTTTTCCTGTTTCAATGCAACTAATGGTATATGTCAGTTATGTGTCTACTGTTATCTTAAAATTAATTTTTCTGATGTTATTTCAGATTTGATTCTTTTCTAACTTGAACTTATAGTGTCATATCATAAAGTCAGCATTTCATTAGTTCTATGGTTGATACAATGACTTTGTTAGCAAATGCAATATAATATTTTGTCATATGCTGACTGACTTTTTTTTTCAAACTAATTGTTTGGCCATTATTACCCACTGGGTTGTTTTTGGATTTTTTCCGTTTTCCCCCGAACATGACAAGGAGCACTCGGTGGGTTTGACCATTCTGCAGGGAATGCTCACTCCTGTATGGCACCTGATTCTACATCGGAGGTGTATGAGGTCCGTGTTTGGTCCGCTCTTATTTGTAATGTTTTATGGACTTTTGAGCTCGAATACTGTTCGTTATCTCTACATATTTCATCGGAGTAGCAATGTTAAATATAAATAAGAATGACTTTGTTTTTGAGACAAAGACCTTCAAAGGCCAACCTTTTTCTTGAGATGTAGTCTGGCAGTAAAAAAAAAGATTCCCCATTGAAATACTATCTAGAGTGTTTCTGCTATTTGTAACACCACTATGAAGACTTAGTTTTGTGTGTAATGTATTTTGTCAATTATGTAGCGAATTATTTGTTTGAAAGAATTCCAGATAGTTTAGAATGACAGCTTGCTTGCTAATTTGAGGATTGATTATTTATTTTTGAGAACACAACTTCAGGTTCTCTTAATTTTATCACTTAAAGCCGAGAGGGAATAATTAGTATCTCTCACGATTTTGTTGAAAATCCAAAAAAAGCCACATTTAATCCGAGTATTGTATATAACTTTACAATTCATATTTGAGAGATGTATTAAATGCTAGAAATTATATCAAGATTTGTTAAGTATGGAAATGATACATTAACAGAGTAAAGGGAATATATAGGGTTCACAACTTACACATAATACTAGTAGGCAATATTTCACTTATCTTTGTTATATATTACATGTATAATTAAAGTCGGCATTATTATTAGGGCTGCGTTAGATGAAGATGACGAAGTTGTTTGTTCACTATCCGTATGCCAGTTGAGTAAATAACGAAACAATCTTTTTGTTCGTCTGAAAGTACGAGTTTATCTGTGCATGATAAAATCTTTGAAAAGAGTTCCAAAGTATTCCTTGCAAGTAATTGTTAAATTTAGAAACCTTAATAAAGCGATGCTAATTGCCCATGTAAACAACCAAGTGCTGCCAAATTTGATTTGGGGGAAGAAAATAACCGATCCTTCTTCTGTTTGACTGCATTGTCATTTAGTTGTATTATGAGGAGTTAAGTAAAAACATCTTTGACATAACAGATATAGACCTTAAACTCAAGCAGCGCTTCGCACATTTCAAGAACATCGATAAGTGGCATTTGTGTCAAGTGCCTTGGCTGAATTTTTGACAAGACTGTTGGAGACCCCATGAGTGTCAAAAATCATTAAAGCATTCCCTTTCGTCTTTCTATGGTTTCTAAAATTAATCATAACATGTTAATGATGCACGGTGCCGTAAAATAGGTATTTTAATCCAAAGTTATTGTTGAAGTTTTTTGTACCATGGGTAAATGGCCATTTCATCCCTTCATTAAAGAAACATAAATTTGAAATTCGTGATCTATTTTCGTGATAAAGTCGGTAATAAACTAGCAAAACGAAGAACATCATAGGATATGTATTTTATGATAAATCAATACAAAAATAAGATTGAGAAAAAAGTGAACATGGTGAACGATTGCGAAGTCAACATGGCAATCTCAATTCGAGGGAGAAAAATATATTTAGACACTGCATTGGATAATTTTGGACAGAATTGTCAAAAACCAATATTAAAATGCTTTTATACCATTTTAATAATTCAAAAATAATCTATCGGTGTACTAGTTTTTGACCCCTTCAAAACTGATTAAAGAAGAAATTTTAAAAAATTGTATTTATTTAAAAAGTTGACTTGAGTAATTCCCGAATAGCTCCCTTTACATCTGGAATATGCTTTATACATATATGAATGCAGAGCGACTGAATATCAGGAGACTTATGTAATAAAAGTTATTTCTGTCGATGTGGCTCCCTCGCATTTGTTTCAGGCTTTCATTAGTAATTACACTGATGTATGGGTTTCCAATGTGAATCTTATCTTGCACATTTCATTTCACCACTTGTAAAGAAAACCTTTTAGATGTTCTGGATAAAGAAACGTAATTAATTCTTTAACAATAGTGTTATACATTGGATTTCACTGAGAAATCGCATTGGAATTTTGTATTGGCTCTTTGCACTTTACAACTATGCTCGAATTTTATACATGGTTATAAAAACCTTCAATCTGTCTTCCTATCAGTTTTATCACGAGGCGAAAGAAATTATCCTAAAACACCTGCTTTCTATAGGGCGTATCGAATAACGAGCAAGCTTGGCTTTCCTCACAAACACTGATTATTTACTGATATATATTTATCCATTATTTACTGATATATTTACCGAATTTGATTGATGGTTTGGTAGTGTCAAGTATGTATTGATGTTTTCTTTGTTGTTTTGTATGTAAAACATAAAAGATTAGTTGGAATTGGAAACTTATTGACTTTATTTTTTTCACTTTGTGTGTATGCACCAAATAATAGCGGTTTCTTTTGCCTTATTAAAATATGGTGGAACCTTTTTTATGGATCGGACAGCATTAATATGATTTGGCACTACTTAATACTGGTTCATCTTCTTTAGATATCTCTTCAGTTCGTTTTAATTTTACAGCACCAACATATGTAGAAATATATTAATAACAAAATAATCAAAATTAATTTTCTTGTTTTTGGCACTTTTCAGTCAAAGATGCATAGCTAGCGATTAAAAGTTAAGGGAGCAAAATACTATCAAACTTAGAAGCCTGGTAAAAGTTACGCAAGTTAGTTTATATACTGCTGGTATACAGGGTTATTTTCGCCCACTATATTTTCGCACCTTTCACACTTGCAAACAATTTTGCCTAAATTCGCCTGATCACATTTTTAAGAAATTATTAAAAATGTATTTAAAAAAAAAAAAATCGCCCTGTTTTTCAATTTGCCCTACCAAGGCAATAAGAAAACAAAAAATTAAAGGGGCGAAAATTTCCCTATGTACAATATTATATTTATGTTAATATTATTTTTTGTTTGTTATTTTAGCCACAAACAGAAGGATATATAGCCATTGTTCTCCCAAAATTAGGAGATTTTGAATCTGCAACAAAGAATTTATTGTCCAGGGAGGAGTATAAGAAAATACGTTTCTCAGGAACCTTAAGTAATGCAACCTGAAGGAAAACTAAAGACAATTTCAGTGCAATTTCTTTTAATTTTTTTACAGTGTGATAACATTAAAAAGTTTCACAAACTGTGTTATTTGTTTTTATTGAAATGTAGGGTTTCATATCAGACCTGATCTGAATGGTTGACACAGTTTTCGTCCAAGGTAAGTGTATTTGATAGTTTGCTAATGTTTGTTGTTTAATGAGGTCTGTTGACACTAACCAGTTTGTTTTTTCAATCATTCAAAACCAAGCGAATATAGTGCGAAAAATTTTTGCTATCATACACTCCTTAAAAGTTTGCATTTCAAGAAATTGCACCATTGTTATAATGACCTACCAAACGTTTGGTCGTTATTTGATCGACATATGCTACAAACATATCTTAAGACAATTGTTTTACAACTTGGACTACGTATTTACTTGAAATACATAGGAGTTGACGAAGTTGATGAGTATAGTTAATTCGTATAGGCACTTGATCCCACCCTTTGGTGTGTCAAGGGGTATGCATTGTTGTCCTCTTCATGAAGGCTTTGTTTACAGGATTTTTGTGAAAGATTATTTTCCTATCTTCGCCCTTTTTATAATGACAAAATATTATGCTTTGTTTTTTTTCCGTTGTCATATTTAAGCAAGATAATGTTTAACTTCATCAGAGAGATAATTGTTTTAAAATTCTGGTATTGTTTTTGTGGCAAAACTTATGTATGATCAAATGCATCAGAATCGGTCATGCTGTAGTAATCCCCACAGTCTTAGTAATCTATAATCGATTACTAATAATCATAATAATACATATACATTAATCGATTAAAGCTAAAATTTTCAGTGTAATCAAAACGATTTAACAAATACCTTCGGTTACGTTTAATCAAGGTAGATATTCGGGATTATGATGTGTAGAGAAAAAAAAGTTTACCATGAACACATGAGTAGGAAATGTGAACTAAGAATGTTTATTCTTTTACTCCATTCCATTATGATGTTGTTTGGCGATTATGAGATTTTATGATCATTTCATTACTTGTTCATTGCTTGGTTTTGAATTGTCTCCATGATTTCTGTTCTTTTTCTTTTGGGGTTATACTATAATCTTTTCATTCATTCGTTAGTTATATTTCTCATGCATTATAATTGCTGTTATAAATGAAATCAATACATAACTTATTTGTGTTATTCTTCGCCTTCTTTTTATACCAAAATACTTTATTATTTTTTTCATCTTAAGCAGTCTAGTAAACTCTTGAACTTTGGAGGTTTAAAGTCAGGGCAAGGCTTTTATTTCAACCTTCATCTAAATGATGACCTTGCATTATAGACTGCATGGGTTTCCTTGCTGATATTTTTAAAGAAAAGTTTGGTTCATCATTATGGTTTCAGACACATACATTTTTTTCTATTGCTTTCAGATATAATTTATAAAATACAAGATATAGGTACGCTTTAGAAATTTGAACGCAAAAAAACAAACAAACAAAAAAACCCCGCATATACCCCACCCCCAAATGCTTAGGAAAAATGGAATATCTGTTGAATATATTAATGTATGTAAAAAATGTCAAATGAACTAAATGGTGTGAAATATCAGATGACACGCGAAGTTTACTGAAAAGGATAAATTCTACCCCCAGGTAAGCAAATAAAAATCTTCTTTAATATGAATACATTCAAATCTCCTACTTGTGAGTGACACGTGCCATAAACTTCAGCAGGTACATCCCCTGCAATGAAGCACCTGTCAAATGCTGCTATATGGATTGATATATAGACAATTAAATAGGGGTCCTCTTTAACTTAAATACTGGATAGTATACTTCAGATATGAAGTATAATCACTCAGTGGCCTTGCATTTAACCATAAAATATTAATTCAATGCAGTACATCAAGTTCGTTCTTCTTCAAAGTTGTTATGCAAGTTTTCGATGGAGAATTTTTTTTTCAGTGGTCATAAAGTACACCTATAGTAATTATTTTCCTGTTTTTTTTCCCTGAATTTTCTTTTTTAAAAAAGGCGTCTATCTTATATTGTTTTCTTAAGGAGAAAAATAGCTTTAAGTATAAAATTTCTGTATAGTATGAGCCGAAGGCTCAAGTGAGCTTTTCTGATCAAAATTTGTCCGTTGTCTGTCGTTGTCGTAGTCGTTGTCGTTGTCGTCGTAAACTTTTCACATTTTCATCTTCTTCTCAAGATTCACTGGGCCAATTTCAATCAAACTTGGCACAAAGTATCCTTGGGTGAAGGGGATTCAAGTTTGTTCAAATGAAGGGCCACACCCTTTTCCAAGGGGAGATAATTATGAATTAGAGAAAAATTAATGGCATTTTTAAAAAATCTTCTTCTCAAGAACCACTGTGTCAGGAAAGATGAAACTCATGTGGAATCATCCCCCGGTAGAGTAGATTCAAGTTTGTTCAAATCATGACCCCCGGGGCTAGGGTGGGGCCAAAATGGCCCACCCCAGTTTTACATAGGAATATATAGGAAAAATCTTAAAAAATCTTCTCAAGAACAACTGGGCCAGGAAAGATGAAACTCATGTGGAATCATCCTCAGGTAGTGCAGATTCAAGTTTGTTCAAATCATGACCCCCGGGGCTAGGATGGGGCCAAAATGGTCGATCCAAGTTTTACATTGGAATATATAGGAAAAATCTTCTTCTCAAGAACCACTGGGCCAGGAAAGATGAAACTCATGTGGAATCATCCTCAGGTAGAGTAGATTCAAGTTTATTCAAATCATGACCCCCGGGGCTAGGATGGGGCCAAAATGGCCGATCAAAGTTTTACATGTACATAGGAATATATAGGAAAAATCTTTAAAAATCTTCTTCTTAAGGACCACTGGGCCAGGAAAGATGAAACTCATGTGAAATCATCCTCAGGTAGTGTAGATTAAAGTTTGTTCAAATCAAGACCCCCAGGGCTAGGGTGGGGCCAATATGGCCGATCAAAGTTTTATATAGGAATATATAGGGAAACCTTTTAAAATCTTCTTTTCAAGTACTTCAAAGCCATGATTAGTGATATTTATATGGAATCATTGTCAGGTAGTGTACATTCTAGTTTGTTCAAATGATGAACCCCTGGGAGGGGTTTAAATTCAAGCCCCCCCCCCCCCCAGTAAACTTTCAGTTCTGATCTGATATGTGCTTTTTCCTAGCCGATGTGCTCAGGTGAGCGGTGTGGCCCCTGGGCCTCTTGTTTGTGTATTGGAATAGGTTTTCGTTACGAAGTAGGTTTAAATTTTTTCAGTTTATATTATTTTCAATTATATGATTATGCACCAGAATGTATTCTGAAAAAAAGATTAGGTTGATCATTGGAATTGAAAAAAAAAAACAGTAAAATTCCATTTTCTTAAAAAAAATGTTCATATATATATGTACATACATTTTAGCTGCCCATTTGTATGTTTGGCTAAATTGCTAATTTTATCATTATTTCTTTTAAAATGTATTTTTCTAATTAGCTTGTCTCAGTTTCATGTTTTAGTATCTGACGTCAATTGAAATTTTTTAGCATCTTTTCTTGACAGCTGAACCAATGTTGCTATGAAACATTTCCTATTAAAGGTTAAAGAAACATCTGAATTTTGTGGTCTACGACAGTCATTAGCTTAAATTTATGGTATTTTCTTAACTCCTTATGAAACCGTTCATACAGTACTTAAGTTCATAACTCCGAAATATAGCTGATATATTGCCGACTCGGCGTAAAACAACAATAATCAATCATTTACTCCTTATGAGCTTTACTCAGTTAAATTGTTGGCATAGCAACATTACGCAATACCCTGTATCAAATCTCTGAAATTTATTATACCGTGATCTCTAGGTTACGGCCCCATTTTGGGGCGAAATAAGACATGTATTGAAAATGCATTAAAATCATCTTTCGTTGTCGTCTTCATTTGCATGACTTAATGAGAAATGAGCCCTCTGAAAAAACATATAATTCATGACCCCAGGTTTCATTCCCTAATTTGGGGTTACTAGTACATGTAGTAGTTTAAATATATATTAAAATTTAAATTGTTAATTTTTGATGCAACACTTTTTGCATGATAGTTTTTTGCATGAATGTTTTTTCTCGATATGAAGAAACCACTTTCCGTCGAGTGCTACGAATAAGATCTTTATTTGGTACTGAAGGCCATTGAACAGTGAGGAATCTCTTTTTTGCCAGACTATTACTGCCCATGGTCCTCGAATTTCCAGTACTGTAAAATCACTAATTTTCGTGGGGGTTTAATTTTCGTTGTTTTCGAGGTATGAGGAGACCAAGGAATTCATGCCCACAACGCAATGTAAAATTTCATATGCACAACTACTAGAAAGTTCTTCTTCCACGAAATCAAATCCCCAGGAACCAACATTTTTTCCTCAAGCCACGAAAATTGGACCTCCCGAAAATATGTGATTTTACAGTATATGGTTTTACCTGAAGCCCCAATCTCCATTTACCGCAGCGGGATACAAATATGCGATGCATGAGGATCAACTCATCATTCGGCAAACCGGTCAGATCAATCTAGTGGTAGAACGTTCGCTTCATGATCGGTAGGCCCGGGTTCAATTCTCGTTCACGGCGCCGCGTCAAACCTTAAACGTAAACAAAGGTAGTGACTGTTCCTTCGCCAAGCGCTCGGCATTAGAAGTGAAAGTTATGGGTCTTTAGGATATGATCTTAAAACATAGAACCCTCACTGCTCAATGGCCTGTGTCAAAGTTATAAATTTGAAGCCCTTCACCGGCATACGAAGTACTTTGGCTCCATTCAAACCTCGGATGTGATAGGTGGAGGAATATCGCTACATTTCTCCGCCGGAAACTGCCTTGTCACTCACTGCTCTTAGAAAAATGGCCTTGTTAATTACAACCAAATGTTAGTATTCTTTGAAAGCAAGAACACAGTGTTGGGCGTGCATCAAACTCGGATTTCAAAAGTATAATATTTAAATGAAATTCAAATAAGATCACATGACTGAATCAGCTTCGTTGACGTCCGAGGTTATGTGCGAGGTACGAGTCATCCGAGGAACTCCGATTGCTCTATATGAGTGAAAAATTCATTCTCAAATGGGACGTTAAACAACATAAAATCAATAAATCAATCAATTCTTCCGCAACTCTTAACAAAATTGCTCTTATCGCTGCACCACGTGGGTGACATGTATGATTTGAAAAGCACAAGACGAAGAAAACATAGTCTTCTTAATAGCGATATCATGTAGGCAAAAACTGCTGAAAGTAAATATATCAGAAACAGTTTTTTTTAGAAGAAGCCGTTTATTTTATAACAGTTATCACAGTTGAATTTTACTTAGGCACAATAGTTGTGCAAACACATTTTGTAAAGGTTAATAGCATCAACATATGATTTGTCAAATTTTTTTTTTAAACATTTTTTCTATATATGCATTTATAATATTGCTCTGGAATGCAAGTGACGAAAAATGTATGAAATTATCTGCATTAATTAAAAAAAATAGATGTGATTTTGAACCTTTGATAATCACTACTTCAGACTTTGCAGTCATTTGGCCATTTTTTAAACAAATATGTGTATAAACATATATATTAAATTGATTGTTTTTTTGCCCTTTCAGCAATATATTGGAAAATATTGAAAAAAGTAGTTTCACATCATTTAAAAATAATAATAATAAAATGACATAAGGATGAACAAAAATATAACAGAATGCATAACGCAAATAAATTTAAAATGTACAAGCTTACATTGAAACAAAACAATTTCACACCATACAAGACTATAACATGTCCTAAACGATGTGGAAAAAAGAGATCAGTTAAGGATTTCTGTATACATAACAAACAAATGCCCTATTCGACAAATACTCCTTGGGAGAGGAAGAAAACAAAACAGTCTTGAACTGTTCATTTGCTCTTCACATGAAAGCACAACGTAGTCCCATCAATGGATACTTTTGGACTCTTTTCAAAAATCCACAATTTTCATTGAACAATATGCTCCCTAGAAAGTGACGATTGTTGCTTTAAGCGGGATTATTGACATCAGGAAAATTTGGGGCAAACAAATAACAGGAACATTTTTCCTGAATATACAAACTGCAGATAAAGCAGTGAGATTTTTTTTACTGAAAGTAAATCAGATTCACAACAGTTAAGACGTTAAGCACAACCACAGCGGACAACTTTCATTCTTGGAAGCGTTGTCAACTGAACTCTTGATTCATGATCAAAGTAAAGCATTTTGAGATTCGCCATTCGAACAGGAGTACAGCATGGTCCAGGGTTTGTGCTGAGCATTCTAGACTCTGGAATCTGTTGTACTACGGCGGAGTGACCGGATTCACTCAAACCCTCATCACGGCATTCTCCCGCGCAATAAAATGCATCGTATCGCTGTGGTGCAATGACAAAATCCCAACCAAACTCCACAAAATCTACGGTTAAGGGGTAGCGACAGCATGTATCAAACTGATTTTGTTCATTACAGTTTAAAACCGTAGATCTCTTTTCTCTTTCATTATGAAGAATCGTAATGGTCTTGAAGTCAAGGTTGGGTTCCTGTGAAATAGAAATGATTTTTTTTTTATTTTGAGTAAAGGATGATCTAAGTGATTGTTAAAACAACAGAAAAGGTCTAACAATTCATAAACAGAATTAAACTACCTGTATTATTTTTGCTAGCTTACTTATACTTTTACTAACTAACTTGCTAGTTTAAGAACCTTAGAAATAGGTCAATTTAGGATCACTTAAGAAGAAATTGAATAGGTACATGTAGCAGGTAATCTTTTTTTGTAAAGTTCTTCAAAAATTTAATGAAATTCCCGTGGATACCAATTGCCTCTCGTTATTAGTAGACCTATTTTTGTATTTATATGGAAATGAATTTGTTTAAATGATTATACTTGAATCACTTGGTGTGATTTCCAACTCGAAATTTTGATATATCGACGACGTATTGTCAACTATCAATGGTTATTTCCGTTCTTATTTCGACAAGGTATATCAGCGAGCTTGAAATAAATTATACCACAGCGTCTGACACATTTATTTCATATTTCGATATTTGTTTTAGAAAAAGTCGACGTCATTGGTAATCTGAAGGATATGGAGATAACTAGCAAAAAACATTTCTGAGAAATGTGATAACTTTAACTTTTCAATCGTCAGCCACCTTTACTTATGCAGCAATATACTCTTATGATACCCTTCTCACATGCATACGTGTTTTTATCTGTCAGTTGATTCGATACGCAAGAGCATGCCTTACATATAAACAATTTTTGTAACGAGAAGTTGTTGTCATTGACAAAGAAATTGAAACAAAAAATATCATCAGTCTTGTTTTGAGTCATTTCTATGTTCTATGGTCGATACAATTATCTTATCAGCAAATACAATCTATCATTAAGTCAAATGCTGACTGGCGTTTTTCATACTAGCTAATTTTTATGCAATCATTTACACATCGATTGTCAACGGATTCCCCCGTTTTTTTTCTATATCATGATGAATGGCACATGCCTGGTATGACCGGCCGGCAGGGGATGCTTACTCCTCCATGGCATCTGTGTTTGTTATGCTCCAATTTTGTATTGTTTAATGAGCATGAATGCTTTCGTTATTTCCATATAATTTTCATTGGTGTTTAATTTTCGTTGTTTTCGCGGTATGGAGGGACCCACTAACTCATGACCACCACGAAATGTAAAACTTAATTTGCACTATTACCCAACACTATAAATCGAATCACCAAATATCAATCTTTTTTTTTTTTTTTTTACAAACCTCGAAAATTTGTGATTTTACAGTATTTCATTCTTTTTGTTCATTCACGTAATTTTTTTTTGAGTAATTATTAACTGTCGAGTCATAGTCGTATATCAACGTCTTTATTTTATTTTTATTGTTTAATCATTCAAAGCGTTAGGTACGTATTTAATCATCCATTATCCCGATCAAATATATTTAATTCATGATTTGTTTGAAAATTGCATGACTGAGTGGAATGCAGTATATTCCATCAAGGTCTGATTTTCGTACAGATTTTCGTACAGAATAACTTTTACACTGATTGATTGATTGATTGATTGTATATTGTTTAACGTCCCTCTCGAGAATTTTTCACTCATATGGAGACGTCACCGTATGCCGGTGAAGGGCTTCAAACTTTGACCTTTACTCGGCACTCAGGGCCATTGAGCAGTGAGGGATCTTTATCGTGCCAACGCCTGCCGCTGACACGGGGCCTCGGTTTTTAAGGTCTCATCCGAAGGACCCCTTTTACACTGAAATTCATTTTTAAATTTTTGTTTTATTTAATAAATATGTGTCTAACTTTACCTGTATTCATTTCTATATCATTTAATGTAACTGAAGTTTCCGGATAAGTGTACTGTGCTTTAATTTATTCTATATTTTGAATGCTTCTTTTAAAGTTTCTCTAGATTTTAAACATCTTTGTTATCACAGGTGTATAAATCAAGTCGGGGCGATCCTCATATTAATAAGAAATACTACTTGTACTTGTCCTCTTCCACAAATGATTTTGCTAACGTAGATTAAGAAAGGTTGGATAAGTATTTAGATTTTATCTATATTAATGTTACATCTGTCCGAGGGGCACTTAAAAGGACTATACACAAGAAACAATTTTCCCCTTGAGACTTTTAAAAGAAAAACATTTGTTTTTAAAGTCATATTAACTTCAAACCCGTTATGATCAAACGCTTTCGAGAGATTGATCTGATCAAATAATTGTATTAAAGATGCATTTGAATCAAAAATATCTTCTAGAGAATATTGAGATTGCTAGCTGTGTTTGTAAAAATGAAGAAATCTAGATATTTTCAGTGATTTAACTAATAATGCTTTAACAAATGACAACACTCACGTAGCCACTGTTATTTGTCGTTCCGTTTTGCAGGACAATGAGATTCTCATTATATCCATCAAAAGCTTCCACCACTACACCCAGGTTAGACGATGGATCGGAGGCCCACTGCTGAGTGAGATCAGTAATATCAAAATGATGCCAGCCGATGGTCTCCGCGATATTCTTTTTCTTTCTTTTTAAAAACCTTTTGACAGGGGGCCCTCCACGTTTTCCTGGAGGAACAAGCTTGTAGAGGAAAAGTTCTGACACGTTTTTGGGTAAATTGAATTGTCTTAGTGGTGGTGCTATGTAAACCCATAGGAGTGCCCTGTGTACCTCTTGATTTTCCATCACTGGTATGTTGAAATACACTGCATTCGGTGCTTCCACTAATAAGGACGTTGGCGCTGAAATTTAGGACCAAAAACGCCTGATATAAGCATTTGAAATTTTTTTCTGTGCAGTAAATAGGAGATTTTTATTTTATTTCTCTTCTCAAAAGATATATCAAGAAGAAAAATAGCCTTTATTATCTCTATCCTATTTCATGATTTTATAGCTTAAAAATCGGGATCATGTTACGGGACTAAATTTTAATTTATCCTTTTAAAAAATGAAGTAGAAGTTACGTTTCTTATTCATTTTTATGTTTAAGAATATTGTGTCTCAAGAGCAACTGAACATACATTCAATAAGTTTAATTTTATTTAATGAGTTGAATATTTTAAGAATAATAGAATAATAGATTTCTTAATTTGTAAGTGAGAACTTTTTTTCTTTTTAAACACAAATGACAGACATTGATTTAGTCGTTGCTAGCAGATGACTTACGTTCTTCAGAAAATATAAATGTTCTCTCCATTCTACCAAATTCATCTTCTTCATCTTCAATTCGTTCTGTGTATGAATATGGTTGGTCATATTGCATTTCTTCTAAATTAATTTCGTTTTCATACTGATGTCGTAATCTTTCATAGGATGGAATTCTGGGAAATCTTGTCCGTGTTACATTTGGTAATCCTAAAACATCCAACCTTAAAGCATGAGATAATCTACTTTTTATGGAGTTGATCCGTAATCTCTTTTGGTGTTCGCGAATGTGACAAGTGCGGCATCGTTGTACATTACCATCTGTTTCTGAGTAGTCAGTATTCTGTTGAAAAAGATGAACTAGTTGCTCAAAATCCATATCGCTTGTATTATATTGTCCATTTGGTTCCGTAATATTATCTGCTTGTGGTATCACTGAGCAAATGCCTATAATTGTTAAATACGTAGACGTATAAATAAATGAGATCAGAAAAGAATACATCTTGCACTTTAAAATCAGCTGATCGTACGCGGGATATGCCCTGAAGGAATTCGCGCCGTTTCTTTTATACCAGCGGTCAAGATATACCGGCCGTTATGACAAGAAAACACTATGTCGCTCATAAATATTGAAGTGTCTTAAAAAAGACTAAACACGAAATAACAATAAATCCATTGATGCTTTCACTTTTTTTTAAGTTCCTAATTCACACAAACATTTCTCGTAGGAAGATTGAAAAATGGAAAACTAAACGGAATGTGATATCCACAATTAAAGAAATAAATATCTTAACGCCTATTCTGAGAATGTATGAATATTTTGAAAACTGATTCATTCCGAGTGGAGCCAACTGAAATTAAAAGGCATGGTCGTGTGACGTAAGATTTTAATCATCCTGCAGAAATATCGATTGGGGATAGAATGAAACATGCATGTTGAAATTGTGAACTTTTTATAAAGGAAGGCCATGACACACATCTTTTATCATTAATTAACAGGTAATAAAACTTTAACGGGTCAAAGAGGGTCGTTTTGATTAATTTGAGAAGGCATCTCATGTGTGCTGCATTCGGGATGTTTAAAAGATACGCTACTGATAGGTTTCTTCTGTTGAATTCCTTAATGTACACTTTTTTGCTGCGTAAATTCAGAGTGTAATTGAGAAATTCAGGAATGTCTGTCAAACACTCAAAATTACAACTTAAGACATCAAGTTCTTAGAGAGGAGTGATTTAATTTAGAAAAATTGAGATCAACTATTTAAACAACATATTAAGTTCTCAAATCTTAGAACATAGAAATGTGAATTGTGAGTTTTATCAAATAATGGAATTTTAAAACATATACATGTACAATTTTAAATACAGTGCCAAAAGATATAAACCAGTTCCTAAGGGCTTTGCGAGAAGACTTCTGTTTTTAAACAAAACTTATTAGCACTGATAAAATAACCATACAAGGCATACAGAAATGGTATCTCGGTAGGTATGCTTATTTCTAACAGGCACTTGATCCCACCTAGAGAGAAGGGGGGTCTAGAGGTTCCCTTTGTGCTTTTTTGACTAGATTCAGTATTTTGAAGAAAAAAAATTCTTATATAAAACATCGTCCATAAGGAATCGAGGGCCAAGAGAAGAGGAGAAAAGGGATTTGTGACAATATTTTCCAATATATAATTGAGAAATGGCTACTTTATGTATGGACCAACTCACTACATGTAATTATATCTCATGATTCCTTTCCTTTTTTTCTTATCTGGTAGTCTTTGCTTGGTATTCCCCCTCAAATTAAATGGATGGTTGTAACTTCCTTACCCCTGAAAATAAATGGAATTGCTCCCTGGGTGTTTATGAAACTATAATATATTATTGTAATAATCTGCGTTAAATTTATGGCGGATAGCTCAATTTTGAAAATTATTTTAATGTTATTTTTCTTCATCAGAAGCAGAAAATCGTATACACATTTACAAACAAGTCATTGAGTCAATATTAATCAATGAATGGGACTTTTTCCTTGTTTACATCAACCCATTTGTATTAAATATAGAAAAAAGTATTCTTTAAATATATAGTTTTTAAAATCTCAAATGAAATGAAAGCATGGTATTTCAAGTGGAAATAGTTAAATGTTTCTTATGAAGTGCTTACATCTTATTTCTATAATAAATATTATGCATTTCAGTAATTCTGGCCTTTAGATCTTAATTATAGTGTTTAATTTCGGAATGTAAGAATTAAATAATGTATTTTTTCATACACTACCTATATATAATTCCTATAATTAATATTAGGCATCTCAGTAATTCTGACCTTTAGATCATGATGTCCAAAGGGTGTCAATCATCAGCGTGTGTCATTATTTTTCCCTCAGCGTGAATGTGGAATTGATAAGAAAGGTGACACGCTGCTTTGCAGTGATGATGGGTTTTGTATACAATATATCATCACTTGGTAATAAAAGTAGTTTCTGGATGTTAAAAATGCCAAAGAACACTCCACTTTGACGTTCCACTGTCAAGAATCTGCTCCTATGTTTTCAAACCTGATAGATTAATTGTTCCATCTTGAGATGAGTGACAACTATCGCTATGAATATATTCTTTCCAAAAAAAAAAATAGTAAAAAATACATGTTACTATTTTAACAGAAGAATTAAGAAAATGGGAATAAGGTAGTCCTTTTCTCAGGTTCTGAAAAATCAGGCGTTAAATAATTGAAAATGTTCATAAAAACTTCTCTGATTCATTCAAAAATCAAAGAATTGTAAGATTTTTTCCTTGTGGAATCTTGCATTGAATATTTTTACTTATAGATATATTTAAAGTTTCTCAGATATTTGTTTTATATTGATTTTTTTAAACATTAACTTCTCTGTATTGTAAAAAGAAATGCACATTTCCCTCTAACTATAAATTTCAAAAAAGCGAATGTATACAGTAATGGGGAGGATGTCTGTGCATGAATTGTTGATTCGTCCCTCCCTTCCCCTATCCGTACGTGCATAACATTTCTGACTACCCTCTGTTTTTAGCAACTTCTATCATTTTATAGTGATAATTTGCTCCCCAATTTTCGAAGTTAAAAAATCGATTTTGCTTCTGTACTCAAAACCGGTCGGCAGGGGATGCTCACTCCTTCATGGCACCTGATTCCACCTCTGATTTTGGAGGTCCTTTTTTACTCTGCCTCTATTTTGTAATATTTTATTGACTTTTTATCTTTAATACTGTTCGTTATCTCCGTATGTTTTATGGGGGTATTTTGTGATTTTAGTGCTCGTTTATATATCTCAGTTGATTCGATACGCAAGAACATGCTCTTAGTATGAACAAATTCTTAAACGAGGTAAATTATTGACAAACAAGTTCATAAAACAAGAAAATCAGCAGTCTTGTTTAAAGTAATCATTTCGTAAGTTCTTTGGTCGATACAATGACCTTGTCAGCAAATACAATTTATCATTGAGTCAGATGCTGACTGAAGTTTTTCATACTTATTGTTAGTCCATTATTTATACACTGAATTGACGACAGCATTTCCGTCATTTCCCGACCATGACAAGGAGCACACGGTGGCTGTGACCGGTCAGCAGGGGATGCTCACTTCTCCGTGGCACCTGATTCCACCTCGTGTTTGCTCTGCTCCTATTTTGTATTGTTTTTGGACTTTGATATTGAATACTTTTCGATATCTCCAAATCCTTCACAGTACCTCTAGTTCGATACTTGTCAATAAATTATACTTGTCTTTCAAGCAATTGAAATGAGATTCACAGTATTGTTATATTTTTGCAAGCTTTCAATGTTCATAAGAACCTTGAAGTAATAAAAAGATCGCCTACTCTTACATAATAAAAATTTTGAATTTTTTGGTATATTTGAAGCCGTTGGTAATTAAACATAATTTTGATTAATTAAGAGCTCAGATGCATGTCCAAAACAGCAATTTTTTCATTCAGAAAGTGGCGACTTGAAAAAAAAACTCAAGGAAAAAAGGAAAGATAAAGACTTTTGCTTCCTGGAATTTACAGCTGAAGACATTGTTCGATTTTTATTGAATAATAAACAATTTGTTTTTTGCAGCATGCATTGTGTATGTTTACTTCTTTATGCTCTGTTTTGGATTGCCTTAGAATTTAAGCCTCAATAATTCTTTTTGCAATGACTTCGACATTTTAGATTTTAAGGACAGATGATACAAACTAATTTTTTTTTTCAAAAAATTTGAAAATAACAAGTTGGGTCATATTTTAATGAGTAAAATGAATAAGTTTGACCGTCTTCTTTTTTTATTCAAAATTTCACAAAAATGGGATTTGATTGATTGTATACTGTTTAACGTCCCTCTCCAGAATATTTCACTGATATGGAGACGTCAAAATGGGATTTGAAGTGAAAAATATTTGTATAGATTAATTAGGTTGGTTTCAGAGATGTAGAAATTTTAACAACACAGAAAGTTTACAATTTCTTTATATTCTAAAGAAATTATTATTTGCATCATTTGCAATGAAATAAGTCCCTAGAATATATACGTGACGTGACTGTTGAGTGTGATATTCTTAAGGTAAATTTCACCCTCTTTCCCATTTCATATATTTTAATTTTTTAAAAAAATTCATATTGGAAAGCAGGCTTTGAGAAATTGCAATGTTCTTGAAATTTGCAGAAAAAATAACCTTACAAAGAATTTGAGCACATCCAAAAAATAAAACATGTTTTTTGATCTTCAGAATAAATGATGTATTTGCATATTTTGGATCAGATGTTTATATGAAATATTGAAAAAATGCTTCAACTTTGGGTCATTTTCAAAGGAATTTACAGGATACGAGGAAAATGAGCAATGACGTCATAAGCATTGACTAGATGTAAAATTACGTCACAATTCATAGATACGTGGTCACCAACACTCCAAGTGATAAATACTGCATTTGCAACCTAAACTGAGCGGTTTTGATTTTTCAGAAATTCTCAGGGCCAAACAATGCCCAACGTGGCTCTTGCTCTTTCAAGATATTTTTTTATTTTTTAATTCTCTAACTGCTACTTGGAAATAACCTTACATTTGAAATTCATAATAAAATATTCAAATAGATTTTATATTCTTAGCATACTAAAATAAACAGTAAATTATTCACGTATACCGCAAAGGGAGGTAATTGTATACCAGCATTTAATGTTTCATGCCTGAAATTCCATATATCGATAACATTAGTGTTTATCATTGCTAAAATCTTTGTTTTTATTTCCAAGTAATAATAACTTTATGTACATCTCGTAACAATGTCACTTTTGTATAGAACTGTACCAATTGTAAAACATATATACAGTGAAACCTGTCTAATCCGAAACTCTCTGGGAGACGAATTTTGTGTTTGAATAGACAGGGTGTCGGATTGAAAAGTGTAAAAAAAAAAATTAAAAAGTGGGAAAACAATTTAACGTTGGAAATAAACAGTGTGACTGATTGCACGAATGTCTGATTAGACATTTTTCACTGTAAAATGAAAAACAACAAGTAGATATTTATATCTATTCATATTTATGTATATTTTATTTCGAATATCACAGTTTTCATATTGTTTAGGCACATCAAAAATGTGCAAATTTATTTTTCAACAAACAAAACTCCGTCATTTATACATATAAATCTCCACTCTTCTATTCAAAATAGGCGTCAGGCTTAACTAGTAATATTGCACATCTCACAACAAGATTCCATAGGAGCAAATTAATCACAAATTCTTGGAATGCAAAACAGAAACAAAACAAATAAACAGACTTAATCTTTCATCTGCTGAATTGCACCAATAGCCACAAAGTGTTAACATTTTAAAACTCCTATTTTTGGTAGGATACTATACAAAAATTACAAAAAAGCATCTCAACCAATATATAAGTGAGTTCTCAAAGTGCTATCCAACTGTATATTAACAAATAAATGGAGACATAATAAAAACAACACATAAAGCACAATTATGAAAAAGCACCACAACATAACTCACTATAAATCACACAGCTATAAAAGGTTCTGTCTCAACCAGAGATCAAGTAAAGGATTTCAACACCGCAAACAATGCTTTTCGTTCCTTGTTCGTTTTCTATCAAAATTGCCCTATATTTCTTGCATTGAAGTAATAGCTAACCAATATAAATGCGTGCCGCAGCAAAACTCTAAAACATCAAAAAGTTATTTTGAAGAGATAATGGGAAAATATATGCATATAATACATTCTCATAATGTTTGGTAAATACAAAGTTCCTCAATGATACAAAATTGCAACTGTGAATGGTTTTTCTTCCATTAATGGATAAATCTTAATTTTGAATAAGCTTTATCATCAATAGAGATTCATCAAAACCAAACCTCAACCAGAAAGAACCAAAAAGAGTAAAATCTTTTTCAACAAATGACATTATTTGTATCGTTGTAAAAAGGTGGTTGGTTGATGATAAAACTTATCTTTAATGGATGGCGTTATGTCTATCATTCCTACGTATCATTCGTGGACTTTATCGGTGGTTAATACCTTGCACCAATATGAAATCGCCTTCAATCAAATTAAAAACGTTATTTTTCATATTTTGTAGTAGCAAAAAAGGTTTCTAAATGAATTGTTTAAAATAGTTTAACATATATATTAAAAAAAAATTGCAAAGCAACAAAAACTATCCAGGAAAAAGACGTCTAATTTAACATTTTCTTTTGCATTCGGCACACAGAAGCCCTCTATCCAGGGATCTTAGATCCATACTTTTCATGAAAACAAACACATTTTACTACTTGTCTTTCTTCAAAATCGTCTTTAAGAGCAACCACATCGAACAACTTTCATTCTCGGTAACGTTGTGAGTTGAAGTCTGGACGTATGATCGAAGTATAACATTCTTAAATTTGCCATCCGTACAGGGGAACAACAAGGTCCGGGGTTATTGCCGATGATCCTGGACTCGGGCACCTGTTGTACAACAGACGAATGTCCGTGGTCGCTCATTCCTTCGTCCCTACATTCCCCCGCACAGTAGTATGCATCGTACCATTTAGGTGCAATGACGAAATCCCAACCAAATTCTATAAAGCTTACGGTAAGCGGGTATCGACAACAAGCCTCGAACTGGTTTTGTTCGTCGCACGTAAGTCCTGTTGATCGCTTTCTACGGACATGTGCTGTAGTGGTTGTCCGTAAATCTAAGTTAGGTTCCTAGAAAAAAATTCTTCATCAGAGTATTGAAAATATACATATATTTATTACGCAATACATAGGTAAAAAGAAAAGGCGTAAAAAAATCTGTTCAATTAGTATTTTTAAATTCATTACTGATAACTAAATTAACTCTGATAAAGAGAAAGTTAAATGGTGTAGTCGGTTCATTTACTTAATGGATAGCAGATGTTTTAAAGTAATAAATAACCCTGTATACTCCTATAAATATAGGGCATTTGCCATCAGTTATAAATAGCACAGGTGTTAATTTTTGAGTTGCTAAAAGTACAACAGAAGCAGAAACGTGTATAAATATATGCATGTCAACTTTCTGCCCTAGATCAATTAGGTCAACTGACCACTCTTACTGGCAATAAAGGTGAAATGCTGATGCTGCGTTTTGTTATTTTAATTATTTATACTTTTTGTATTAAAAGTTACACATTATTTAAAAGATTCACATTCCTCTAAAACTTTTTTTTATTAAAATTAATATCTATATCACAATAGTTTTGCGATTTCCCAAAACCAACTCTAAGACTTGTAAAATTATCAGAAATTTTCGAAATCATTAAAAGCACAAACTTTACGTTGAAATAAATTTTATCAAAAGGTATGTATGGTGAAAAAAGTTAATAGTAAGTTAATGCATTAATTTCTAAATTCATTGTTTTATTTGTTGAATAATGAACAGAAGAATAAAAATAAATGCAAATATTTACTATACATTGAAGTTCTTCTTTGTCTTAAAAGTAGTTCATCCACATTCATTTGAAATTGTACTTCAAAATATACACTTACATAGCCTTCGTTAATGCCAGTGGTGGGTGGAAGAATAATAAGATTCTCTTCGTCTGCGTCAAATGCCTCCACTACCACCCCGAGATTTGAAGCGGGATCCGAAGTCCATTGGTATGCCAAATTAGTGATGTCAAAATGGTGCCAACCGCTTGTCCGCGGGATGCTCTTTTTCCTTTTTTTCATAAATCTTTTGACTGGCGGTCCGCCATGTTTTCCTGGCGGGACCATCTTGTACAAAAATAATTCCGAAACATTTTTAGGTAAGTTGAATTGACTTCGCGGTGCTATATAGACCCACAGTAGTGCTTTATATACGTCTCTATTCTCCAGGGTGGGCATATTGAAATAAATTGCATTAGGTGTCTGAATATCGAGAGCCGCTGATGCTGTAATGGAAACAAAATTTGTGTTTAGAAAAAGTGATATTTTTTGTAGGTGACATTCTTTCGTGATTCTAATAGGCAAATAAGGATTTAAACTTTGTTAGAAAAAAAAAAAGATTTGATGTCGGATCCAAATTAAATTAAAATGAAAATTTAAGTACACCAAGAAGAATAGTGAATGCATAAAAGAAATAAAACTTATATCATTAAAGATATTTTATGCAAATATATGTCTATTTTTTTCTTAAATTTTAATATGAATTGATTGTCTAAAATATTCCTCAATATGCTGTAATGATATTAATTGATTTTAAAAAGAAAAAAAAATGTTATGATTCATTTCTTCGGCTAACGAATTTTAACTTAAGTTTTATACTCCATTAACACTTTAGTTTTATATTCCATAAACGCTTTATGCAATTTAAATTCACTTTCAGATAGTGATTGATTTACACATCTTTAGCTATATATGTATATAAAATTGTGAAATACTTACGTTCTTCGGAAAATATGTATGTCCTTTCAGCCCGTCCAAACTCATCTTCTTCGTCTTCTATTTGATCTGCATAAGAATATGGTGCATCTCCTTGCATTTCACTCATAATTTGTTCGCTGTCGTATCTTTCACGGAGCCTCTGATAAGATGGCACCTTTGGGATCCTTAAGTCGGTGATATTAGGGATACCCAAAATGTCCAGTTTCAGTGCATGTGCTATTCTATTTTTAATGGATTCAATTCTTATTCTTTTCTGATCCTCTCGAATTCTACAACTCTGACATCGAGTACGGTTAGAGTTTAATCCATCTGAATCGCTTTGCGATTCGGTGTTTTGTGATAAGATACTCATAATTTGTTCTTGGGTTATATTGCCGGTATCATAGTGTTGAAAATCCTCTATTGAATCAATTGACTGTGGTATAACTGTACAGAAAACAAGAGCCACTGTGAAGATTATCAAATGAAAAACGGAATGAAGGTTTACCGGCATCTTGTACATTAAAATCAGCTGATCGTAGTTGTTCGGTATGTTCCAGATGAGTAACTGCGGCGAAAGAGAGCTAGCTTTTATACCAGCGGTCAAGCTACACTCGGCCAAAAGATTTGACAGGTGTGATACCTTATTAAAAAATGGTCACAATATTATTTTATAGGAACAGAAAAGGGCAACAATATCATCATAAATTTTCATGTCAATTCTTTCCTTCCAGGTCGAAGCATTCCTGTCCAAGAATTTTAAGAGATATTTCAGTAAATTCCTCTCAGAAATTCAATCTTCTCTTGTTCTCTTTTTTCAAACAGACATCCTCAATGACTTGCAAGCTGCATAATTTTTTTTTTTTAGGAATCTCGACTTATGAAATGGAGTTGTTTAGATATTATATTCCTTATCACTGACGACCACTGGGTTTTTTAAAGTCCTAGAAATAAAAGAAAAACGTTACTATTGATCTGCTGAAGTTAACACCATTCCACGCAGTGCCAGTGTAGTGCCCCTTTTTACCGCTTTAATGCTTTAGAGGTCAAGGCCTTTGACTAATTATCCCCTGGAAAAAAAATCATCAACATCATGTGTATTAACTACACGTCAAAAACTTTTAATGATTCACTTAATATTACGAAGTAGTGAAAGAAAATTTCATTTAACATATTATTAAGCATTTTACATGACTTATAAGATGAAATATCTTTAACAAAAGAGTGGGGATGATTATTACATTAATATCTTATATTCTCTTAAACGTTTGAAATTTACCTGTTGAGAAGGAATTTTTGCAGCCTTTACTTTTCATCACTTTATACACTATATTCTATTTTATGAGACATATTAAATAGGAATATGCTTTCATTCCCTGTTAAATGTTTTATAGTACAGTGAAAGAGGATGTAAAGGGAAGTGACCCGGGGTACTGTGTATACACGTTAAATGTTACCTAAGTTTTTGTAACGAATTGGCAGGAAAAACTCTTTTTATAAGTTGCACAGTTAATTTCAAAATTAAATTTACTGAGGCATTTTGTATTTAAAACTTTCAGGAAGCAAAAGATTATACAAATTTATTTACGATACATATTTTTTCAAGCATTTTATTTTCTGGTTGACGGGTTTACGATCCCAAATTATGAAACGATATCTTTTTTGTAGCCAATGTAGACATTTATTAGCACAAAATAGGCACTCAAAGAATCGTGGAGCGTTTTATTCGGCATTTGAATCACAAAAAGATACCTGATACTAGAATCATATATCCTCGACAGTTTTGTCACTTAGAATAATTTATACATTTATTATGGTTACTTAAATGTGTACGGTGGCATTAGACATTTTATATAAATCATACAACCTTCATAAATTTTCGTACCAGATTAACAAAGCATACAGGTTTAACATTTGAGAAACTTGTATACTTTATCACAACTGACAGAAGATCTTGCCACATAATAATAATGTGCTTATGATCAGAAACGCTATGTTTTGACACCTTTGTTAGGTATACAATGTCTTAGCCCGGGGTGCAGAATGTTAATTACGTCAGCATGTATGTTTTTGCACGTTTTGAACAGATTTTTCATTGTAATCAGTAATTGTAACTGAGTGTTTGATGACATGTCGAAATACACGGTAATATTACAATATTATTTTTGCAAACGATATTATTATAAGCTTAAATCTGTATTAACAAAACACAAAAAGGATATGAATGTTTTCTTTATAAATGCTAAAAAGTGTCAGGATTAACCTACCTTATAACATCCAGGGATAAAAAAAAAACTAGATTTATTTATTTAATGTCACTGTACAAAGCTATAAACATTAATTTATCACAGATGAGGTGATAAATGCTTTACAGAACAAAATATACAGGAATGTAATATATATTGTAAAGTTTAATACATATCTATGGGAATGCTGTTCAATTCTGTTTAAAAAACGCCACTTGTAGATGATTAATCACACACACACACACACACACACACACACACAAAAGAATTAGATGTACTACGATAGTGATAAGAAACAATGCAATTTTACAATGTTGTGTATATATTTAGTGAAATTGAAAAAAATATATATGCCAATCTCAAATAAATGTACGCTCGATTTTAATGAATGAAATGTTATTGTGTATTTTATTCTTATTATTGAATCTTTGGCCCTTAAGCAACGGCCAACAAAACTAATGCCGCGTATTTTTTAATTTTTAATTTTGCTCAATTTTATAAAAACTTATCGTAAGACCTGATGCACTTAACAGACGCAAGAATCGTTGTGGCGGGGAAAGTTAAATGATGCATCTTCCTACTTTGTGAAGAAGAATGAGTTTGAAAGGTAAACTACCAAATTTTAGAACTATTTACAAGATTTTAATAGAATTATTGGTTATAATTAAACTGAGTCATATTAATGTACATGAAATGCACAAAGTTCCTCATTTTTACACTCCAGTGCATTGACAAGGTGTGTTTTATAGGGTTTTGAATGTTGCAGATTCTTCTATGGATTTCATGAGGAGGATAACACTGAATGTAAAATTACTTATATAAACGAGAAAAATTGTTAAATAAGTGACTAGAAATATATCTCATCTTTTTTAACGTACACAAAGACACATTTAGTTCTGAAGTGTATGAAACTTACCGTGTTAATTCTCATATTATTCATACAAATTAATAGATAAAATTATTTTTTTTTCAAAGAGTACATTCTTTGATGATGTCATTAACGTGTTATGTAGGAGGAGGTATATTGGAATGCACAGTAAATATTTGGCAGAATTTCTTAACTATTAAAATTCTTGGCTATTCAGAGGTTCAATAAATAGAAATTGATGATGAAACAGGGTCTTGTTTTATTGCTTCTTTCTTTACAATACGGTGTTCGTCAGTCAGCCACGCTTCAGCGTTATCTCATTACTGATGACAGAAAGAATTACTGATAGATTTTTCTGAATTCCAACAACTCGATCGGTATGTGTATATTTAGGACTTTGTAGCTTGAATAAACTTTTATTTGTCCTTGACAGGGAGAGAGAAGAGATAAAAAGGGGGAAGTGAATAATGCAGGCTATAAAATTTATTGCTTTTTATACCTTTATTATATCGGATATTATATCTTACGTTTCCTTAAAACCAAATAAATTTCGCAGTATAAGATTAAACAATAACAAAAACAATAATTAGAGTAATTTCAATAAGTGACCATGTTCATAAAATATTTTAAAATCTACGTCATGTAAATATTTTGATGGACGTTGAAATGCTTTATTTAAAAGATAATAAGAGGAAATGAAATACGTTTTGTGGATTAAGACCAAAAAAAAAACCATGAATAGGTGTTAGGCAATGGAGAATACATATTTTTAAAAAAAGTTGAAAGTATTTTTCTTTAATTACACAGGAGCTACTATACACTTTCTGAAATTATGAGATTTTTTTAAAAAGAAAAAAAAAATGACGTAAATCACATTTTCTCCATGTAACTAATTAACAACTATAAATATATATATACTAATAAACTACAACAGAGTTCCAGCCACCGGCCAGCTGTTGACAAGAGAAATATATAGATCACCTGCTTTATTTATTTTGTACTGGGCTGCTATTTGTTTACTGATATGTACAGAATCCAGAAAATTCTAATAATTCACCTTGAGATGGAGCTATTGCCAGCTTTTGTATATTGTGGTTACTGTCATTTAAAATGTTTTTCTAAAGCGGTCAAGGGTATAAGGAAAATAAAGTATTTAATGATTAGGTACAGATGCCTTAGCCGCAACAGGTGCATAAAAAGATATTAAGGTTTCTGAAATACAAGCATCTTACTTTTTATATATACATTGCATACTAGCATATTTTTTATCTTCGATCATATCTTTAAAACTATTAAAATATTTGAATAATTCTTTATTTACCAGGTTTGCTGCCAATAAAAAAGTAAACTTCTCTTATGGTTTTCATTTTAGTGTTAATATTATTTTTTTTTTTTTTTATTTGTTTATATAATTATAAATTAAAAGTACAAAACAAAGAGAATTGTGCGACAAAATAAGATATTGGTCAGCACATTGAATAATTGAAGATCTTACAACTTCAAAATCTCTCAAACAGAAAGATTTTAAACATAGCTTTTAGATCGTGTTCTTTGATTATTTAATTAAAGAATAATTCAATTATTTGATAATTAATTAATTGGGACACTTATAAAAACACAACCCTAACTATGTGAAGTGTGGTTATTGTCAAAAGATTGATATCAGAAAGATTTTCTTCCTAAAGTTGTAAATATCATAGGAGGTATTATTATTCATGGATTGAAAGACACAATTCTAACTTTAATTATTTATTTTTACTTGGTGTATTTAGATAATTGTAAACATATTTTTTTCCTTCATATAATATAATTATTAGTTCTCACAAATAGTTTGATCATTGAAAAGGGATTTAAAATGTATTATATGAGTTTTAAATACGCAGGTTTTTATTATTTTGAATGGTTTGAAAGCTTGTAAAACAAACTTGTAACTATACAAATATTAAACATCTAGCACCTTTTTGATAACTACTCATTTGCGAGGCAGAATGACATAGTTTGGCTAAACATGACTTAGATACAATTCGTTAATTAACATATTTTTCTATGTACCAACAGAAAGTTTGGCAAATATAAATTTTTCCGCGATGAAGAAATATCGTGAGGGGGCTAATATATTAATATCAAATAAAATGCAGTTCTATCTTTGTGTATTTTAATACTGCACGGTGAATAGTATAAAAAGTTAATAAAACCAAGTTTTAATATGTGAACTTTGACTTTTAATGAATGAATAAATTTAACAAAATTTAGTTTAGACATTTTTTTATTAAAAAATATTGAATTCATAAAACAAACCTTTTTTTACTATTTTTTTTTTATAATTGTTAACGAATTTTATATCATAAGTGACTAATACCGTATAAATACATGTAATTGAAAAAAAATCACTTTGTACATGAAAAAACCGAGGCCGTAGGGGATACATATTAATATTAATGTTCTAATTGTCGCTGCTATTTAATCCGGTACTCTTAAAATGTTGTAAACTGTCTTCCGGGTTTTATCGCTAGTTAATTCCGTCCTGAAAGAAAGATTATTCAATTAATATACCCAAAACCTCTGAATAATTGAACGATAAATGTTATTACTAGGATCGCAGCATTGGTTTATCTTTAATGCTTGCAGAATCGTCTTACAAATCAGCCATTCGGATCGCGGTATTACCCCCTGGACTACTTAGTAGAGA